AAAATCAGAAAATTTCAGCTCAGAATACAAAAACTGTTTACAAATTACAGTGTTTTAACATCATCTCATACTTTGAAACCATTTGACAATATCATGACAAAGGAAAAGAGAACACAGTCTTAAAGATAGACACATTAAATAGATAGACAGAAAGAAATTGAAAGGAAAAGAAAAAATAAAGAAAGACTGTAATAAAACAAATTATTAAAACTACAGGTGCTAGCCACCCGCAGAATGCACCTTAAGCTAATTACATTTAATCCCCTATAATTAACTGACCACCGTGTCCGTCCTCTCGGGCCAGCCACTAATTTCCAGGGGTGTTAGTTAGTGGCTGCCACTGCCCACTTGGTGGTGTACACATCAAGCTTCCGGTTGCTGATCTCGGCCTCATTAGATGCCCATAGGCCTATCAATCAGCTGTCATGGCCTCGCCCCGTGTTAGGGACTAATCATAGGCTTGATGACTGCAGTTCTCTCTGCCAGTATTAGGGCTTGGCAGTGAGCTTGCAGGCTCAAGCCTATCAGGGTGTTCTGTCTAGAGCCTAGATGCGCATCTAGGCCTGCTAGTCAGGTGATTTTCAAAATCATTCTCTGTATTTGAGAAGAAGCTAGGCTTCAATGACAGCCCTAGTTAGGGACTCACTTAAGTAGTGTATAATCACTATATTAGGCTTGGCTCTATATCATTAGAACCTTGACAGGTGCACAGTAGAATAGTTAAGACATTGACATCTCATGTCAGCCCTGATGAGTGTTCACAGAATCTTGCTTAACTAGTGACTTGGCTTGCAGTAGGGAGTTCTACCCTGTATCAAGCCTTACTAATTAGGCTCAGCCTCTATTACATGGGGGCTTTCATGGGTAAGAAGTAGCAGATGCCAGCAGTGAGATTCGAACCCACGCACCTCTAATGTGTGCGGCCTTGGTTACCAGTCTTACCAAGGCCACGCTGGCAATGTAGATATGTAGAAGCTGCAGTAATAATAGAGCAGTTAAAGAGCTTATATTAAAATATATAGTAAGTTCAGAAATCTCAGATTTCTGCTAAGATAGAGATATATATACTCTAGAGAATAATATAATATTTCTCTCAGAGAATGAGATTAGATTAGTCTTAGTATAGATATATAAGATTATATTAATCTATTAGAGCTTGACTGATTCAAACTTATAATCAGATTAAGTAATTTGAATTGTAATATAATAGAACTAAAGCAGTAACTAGTCAGTGATATTATATAAAAATAGTTATTTAAAAAGCTGTATAAGTAAGCTTAACTATCTTACTTAAATAGCAAGCTTGTAGACTATAAAGTTATTGTAAGAATATCACAGATATGATACTTAGTATACTAAGAATATTATATAAGATATGCAGTAACTCTTATATATATTTTAGTAGAAGAAAAATAAATCACTGACTTCTTTAATAAAAAGCCAGCATCTAGCTATTCTATATAGATAATGAATGAATACTCTTCTCTCATTTTATAAGTGAGAATAGCTGAAGTGATACCTCAGCAGCATCTCATTGTCAAGAAAGAGTAATCTGCTAACCTTGTATAGAAGTGAGGTTCTCATACTCATCAATCAAATCTTCCTATGATATATCTGAATGATGTCATAGGGTGGTTGGAAACCGGTTCAGACAGGATGGAATCATCCGCATGAAAGCGATGGGCCGTGTGGAACCGCAACGGGGCCTTGGCGCGGCCGGGAGCGTGACAAAATCTCAGGAATCTTCATTGAAGATGGAACCATTTCTTCTCAGACCCTCTGGCGAGGATTGCTCTGAGCACATGACTTGTATCAAAAGTAGGTTAGTGTCATGCCGGATTAGTTAATAATAATGCTGCAACCTGTTCAAACCGAGCCAGAGGTCTGAGCCCGCTGAGATAAACCGTTACAGCCGTTGCGGTTAGCGATCTCCCTAGATCACGTGACCCACAACTATATTAAGCTCTTTGTAGATAGATCTATCAATACAACCTTCAACTATTCTACATAAACATCAGAACGGACGGCTACATTGCTTTAATACAAATCGGAAAGCCACCTTGAGCAAACGTGGTAAACAAGGTGAACGGAACGGATTATCTTATTTCCGGGTATATTTTGAAAACAACTCTCCACCAAGATTTCTACAACGCGCCTAGGCCTGACTTATGAGACGGTGGACAGAGATTTGAGATACAGGGTAGCACAATCCCATGCGAGGGAAGAGAAGTTGATAGATAGCAATTGAGAATCGAGTACCTCCGTTTAGAGCAACATAAAAGGGAGCAAGATGCACCCCGAATCCTGAGGCAGGGGCAAACATTCAACAGAATCAAACAACCGAAACCTCTCTGCCAAACATTGACAGCCCACTGCGGTTTACCGTTTTGCGGTCTAACAAATATTATTCCCTGCCAGAGATGCGCAGTACCGGAAAGACACCAGTGTTTTCATCAACACTAAATAAATAATAACTACCAGATAAATATTCCTGCGCTCCCGATCTAAAAACCCAACTTTGAACCATCTTTCCAAGAAGCGGATCAACTGCATTATCTTTGGTTGTATTCTCCTCACCGTGGTCTTGACATCATGCGGTTCCCTACTTCCATACCGAAACGACTATCTAATTTCGCAACCAGCCGCACTTGCGTCTATCGCTCTCTACATACCAAGCAGGCAGAAATTATCACCCTTGACTATAAAGGGTCCCTCGTGACTCAGAATGTCAACGTTGATTTGGGGAATGCCCACGAGGCTTTCACAATGTTGGGGGTCCCGGGGGTTGATCGGCCCTTCTACCAGCAGTGCGCTGGTGGTGACCGAGCTCTTTTGCCCCAGTAGAGTAGCCTACAGGTTATGAGACCGTTAAGCGTGAGCCCCGCTGTGGTCAACATGCATGGGTCTGATCCCAGGATGGACTTAAGAAATATAAATCCCAAAAACAAATACCCTGGACATTTAACAGTGCCAAGAGACATTCTAGGAGTGTGCCCTAGGAGTGAGCCCTTGAAAGATTGAGCCCTAGGAGTGAGTTCACTGAGAGGAGCCACTAAGAGGAGCCACTGAGAGGAGCCACTGAGAGGAGTACTCTGTGGTAGCTGGTCCGAGGGGGGGGGGGAGCTTTGGTGCCGTTAGACTTTGCGGGTTTGGACATTGTGATCGATAATGATATAGCGATAACGTGTTTCGGCTCGCGGATATTGGAATGGAAAAATAGTTTTGCTGAGTTTCCTTGATCAAGTCAATTCATTGCCTCAGGATTCGGAGGAGATCTTGCGTCCTTATATGCTGTTCATTCACTGAGTAGAGCGAACCCTCTCTGCATATATCTATGTAGAATATGTTGTCCATACCGGCCTAGAACATCCTGGGCACACTGCACTATGCGCTATAGATGTCCATGTCTGATCTTGTGTTCCTGCCTTCATTGCGACGTCGAAGCACAAAAAGGAACGGTTGTTGAGAAGATGGGACATTCAATTGGTAGACAGCTCAGAGGAAGACAAACTAGATGCCGGGTTTGTTATCCCTTGAACCCCGTGCGGCCGAGCAGGACGAAGAGTTGCTGCTTCTGAAGATGATTAGAAAGTGAGAATTTTCATATCATGCAGCAGTGAGATAACTCATTGCATGGGAAACCCCCTGCAGAAAGGGGACTTCTCAACAATGTTAGGGAAACCCCTGAGAGGAAAGCTTTGGAATATGCAGATTTAGGGATATCTCAAACTAGGCTCAAGATAGAGAGAGTCTCATGATGAAGCATGGTAAAATTCTAGCATCATTGTAAAATGTATTATTGTTGGTAGGAATTCCTAGCCAAGTAGGCTTAATCAGTATTGCGAAAAGCAAATCGTGGTTCTGACAGCTTCACTAGGTGGAAAAAAGTTCTTCAGGCGACTGCTTGGGCACCAAATATGTCATGTCTAGGATAATCAATATTTCGAGAGCATGGTGGGGCGTTTGCTCTGATCGTGCATCTGCCTGACGTCTAGCCTTTAAATCTAACCATGTTCTTCAGCAGGGTAGAAGCTCCAAGATCACCTTTTCCATCACATCATCAACCACAGTCGTCTTCATTTGAAATGATCGATTTCTCATACAAGAAGTCATGTCCCTCACCCAAAACAGCCCCGACAGTGACCTGAGTAGGCTCAGCTTCGTCATTGTAGAAAAGATTTCCTCGAAGCTCATTGAGATGCTGCAGATGCATTTACAATCAAAGAAGATCTCATACATAGTTCACTGAGTCACTGACACAGTCAACTGAAGTGAAATGTGACTGTGATGCCATCTTTGATGATTTTGAAACAGTAAGTTGGAAACATGAAAACCTAAGAAACAGGACTGATTGAAGGATAGAATCTCAAACCTAACATATCATCAGTCAAGGATAAGCCTTGCCTTCATCATTGTTTTGTCTACTTTCACAAGTTTCTCAATCTGTTGACTATTTTTAAACCTCCTGTTGGACAAGAGCTATTCACTGTGTTAATTGTGATTAAATCAGGTTCTGGATTTCCACTCTTGTGTTTAGAGTCTCATGGAGAAGAGACCGAAGGTGGGAAATCCCCTGTGGTTTCTATAGTGAAAGTTCCCCAGGAAGATGGTATTATTGCTATCATTGATGCAAACCTAGCGCGGCAGGATTCTCCGGTGAAACATAAAGACAGTGAAGGTTCCTGCATTTTACTGGCGTACTGACAAGAGTATGAAATATGATCTATGTCAAGAGGAGGCTCAGACTTCCAAATGTATTTTCAAGTCTTTGCATTATTAAATAGTATTCAACGAAACACTCTGATTCACTCAAAACTCAATGAGGAACTAAAATCCGCCCAGGCTTGCATTTCAACATTTTTGTTCGTATAGAATTCAATGAAAGCATGATCAAAACCTGATTGAAAGACTATTTCTGTTGTGTCTCCAGTATCAATATTCATATTATTATTCTGCTGCCCTATTCCTACACTAGTACTAGTACTCGCAAAGAATTTATTTCAATCAACATCATCAACTGACTGAGCCTGAAGGTCCGCTGGGGCCTTCAACTGCATTGTTCCAGATAATGTGAAACTTCCACCCTCGTCGCTGGGTTGTAATGTACATGGTAAAGTTGAGTCTTCCCCTGATGTAGTTGATGACAGCGTCGCGGGCTGTACAGCTGCCTCTTCAGTTGAAATATTCAGTTCCATGAGAGATCCCGGGCCTGAATTGCAAGGAGGAAGTTGAGAAAGCAAGGCAGGGTATTAGGATGGAATATTCAAAAACAATCCACATTTACCATTAGGCTCTTCAGAAAGATGATCCTCGCTGTCATTTGAAGGAGAACTTGGTTGAAGAATCGATGCAATCTGTATATCTAGTGCCGCTGTTGATGATTTCAGTATTCTGGCATTGAGATGCCGCCGTTTCCTTCCTTTGAAATTATGTACATCAATTTTACCTGGGGAGGTTGAGTGAGACACTACATACAGTTAGAATATAATGAAAAATTACTATTGAATGAACTCACAAATAGAAGCAACTTGACTTTGCTCACTTTGAAGCAACTTGTCATCCATAGCCAGCTTGAACAGGTGTTTCCTCAAGCCCAGTGTCTGCATGTGATGAGGGCTCCCTGTTTCTTGCATTGCTGGACAATGCTGTAGGTGACTTTCAAAACAACCAATGCTATAAAATAAAGCGCGGCAACTGCAATGTACATTGCAAGCAACATCATCTTTTATTAACAGCTTTTCTCATGATATAAAATGATGACTTACGTGAGTGATAGTGCTGAACCATATGTTGTCTTTTGCTGAAGGGTGTACTTTTCTGGACACAATCATGATGAGAGCAGAGCTGAAGTGCGTCCCGGTCTGAGACTTGGGATTTCAGTGTCAGTTGAGAGCTATTACTGCTGCCTGCCTCGCCGGTTATTCATTCATTTGTAACATAAGCATCCTGACAGCTCAGAGTGTATAGAGTGTTTGCTAGCTGAGCTATAAGATTGAATATCCACTGCTTCTAAAAGTAAGCCCAGAGAATTGATGACCAGTAATTAGGGATAATCAACCTTGTCGGGTCGAAGGTGACTCTGCACATCTGTCTGAGAGGAGAAAGTCAAAGCACAGTGGGGACACGGCCACTCGCCGTCAGCTTGAGAAGTCATTGTCACTCGAAATCTTGAATTGTAGAAGTTCAGTTTGATCATCCAGAGCAATATACGGAAGTAGGGAGCGTCCGATACATGCTTTCCTGCCGGGGCGATTTAATGTCCTAGATGTGGGGTGGGTGGTGGGTAGCCCAAATTCTGTTATCGGGAAGCTTTGGAAGCGTCTCGAACAGGCCAATCATAACAGAACCTTGTACGGGAGCTTCTCGGCACGGGAGAACGGGAGGGCTTCCGTTAGTTAGTTACCACGTCACCAGCTCAAGTGCATGCATGCCTCTTGAGCGAATCAAGTGGAGCAAGCTAGCAAGACCGCAGCCGGGAAGTCCCAAATCTAAGTAAGGAGCAGACCAACCAGAGCGTCTGTAATGCCATTGGACTGGACATCACTGCGCTGTGAGTTAAGATAATAAATTCCACCATGTGTTGTTTACTGTCGTTAGGCATCAGCGCATGGGTAGGACCAAATGAGGCTGTCATTCGGCTAATGTGCTTGATCTGAGGTTCTTTCCGAAGATGGGAAGCTAGATGTCACATGATATAGCTAAAACACTAAATGGTGGCATATGGAGGAAGCCCTGATTGGGCCATTGGCTTGGCGGTTGGGGATTGCTAATATTTTCTCTTGTTCGCAAGGCGCTAACTCCGAAACGTGTCAGAGCAACGAGCTCCAATTGACAGTGCGAGACTGATGCTGCCCTTGTTTCAAGAACGAACTACGCGCCCGAAATATAATGCTCTTCCCAGCAGTTTATTATAAGAACCTCTGCACATTTGTGCTCTCGACGCATCCTGGCATGATAAAGGAGCTAAAAATTTATAACCATATGCCTAGTTCAGTGACCTCCAACCCGTCTCGCAAGCGTCAGCATCCTGAGCCCCATCCATCCGACAGGTCGCGATTTCGGAAAAGGCAGAAGCTCAATGTGTCGGCATCAGCATATTGGGATAACCTGTCAAAGATTTGGTTAACCAAAGATGCATTAGACGAGTTGGATCGAAGAAACAGCCACCTGAAACCACTCAAGAACCATCATCAACCTCTCACTCAACAATTTCACACTGAGCTGAGAAAGCACTGTAATCCTTTTCAGTTTGCTCCGGCCTTTCTCCGTGATTGTGCAGCTTGTTCAAAGCAGATAAAAAGGGTTTCCAGATTGGGAGGACCTGACCTAACTGACCTTAGAAATGTACGTAACTACAAATACATGCGAATACACCATTGCTGATAATATTGCTGATAATATTGCCCAGTATCCTAAACCAGAAAACTTCCTTGAAAAAGCAATGAGCTCAAGGTCCCGGAGTAGAAAGCGACGCGCAGGTTCTCCTCCATCAACAAGAGCAGATACAAAGGGTACCACCAAGTCCACGAGCACCACACCCTATAATCGTAACTTCCAGCAGAACCTAATTGATCATGGCATTTACCCTGATGGATATGAATATCCAGATGGTCGAATACCAGCAATGCCAAAAAACTGGGAGGAGATCAATAAAACACTAGCTCAACCCTGATCCTCTCTTTCCCCATCAAACTTCTCTGATGAACATTTCTGGAAATTCAAACGAGCAGATACCCACGCATCTAAAGAACAACCAGTCACAACATCAGTGATTCCTATCATTGAAGGTGACATTGATGATCCCAAATGCGCCGGAGGGGGATACCCACTTGGAAATCTTGCCCCCTTAACTGATGGCACACTGGCTCAGGCCAAGTCAGATCACTTCTATGGCGCGCGTCCTGAACAGCTTGATTGTCAAATCTGCAACAAACTTAGTGATCATATTATTCCATCAACACAGGATGACCTTCCAATGGTACCGAACTTCTTTTTGGAAGCAAAAGGCCCTGATGGATCCTTGGCTGTGGCTACACGGCAGGCTTGCTATGACGGCGCACTAGGAGCTCGGGGTATGCATGCTCTTCAGTCATACCAACAAGATGGATCAACTTATGACAACAATGCTTACACTCTTACATCAACTTATCATGGCGGTACACTCAAGCTATACACAACTCATCTCACTGAGCCCGAAGGCCTAGGCCGTCACCCTGAGTATATTATGACTCAGCTCAAAGGCTGGTCAATGACCAGTGACCCAGGAACCTTTCGGCACGGAGCATCCGCATACCGAAATGCTCGGGACTGGGCAAAGGAAAGGAGGGATGAGTTTATTATGGCAGCAAATGAAACGCACGCAAAGGCCCAATCTCAGCTTCTTCATTCAACCTCTCAGCGCCAGACGGCTTCCGAGGCAGCTCTCACCTTGGACAACTCTGATCTATCGACATTGTCCGACCACACAGAGTATCAAGACACGCAATGGAGCTTCGCGGATACAACCGAAGAAGGAGGAGGAGAGTCTCAGATTCTTAGTAGACACACCAAGAAGCCGAGAGTTGGCTCCATTGTTGAAGGTAAGACAGCGGGTAATAAGACTACCCGAATTGATGATAAATAGGGCTCGTCATGCACACGGGGAAGCCATAACCTGCACCAGGGCAGCTTCCCTTTTTTTTAGGGTTGATCATAGTCATAAATAGCATAATATTATAATGATCAGAGTTTCTTCGCATAACTCTGGAACTTCCCACCGGGGCGTGGGCCTTTTTAAATCCACATAAATATAATACAATATGTTCTATATTCGTACAGCCTTTTCCCTTCTAGTCGTGCTCTATCTGGCGCAAGATCCGCCTTGTTTGATTTTCTGTCGTAGTTCAATAATCGATGCAAGTTAATCAAATTTTGTAAACATCGCCAGACATCCACGCGAAGCGTGGAGGGCGTACTGTGGATGTCATAGAAATCTCCCTCTGTTCGTAGGCACCAGTTCTCCGAACGTGATCAATGCACCCCCTCATCTGTTCGATGAACTGTCCCTAACTCATCAGCTAATGAATTCGGTGGACGATGCGGTCTTCCCGGCCACTCCCCGTCTGTCTCGAAGGAGGACCATTAGCGTAGACCCAGGGGCTGAATGCATATAAAGACAGCCTTCCTCCCACTTAGCTTCTATCGCTCCATCTTCCCTTTTCTCCTCACAAAGGTCATCCCAGCTTTGCAAACTATCCGACGCCACACTTCCATCATGAGTACCCGGACAACTCGAACCCGTAAGATCAAGGGATCAAAACCTGGCTCAGTGGATACCAGATACGGCAGTGATTCAAGTTCTGCTACAGGTGCAACAGAAACTCCCATCGTTCTGTTTATAATGGGTCGCAACTGACATCTGGACGCAGAACAGAATGATAGTATTGACCAAGGAACAACCATGGCCGAGAGGGCCGAGCAACAGAGCTCCTTTGACTCTTGGGAAAACATCTCCCTGAGCTCTACTGATTCAATGAGACCAACATCTCCGGTACCGGTGACACATATTTGGGAATTGGCAGCTCATGATTCTATACACTGTGAGGAAAACACCGCTGAGGAAGCCGTTCATATCATTCTCTCCGGGAATCCACTGAATCTCCAACCTTTGAGATGTGTACTGAATTGAACTCAATCAATCCATACAGCTCTTGCAGAAAGCCAGCTGATAATTCCTTTCAGTAGATGTATAAATCTCTTAGCCAGGAAGAGGTGAGCTACATCCGGAAGAGGCTGGAAGAATATACAGAAGAAGTGAGACAGCATATTCATAAATTAGATGACTTTGACTGTGCAGTCATCCTCGCGGATGCCAGGACCCTATTTTTGTATATTGCACTCCTGAAGTTGATGATCAAAATCCAACAGGTACAGTTGCATTCCATACTTGAATTGAAGTGTGCTAACTGACACTGTGATATTAGACTGAGCCACAATCCAAGAAGAGAACCATGCAACCCGCTGGGGATGCAGGCCAGGGAAACTGTGGAAAGCGGCGGCGACGACATTAGGAACGCGCATGTAGATCTGCAGAGAATTCTGAGAAGAGGTGTAAATGGTTGAACACCCAATAATTTGTTTACCATCTGGGATTCAATTTGGGCAGTTCAGCATTTAATTATTTGTATCTATGTCATGAGGAGGTTGTAGCCCTTGCATAGCAAATTAGGCTGGCAAGGGAATTGGACTAATAAACTTACAGCACCCACCCGGGATCACGTGCCCCAACCCAACCTAGATAGATTTGGCTGACTAGGTTTCCTATTAAGGACTAGCGCAGCGTCAGCTTCTGGGACTGTCGCTCGCTGATGACCTCAAGGTGGAAGATCCCGTTGTTCAGTTTACCTGTGTCGAACAAGCTCTCTGTCCAACTTCCCATTTGTGAATTGTAACATGTTGGGTTCAATTGGGATCAAAATTGGAATCTACTGAAAACCAGCCCTTTTTTATATTGAGGACTTTATATGCTTATACGATTTCATTCAATATTCCCGTCCGACTCCAAATCCCCGAGAAAAAACAAAGTATCCCCAGGCGGCCCTCTCGGCTTGTCCCCTTCCAAACGGGTCGAACTATACTCTGTATATATAAATAATATATTATACCGGTAATAACCCAATGTCTACCTTAGGTATCTATCTACAAACAATAATACAATACACAAACCGACAACAAGCAAGCAAAGCGAAGGGGGAGAAAAGAAAAATAACATCCAAACCCTTCCTTCCGCCGCCCCCGCAACGAGAAATATAAATCCTAGCCAAAATAAAAAAAAAGAAAAGGACGGATAATAAATATATAATAACAGTAATACAAGGAAACGACACGAAGGAAAAGTAAAATATATGCATTGAGGAAGGGTAAATTCTCAAATGTCGACACCTCCTAATCATTCACACCACTCAAGTGGGCGTGGTGCGATGTCGACGACAACAAGAACGATGATACCAGCAACAACAGCAACAGCAACAGCAACAGAATCATCATCGTCATCAGCCACGGACTCCCCAAACATGAACGTTAACAACTCGTTTACCGACTCCGCGATCGACCTGGACTGCTCTTCTTCTGAAAATATTACCCAGACGCTAGATACGACGACGATGACGGCAAAAATGTCAAAGGCAATGTCAATGAACGCGACGACATTCCCACCTCAAAAATCAACGATAACAGTAACAACACTGACAGAACGCCTCATGCGCCTTGCCCGTTTGATGGCCGATTCCGATAATATAAACAGCAACAATGGCAGTGACAATGTCAACGACAGCAATGACAAGAAGAGCAATAACCAAACACATCCATATACGCCATCATCGCGATCAATGTCGCCGCAGAAATTAATCGCTATCAACCGATATCTAGACGGTATCGAGGGTCTACTGCTGGATTCCCATCATGATGATGATGATGATGATGATGATGATGATGATGACGAGGCTGGGGTTGCCAGACGGAACGAAGAGGAAAGAGACGAAGAGAGCGAAGCAGGGGTAACGATAACCAAGTCGCCCGCCTTTACTATCTCAGCCTGTGGCGGAGATGAGCATGAAAAATCCAACAACACAGCATTAGCTGTATCGGTATCATCATCCCATAATCCTCAACCACAGTCAGTTTCCGGATCAGAACCAGAACCACCCAAAATCGAATCCCGAAACGCCGCGGCCAGTAGTAGCCAAGCGCCAGTCGACCACCACGAGCTATATACCATAAAGCGAGATCTGCAACACGTCACCAGATGTCTCGAGCAGCGACGGGTTGAATGTCTACATCTGAACGCTGTGTTTACTGTGAAGTGTGAAAAGCTCGCACAGCAGATTCTGGAGATGGGGGATGAGATTGATGAGCTGTAAGTTTTTTTTTTTTTTTTTCATTCCCAAGAACATGTCCAAGCTCAAGCCCTTGGCTGCCCTTGCCTGATCTGCCCCGTTCATTTTGACTTCTTTCCCAAAAGAAAATCACATGGAACATTTGGATAATATCCAAAAGAGAAATCATCATTGGGTATCAATGTTGTCTGGTATAATCAAAAGTTGAATCGAGCTGCCTTATAAAAGAACACAAAAAATAATGTGAAAAAAGAAACTGCCAAAACAGGCGCGCAGAGAAGATCGAGAACGCAATCGAACTGGAAGGTTTAAAGGGTACCATGCGTGGACTGGAGGGTTGGATACGGCGCTGGAAAAAGCAACTACATCGGCGAGATGCAGTGGATGTCGAAGTCGACAGCAGTTCAGAATATACATGGTCTTCGGGGTATTCTTCTTCTCCCTCTGGCCTAATAGGAGGAAGGGGAGGCGGAGAGTGGGATCATCGCAATCAAACGAGGAAGCTGGAGGATACGATCGGCGGCGATGGAAACGACGATACTGATAGGCTAATGGATGGGATTAGTGCGTGGTTGCGCGGTTGGAATGAGGTCGAGGAAGGGTTCAGGATTAGGGCTCGCTTGAGGGAGCGGAGGGTGGCTAAGAGGTTAAATGGGAGCGGCGGTTGATCGAATTCCTTGAGCGTCTGTGGCAGATGGTGCCTTTCGTTCAAGAGCAGATAGACTGGGTGGGCCACGCCTGGGATGCTTGTTCGGTTTGCCTGGTGGAGGACCAGGGGGCCGGAGTTAGCGAAGAGAAGAGGGGTTTTGGGTTTTGGGCTACGGTATGCATAGCATGGTATGGTGGTATAGGGCCACCCCGTGCTCGACAGGAGTATCTGCAATTATCGGCCGAGCTGATAATTTTTTGCAGGCTTCGAAAAAATTCCGGTTTGCTCCAGTCGTAAGGGGGGAATAAGAATAAGTGAAAGGTCCGGCACCATTCAAGAGATGATCATGCCAAAAAAGAGTATCCAGACATGATTCGTAGACGCTTTGTCATTCATAAAGGGCCCTCCCTTCCCGTTGTACATGTAGGGGAGGCATAAATATTTCTGGCAAAGCAAACGGTTGTCATCGTTGAAGATTGATGATGGCCAGCTGTGATAGAAGCAGTTAGTAAATAAAGGAATCAGACGAGAAGTTGGAGCCGAAATACAAAAAGAACAACCAATCATTCCAAACGTGGAGGAAAGGCTTTCGACGAAAAGCGTGACGACAAATGACACGAGAATGCTAAAAAAGTAACTTGCATACCTGTTTCCCAAATCCCAGGGCAAGTTTCTTCCCGTCACAATCCCACGATAACGAGCGGTAGAATGTAGAATCCTCCAAACCCTCCATCTTACTACTGCTACTATTACTATTGTTATTATTTCCCGCCCCATCCGAATGATCCCCATCGCTTTTCATCATCACATCAGTCCTTGGGGCCGTCCATTTCGCTAACGCCACGCCACCCCGCTCCACGCTCCAAATCAAAAGCTTATCATGCGTCGCGGCAGCGATGGCGTAGCCGTCCGGTGAAAATCTCGAGCATAGTGCCGGCGACGACGGGCCTAGGTATAGACGGTGCACACACTGGATCTGCTTAGATTCCACATATATATTCCAAAGCTTAACCGTATCGTCCATGGACGAGGTAGCGAATAGCAGTGATGTGCTCTTTTGCAGAAGACTAGATTGCGGCTGTGGTCGGAGCTCGAGAGCTGTTATATCCCCATGGTGGGTGTCGCTGACGCTAATGTCGTGGGTGGGAACCCAGATTTTTGTCGTTGAGCTGGAGGCGGTGACGGCCACTGACGACCCGGCTACCATGGCGCTGCCAATGAATGTCCACGGTTCCTGTCCATCCGTGGACGTAAAGGTCTTGGTAAGTTGGATATCTGTGTCCGCACGGTACTCATTCACCAATCCATCTCCACACGCATAGAGCACCTCATCACCGCACCACGATACTTCATGGACTAGCCCGTCTACTACTTGTGGTACTGGGAACTCGTCGGGCCGAACCGCTTGGTCCCATAGCGTGAATTCAGAGCGCTGCCCATCGGATAAAACGACAGCCATTCGCAGCCCTCGGGGAGCCCAGTATAGTCCAGACACCATCCTTGGTAGATCTGGTAGCAGGTCTATTGCAGTCCCATCCTGCCCATACATGGTAATGCTCCCATTTAGTGGATCCTGGTAGGTAGCTACTGCAAGCATCTTGCCCGCAGAATCCCAACCTGAGGCGGTAACGCATGTTCCATCCCCGTTAGTTTCGACCAGAGGCTCATGAGTCGGCGCACTTGATGTGCGTGGTCCTGACAGTTTCCACAGGCCACAAAATGTGTCACCTGTTGCAGTAACCGTTGTTGGATCATCTGGCCGCCATAGAGTCTGGGTTATCTGGCTATCACCGTCGATATCGAGAAGAGTAGTATCCGGGCCCAAATCGGCAGCCTTGGAAGGAGATATTTGAACGCCAGTGCTCTGACCAACTGTTAAGGTGAAAATCGGTGGGGATGGTTCCCGCTCATTTTGTCCTCGCATTCCAACATCACCATCCGCATCTACAACAGGCTCGACAGAGGGCGACGCTTTGGCTTGGAGGGCTTGTTCTTGAGGAACTTCCTGCTTGTCAATTTCCATGGGTGTTGCATCGGCATTCAAGGACACATCGCCGTCCTTAACACTCGTAGGTTTCCGCGGCTTCCCAGATGTTGGTGTCGTAGAAACGTCATTCGCATGCCCATTGACGGTTCCGGCTGTTGCTGGTTTGGGGGATGCTGCGCGGATATCGGTTTTAGTAGCAGTGCCATCTGTGGCGTCGCCATGGTCTGTTTTCTGCGCCGGAGCGGGCAAGTCGCTAGCAACCGGACCAAAGAACGATACCGGACTCAAGGAAACTGCATTCCCGGCCTATAACAAGGAAAGAAAAAAAAAGGTTAGGAGAGCTTGGCAGGTGTCAAGCGAGATAGCAACAATGCGGACAAGAAGGTGACATGCCTGGTCTAATGATTGCTCAAGATCATAGTACTGAAGCCCTTTCTGAATTAGCACTATCAGGGCGTGGGGCTTAATATATGATGCGAATGGAAAATCTTGGGGGTTGTGGTTCCAGGCGCGCTGCAGCATCAGCGCGGCATCTCCGTGGCCTATGAGCGAGCGTGAGGTGGTTCCAGCGGTTAACGACCAAACCCAAAGACAAAGAAAAAAAAATCAAATTAGTTTTATCGTTGTGAACGAACCTGATTCCTGTAAATATCTGTTTTAAGTAAAGAATTTTCTAGTTAGCTTTGATTGTATGTATATTTTATAATCGTAATAATGGTGGCATAAATTAAGGTTGTTTTTGGTTTTTGGTTTTTTCTTTCCTTGACGGGGTGGGGACGGTGGACGGGACTCCCAAGTTGCAGAGAGCGCGCAGAACTCACCTCCAGATCAAGTAGTTGACATGATGCGATGTGAGGCCAGCATACGCCATCGTGACATGTGTAACCGCTGCGCCCAACAGCAGTGAAATACAAATACAGAGTTAATATCAGCGAAAAAATACCAGCCTCCACGGCAGGTATCCGATGTCCCCCCAGCGCAAGAGTTAAGGACGGATGTGATCCCGAAGCGCAAATGTGAAGAACAAGTCAAGGTTGAGAAATAAGTTAAGCGATACCTTCAGGTACCACCAGCAGTGGTAGTAGAGTAACCGGGGGAGGATGAAGGACAGGAACCTGCAACAGGAGAATCAATCCAAAGATTAAAAATTATAGCTTGACGCGTTTGAAGATAGGATAAACGGTGGGTGGGTGGAAAGCGTGGTGATTTGACTGACGGGTTTGATGTAGAGGCGCCAAGCGGTTGTCGATCCAAAGGAGAATAAATTAAGACACAGGCGACAACGGACGGAGTTGTTGGAGGACAAGGAAACCGAAAATGATGATAAGTCAAGGAGATGGGGAGAGAGGACCTTCCTTAGCCCAGGTAATCCGTAGTTTTAAGAGAGATCGAAGACAAGGAAGAGAAAGCCAGGCGCCACGATTTCGAGGTTTTTTCTTGGATTTGGGGTTGGGGGGGTGGAAAGAATTGAAGATTGGCACGTAAGATGGGCCTTTTCTTTTTTAGGCGTGAACGCAAACCCACCAGGGCTGGGTACTGGTGCTTGAAACAGGCGATCTCGCGCCCACAGGTGAGCAAGGGTTGCGTCCACGGGTGTCTAGGATTTGGGAGAGACTAGTAGGATGTCTAGGGGGGGAGAAGGGTTAAGAAGAATCAAGGTGGAGGGAAACGAGGGCGATGTGGAGAAAAGAAATGGATCCAGGCCTCTGGACAGAATCGTTCAAATTTGGTTTTGGCGGTTTTGGAGATGGACTGGTTGAAACGCCTCAGAAACACCAGGAACCAGAAGCACAGTTGATCGGAGAAGGGCCGTCTGGATTTTCTGCACAACGAACTCTGTCATGCAGGACTTTGATATGTCCTTTTCGCGGTCGTCGGATCCGGGGGGTTTTGCCGGTTGGGTTGTCCAGTGGGAGACGAAGAGCGCCGAACGTGATCGGATCTGGGGCGGCGGTCGATTCGTAAATCTGGACGGGGCCCGAGTTTGAGAGAGGGAGAGAAGAATAGCGATACGATACGATATGATGTGGTTGGTCGGCGCAGTTTCTTCTCTTCGTTTCCTGTGCCCTTGTTGGTGCGTTCGCCAGGTTACAAGCTGTTACTCGTCGTCAAGGCTCAAGATCCCAAGATGTGTTCTGTTCTCTGTCTCTGTCTCTTGTCTCTGTCTCTGTCTCTTGTCTCTGTCGGGAGTCGAAAGATGTTTTTGGCGGCGGCGAAAGAAGTCGAGCGCTGGGCTGGATGGCCCAATCGGGCTAGAGTGTGGCTGCCGTGACCGTATGTTACCGGGCTTGGCGCGGACTGTGGGCTTAAGTTGCGGTTGCCGGGCTGCATCAGCCTTAAAGTGGCGGTACGAGCTTGTTTTAGATTCCCAACCTCGATCACTGAGACTGATGCAACATTCGGAATAGATGGAGGAGAGTAGAAAATTTATATGTTGCAAGGAGGAATATTACGGTATGCGCCTCGTAGATCGATGCATGCATTCAAACCAGCTGTCGACTTTCGTCTGCGCGTGTAAATTCCATATCATGGAGCTCGTCCTCAGGCGACCCAGCAGACTGCAGACTGCTCTGATATGCTTGCTCCAGGAAGTGAGCTTCATGGACACTATCCAGCATTAAAACAGGGGAAGACATAAAGATGCATGGATGGTAATATCGTACGAATGGCTGCACGCTAGACTGGTCCATTGCAACTTCGCAAGAAACGAACATAACCTTAACTAACTTAATGTAGGCTACTGGGGCAAAAGAGCTCAATCACCACCAGCGCACTGCTGGTAGAAGGGCCGATCAACCGCGGGACCCCCAACACTTAAAGCTTCAAAGATGACTAAAGTTTAACCTAAATACCTAGGTAGCTCTGTACCTACCACGGCCCGACTTTTGATGCAGAAACATGAAATCATTAATCATTGCATTCATGAACCTGAATTTCTTTCAATGCTGAGTTGCGGGACAGGGATATTGGAGGATATCTCCTAGCTCATTTGTAGACTTCAGGGTTCTTATATATATGAAGATATATGACTAATCGACCCCATCATAAGTTCGATGTAATTCTTAAATGAGAATGTTGTTGAATGTTGTAGTGTGATGTTGTTGTCGAATGTGTTGTTTGATCCTGCAAACGCGCGCTGGCAGCGCTTGGGTGCCTGATTGGGCGAGCTTAAGCGTCAAGCGCTTGCGCGTCATGTGATTGCGGTTTGTTGCTGGAACTTATCCTCAAGCTCGTTGAAGCCATCACTCCAAAAACGGCTGCAACTTCAACCTTCAGCAAAATAGACGAAATCCTGTTTACTACGCAGTCCACGGACAGTGGATTTAAACACTGCCAGTTCAGTGGAATCTGTTGCAGGAATAACTAACTAACTATCTACTACCCCCCATCCTTGAATAGGAACACATCCAACCAGCCGCCTGTCATGGCGCCGCGAATAAACATCCCCCCAATCACAAGAGCGATTCTCAGCGCCATCTGTGCTCTATCCTTTCTAAACGGCGTTGCCAGATGGAGACAGTATGAAGGTTCACCGGGTGCACCTATCCCTTATTTATCGCTGGTTCCATCCAATATTCTCTTTTATCCGTGGACCCTGATGACGGCTACATGTGTTGAACAAAATATTTTCACCGTCATCATTACCGGAGCGACTATACTTTACGGAGGGAAATATCTGGAGCGCGCGTGGGGTTCGCGGGAGTTTGCGAAGTTTATCCTTGTTGTTGCACTGGTGCCGAATATCGTCGTGACTTTCCTCTACATTTTGTGGTCGAGTATTGTCTCTGATGCTGCTATTGCGTAAGTTCTTCTACTACCCGCAAAAGCCCTGCTCTCCTACCTCCTACAGAAGTGTGCGTGCTTTATGAAACCGCTACTAAAATTGCTTCCACAGTTCGAAAGGAATATCTGGCGGTATATCGATTCTGGCGGCATTTCTAGTGGCATTCAAACAACTGGTCCCCGAACACACCGTAACAATTCTTAAAGGCGTTGTCAAAATGCGAGTCAAGCATTTCCCGGCCCTCTTCCTCCTTCTGAACGCCATTGGCGGCATAATCCTCGGAACCGACGTCGCACTTAATTTGAGCTGGCTCGGTCTATTGTCGAGCTGGACTTATCTCCGCTTCTACAAACGCCAACCAGACCTCTCAGGCACCTCATCTAGCGGACTCGGCATCAAAGGCGATGCCAGCGAAACTTTTGCCTTTGCCAACTTCTTCCCGGACGCCGTACAGCCCCTTATCTCCTTCGTCACAGATAAGATATACTCAATCCTCATCGCCCTGCGTATCTGCACACCTTTCTCCGAAGAAGATATCGCATCAGGAAACGAACAAGCAATGGCGCGTTGCGAAGCCGGGCTCCCTAGCCTTTTAAATAACGGCAGGATGGCTGGCGGAAGAGGCTCGGGTAAGCGAGAGGAGGCAGAGCGGCGGAGAGCACTTGCGCTTAAGGCTCTCGATCAACGACTTCAGGCAGCCGCCCCGAGTACGCCGGTTCAGCCAACGCCCCCAAGTTCTGCCCCATCCCAAGCAGCGCCCGCGCGACAACCCTCGCCGCAGCCAGCAGCCCCGTCTGTTGGCCCCGGTCAAAGTATGCTAGGTGAAACGAACTATACGCCCGATAAGTCGTGATGAGATAAGTAAAAATGAACTGAGATACAATGGAACGTTTGCTCCGGGTTGTGAGACCTGGTTAGCGTTATCATAACCCTGATCAACTAGTTCGTATCATCATGCATGCTACTAGACGGGTGCGAGACATCTCGGATTTTTTGAATCAGTTACTTTTTATTATATTTTATCAGGACTTTAATTGTACATTTTCTCTTTTTACTTCTATATATGTCTCCTTACGTCTCCCCCGGCTAATGACATGACCCCGGAATACTCAAACTTTTTCATAATTTGCCCATTTCGTTCTTCCTTCGTGAGTACCATAGAGCCTGTGATCTAAAAACATCCACCCCCGCCACCCCCAGCTTACCATTCCCGTCTCCATTATCCCTCTTTTCCTTTCCACTATTATGTATCTTTTTAACACGACTTTCTAGACGAAAGGTACTCCTTTGCTTTTTCCCTGTCTACCTTTTCTACTTTTTATGTCACCTTTTTTGATATATTTTCCAGCTCCTTTGCCGTTCCAAAATACCCCCCTATTTCACATTTTCGTCGCTTATAGCGATATGATATATATGTATTAGGAACATTTGCGTTTTCACCACGGCCTCCTCGGATGGGGGCTTGTATTTTCCTCTTTCTCGCTTTCTTCTTTCTACCTTGTTTGTCTACAATTTTACTAGGGGGGGTGTGGGATGATGGGAGCGCCGATGGCTAGGGACACTGGACGTTCCCAGTGATATCTTACGTATATGATAAGCGTTGGTATAAGTATATTTTGTCTAAAAAATGATTGAAAAGTTCTCAGCCTTTTTTGTAAATATCATCAGCCGCGTTTACGTCTAATTTATGAAGTATTTCGCAGCCCATTATCAGTATCCTTTGTCCACCTCGTAAAATTTCAAGTTCCGTTTGGAAGAATGAAAGATAAAAATCAAATAAAATGTACGGATGAAGATTTGGGTATTCTAGATTTGGGGTTAATAATATTTCCTTTATTGTACTATACAGACATTTGATAGGGATAAAGATCCATCTAGAGACCCACCGGTCCTTAAGGGGTAGGATCGAATATGCAACAAAAAGTAAAATAGATAAATCAAAACAGGGAGAAATTGACATACTCAAACTCCTTACCACCCAACAAAAACCAAGGAAAATGAAAACAAGAGTTGTACATAAAAATGAAATTCTAATACAAGGCGCAAGTGAAGGAAAAAGAGAAGAGACACCCAACGGACAAGAAAAATATTGTCCATCTCCACCCCGGAAAATTGAAGAGAATCCTACTCTTCGGCCCTCAGTCTCTTGACATCCTCTCTCGCCGCCTCAAGCAACTTCTCCTGATCCTTAATCATCTGCCTATTCTCGGCAACCCGCTTCCGATCCAAATCACTCAGCTCCTTCTGTCGCTGCATCTCTTCAATCTCCGCCTTATCCTCCTCTGAGAGAGGGATATCCTCCGCGCCCGTCATCTGCTTAAAATCATCCCAGATATGCCGGACAGTCTTCCTCTTTACATTGATCCGCCTCACAATCTCAGACTCCGTTGGCGGCGGCGCAAACTCATCTACGAGCTGCTCTTCTCCCCCTTCTGGTGCGGGAGGAACGGCGGTTGTCGTCGCTTGCTGGCTATTGGTAGTCGCAGCTGTAGCCTCAGCAGCCACCGCGGCTTCGTTCTTGAAATATACCGATAATATGGCGGGGCCTTCTTGTTCGGTTGTCTGTTTCACTGTTACGGCGAGCGCGGGGTTGTGGTATTTTAACCGCGGGAGGCAGACGCGCCAGAATTTCCGGGGTCCGCCGTGGCCTTCGTAGATTTTGCGCGCGTAGGTGAGGTGGACGCGGGTGACGGGCAGGAGTCCGGGGGTGGATGTGGTTGGAGGAAGAAGAGCTGCACCGAGTCCGACTCGCATATTCAGCAACTAGAAGAACGGGTGAGCAACATATGTTAGCATTGATCTACTACCGCTATCAGCGGGTTGCGGTATCAGTTCGATGGGGATCGATATAAAGAGCCGGGTTTGCTCCGTGCATTGATGTGTAAAAAATCCCGCGGATAGATAGTAAATTGGTTTACCTTCTACAGAAAAAGAACAAAACTAAGTTAGCTATATATCTTTCATGGATTTCCGGCTTCAATCGCAGGAATCGGCCAGGGTTCAACATACAGTTTTTAGCGCTCGCATCCGCTTCACTACGGACACCATGATGGCGGTTTGCTGTGCTGCGTCCACCAAAATATGGTACTGGGAGGCCGTGCCAAAGTGAATTGGGGACGGGTTATATGTACCCGGGAAGACAATCGCCAGCTAACAGTGGAAAGAAATCGACAACTCCTGTATGTACTGTATCCTACACAATTCTCCGGAGCTCGAAATTTTGGAGTTGAAGTTCGGGCAAAAGAAAGTCCGACTCTCTGCACTGGGTGATTTGAATGAGTCAGCAATTTTATCCAACCGCGGATTTTTTGATTGTGTCACGATGCGCCTGCGATAAAACCCCGCCATTAGAAGTTCAAATCGCGAGAAAACCTATCATCTTCCCACCACTTTGTTTGTCCTTCGACCATTCTTAGCTAGAAAATATGGCAGCTGCCGCGGCTGCAGCTGCAGCGCTGGACGCCAGCAATAGCGCCAAAAATACATTGAAGCTTGAGAATGTAAGTACGATGCTGCCCCGCACATTGAGTAGAGACAACTGTTAATAGGGGTGGTTTAGACGGACAAAAGAGATAGTCTTATTGCGATTGAAAAGAAATATCAGGCGCAATGGAAGGCGAACAAGGTCTTCGAGGTCGATGCTCCCTCTATATCGGAAATTCCTCCCGGCTCAATCTCCGCTGCCGACCTCCGGGAAAAATTCCCAAAATTCTTTGGCACCATGGCATACCCATATATGAATGGAACTTTACATGCAGGCCACAGCTTTACTGCAAGTAAGGTAGAATTCATGGCAGGGACTGCTAGAATGGAGGGAAAGCGAGCTCTGTTCCCTCTTGGTTTCCATTGCACTGGAATGCCTATTAAGGCCTGTGCGGACAAGTTGGTAGACGACATTAAAAAGTTCGGGAAACATTTTGAGAGATACACCGATGAAGACGGGGAGGCGGACGAACCGCCCGCTCCTACTCAGGAAACCAAGGAGGACCTGACTAAGTTCTCTGGGAAGAAGAGCAAGGCCGCGGCCAAAACGGTGAAGATGAAATACCAGTTCCAAATTATGTTGGCTTTGGGTATACCCCTTGAAGAAGTGCATAAGTTTGCGGACCCCGCCCACTGGCTCGAGTTCTTCCCGCCCCTGTGTGTCCGAGACCTCGATAGTATCGGAGCTAGGATCGATTGGCGGAGACAGTTCGTGACCACGGATGCCAATCCTTATTACGACGCGTTTACCCGCTGGCAGATGAATCGCCTCCACGAACAAGGAAAAATCTTGTATGGAAATCGGTATACTATCTACTCGCCCAAGGACGGACAGCCGTGCATGGATCACGACCGGACTGAGGGAGAAGGCGTTGGTCCCCAAGAATACACTGCTCTGAAGCTTAAAGTTAAGGAATGGTCGCCGACTGCCCAAGAGCTTGTTAAGGGGAAAATCGAGCCTGATGCCAATGTGTACTTTGTACCTGCTACCCTGCGCCCTGAAACAATGTATGGACAGACATGCTGTTTCCTTGGGCCTAAAATATCTTATGGGCTCTACAAGGTCAGCGATAAGGAATATTACGTCGTTACTAAACGCGCAGCCTGGAACATGGCATTCCAAGGCACTTTCTTCGGCAGCGACAATTTCCCACGGGACCAGAGTGAACTCGAACCAGTGGTGGAAGCCCCTGGCTCTACATTTGTTGGCACGCTGGTCAATGCACCTCTTTCCGTTCATACAGCAGGGGTTAGAATACTTCCTATGGACGCTGTCTCCCCAACTAAGGGAACTGGCGTCGTAACGTCGGTGCCATCAGACAGCCCAGACGACTATGCGACCGTGGTCGATCTCGCAAAGAAAGCAGATTACTACGGCATTAAGAAAGAATGGGCTGAATTGGAAATCCTTCCCATAATTGAAACCCCTACATACGGAAACCTTACGGCACCAACTTTGGTAACACAACTCAAGATCAACTCGCCAAAGGATGCCGTTCAGCTCGCCAAGGCAAAGGAGCTGGCGTACTCGGAAGGGTTTTATAAGGGTACCATGCTCCATGGAGAGTTTAAAGGCCAGCCGGTTCAGGAAGCCAAAGAAAAAGTCCGCGAGTCTCTCATCAAGAGTGGTGATGCGTTCCCGTTTGCAGACCCTGCTGGTAAGGTTGTCAGTAGAAGCAGTGACGAATGTGTTGTTGCATATCTTGGTCAATGGTTCTTAAATTATGGCGAAAACGACCCACAGTGGCAGAAAGATACTCTCGACTATGTAAAAGGGCCACTCAACACTTATTCTGAGGAAGCTCGCCATGGCTTTGAGAAGAATCTTGAGTGGCTCAACCGATGGGCATGCGCCAGAACCTACGGCTTGGGCTCTAGACTGCCATGGGATCCTCATTTCCTCGTCGAAAGTTTGAGTGACAGTACAGTTTACCAAGCATACTATACCATTGCACACCTTCTTCACTCTGATAGATATGGAAAGGAACCGGGCAGCCTCGGCATCAAGCCCGAGCAAATGACGGACGAGGTTTGGGATTATATCTTCACCAGGAGAGACCTTGGCGACGATTTAATTCAATCAACCGGTATTAGCAAGGAGGCTCTCCTCACAATGAGACGAGAGTTTGAGTACTGGTACCCCCTGGATGTTCGAGTCTCAGGAAAAGATCTTATTCAGAACCATCTCACGTTCTGCCTATATATCCACGCCGCACTTTTCCCTCGGGAATACTGGCCACGCTCCATCAGAGTCAATGGCCATTTGCTACTGAACGGCGAGAAGATGAGCAAGAGTACTGGAAATTTCTTGACATTGAAAGACGCAGTGGACAAATATGGCGCGGATGCCACGCGAATCGCCTTTGCTGATGCGGGTGACGCAATTGAGGATGCAAACTTTGATGAATCAGTCGCCAACAGCAATATCTTGCGTCTATTTACACTGAAGGAGTGGATCGAGGAGGTTGCGAAAGACAACTCTCTCCGCACTGGCCCTGCCGATGCTTTCTTCGATAAACTATTCGACAATGAACTGAATGTTTTGGCTCGTGAGGCAAGGAAGCATTATGTTGAGTAAGTTAATAACCCTTGTTTGGCCATAGATGTATATGTATATCGATAACTAATTTCAATTCCTCCACAGTACCAATTTCAAACTTGCTCTGAAGAGGGCGCTCTACGACTTTACCAGTGCAAGAGACTTCTACCGCGAATCAACAACCGCTGCCGGCATTGGTATGCATCGCGATATAATCCTTCGATACATTGAACTGCAGGCTCTCCTTTTGACTCCGATTACTCCTCACTGGTCTGAATACGTGTGGCTGGAGGTCCTCAAGAAGGTATGCTTATCCCAACATTTCCATTACTCTAGAAGCATCAATTGCGTCAAGACTAAACATTTTCCTCATTAAATAGCCGGATACCATCCAAAAAGCCCTCTTCCCTGAGGTCCCAGAGCCATCCCCCGTCCTCTCCTCTGCTCTAGTCTACGTCCGCACCACCGCCTCGAACATCACATCCTCAGAAGCCACCTTTGCTCGCAAACTCTCTAAGGGCAAAACCGTCAGTTTCGACCCTCGCAAACCAAAGAAGTTGACCATCTTCGCCGCCAAGAAATTCCCCAGCTGGCAGGAGAAGTATATTGATTTGGTCCGCGAGGCCTTCGACGCTGTCTCCCTCTCCATCAACGATAAAGAGCTAAATGGCAAAGTAAGCAAACTTGGCGAGATGAAGAAGGCCATGCCGTTTGTCCAGGGATTGAAGAAGAGATTGATCACGGCAAAGGAGCAGCCGGAGACCGTCTTTAACCGAGAACTGGGCTTCGATGAGCTACAGGTTCTTGGCGATATGGTTGCGGGTCTGATCAGAACGACTGGATGTAAGGTTGTGGAGGTCATTGCCGTTGAGGAGGGCGGTAAGGCGGGTACTACCCTGGATGGCGAGCGGAGGGAAGGGCTACCAATCATTGCGGAGAATGCGGTTCCCGGGCAACCTACGTTCCATTTCGAGAATATCCCTGAAGTTGATGGGTCGTGATCTGCGTTGTTATGATTTATTTCCTTTCCTTCTTTCTTGAAACTGTTTCCATGTTATTTTCGGTCTTTTAGGGCATCATGCCGTGCATTATTCATTGCCCATTATTATTCTCTGCGCATCCATAGTAAGGGAATAGGGAGAAAAAGAAAAGGTACTAGAGGTCTAGAGCGGTTAATATTTACCGTCAGGGGCATAGCCTAAAACCGATAAACCTCGATAGATATTTGACATAAATCTCATGCCTTACTTACGTTTTCGGGTCATTTGGTTATATATTGTATTTGTATTTAGATTCATTTATCTATGCATTTGACTCTATCCGGGAAACGAATGTATGACGACGCTGTGCCCAACCGGGATCGCAATGCTATCTATAATAAAAGCCCGACCAAACGTAAGTTGAAAAAATCTTTCTACTCGTCATATCATACAGTTTGTTCTTATATATATTACATGTTGATAAAACGAAACCGGACAAATCGGCCGAGGGGGTTTGAATGAGATCTAAATAATACAACTTTCTCAAAAATCCATCATATTGATGGCACACATAGCATGTAATATCAGCCCAAATCTAGCTGCCTCCTTTGGCCCTCCTTACACTTCTCATCGGCCTCTTCGCCCGTTTCCTCGCAGCGTTCTGGTGCTTCTCAAGCAAAAACGAATATGCGCACATCGGCTTCCGACTCGCAACAAACTTCCCTGTAGGGGTAAACACCTCGACCTTGGGCATAACCCCGGCCTCTAGATCCTTGGTGCGCACCTGCACAGCGAGTTCTACCCATCCACACCCTTCGATCACAATATCCGTCGACAGGACTCGATACGGCAGCGTGCTCAGCCTCTTCTTCTGTTTCCTGTCCAGCGGCAATGAGGTCGGCTTGCCGTACGTCTTGGTAACGTCCCCGTCAATCTCAAATACACCGGCGGATTGTATCGACTCAGCGATACCTTCCTTTGTAATTCTGGGTACGTTGGACATCTCGCGCTGCTCTGCCTGCATGAGAATAGCCTTCTCCGTCGAGGTTACGTGTGGCTGTATGGGGACGAATGGGGCGGCGAGGACGACTATATTGTCTGCGTCAACTGGTGTGATGCGGATGAGTCCCCCGCCGAGGACGAGGGATTGTTTGGGCCTGATCGTCAGCCGTTCAGGCTTTAAGCGTTTCTTCATGATTAAGTCTGCTTTGTGGTCGTCTTTAACAAATTCCTGTAGACCGCCGCGGGAAAGCCCGGGGAGATCTATCACTTCGCCCCTTTTTTTGCCGAAGGGGATGCGGATAGGGGATGCGGTGGTTCCTGGGAGGGAAGACACAATAGGGAAAATTGGATATTGCGTCACTTTTTGGGCCGGGGGGAGGAGAACATCGACTTCTTCATTGACCTCCTTGTTCTGCTTCGGGTCAGGATCTTTAAGTTCTCCTGGGAGCGGTAGGTCACTGTGATCCACGCTGGGATCGGTAGAGCTCCAAATCCGGCTGTTGGGCTGTAAGCTGTCCTCGAATTTGCCGCTGGCACGTAGCTTGGAAGGGGGTAGGGTTTTCGGGGATTTTGGAAAAACAACCTGGAGTAGACTGCTTTTGCCTACGTTCGTTTTCCCAACCATCCAAACACCCCCGCCTTCCTCCCAAATCTTATCCTTGATTTCTTTCGTCCACCAACCCCTGTGCGCACTAACCATGTGCACATTTCCTAAACGTACATTTTCACCCTTCGAACCTAGTGATTCGCGCATTACGTTTAAGACATAGGTCATTAGATGGTCCACGAATTCCTTTTGTGAACCTAGGAGATCAGAACGGGTGATAATGAAGCTTAGAACGGGTTTCCGGCCTCCACCCCCGTACTGTATATTTTTCGCTCTTCGATTTTGTGTACGCAGTTTTGCCAAATCTAGTATTCGGCTGATATTAGGGATTAGGGACATGGGGAAGTCCGCAGCATCTATAATGTGGTAAACATGGTTGTGTTTGTATGGCGATTCGGCAATGATATCTTCGATGTATGATATTGGAGGATAGGGAATAGGAGACGCGATTCCATGATTTATAAGGCCATGACATCTGTCACAGAATGGAACTTTTATATCATTCGGCGGTGTCGTATCTATAGAAATTATCCTTAGCTCAAGGTTCACCCTAACTCGCGCATCTTCAACAACACGTACCTTCATGCGGTTGCGCAGACGGAACAGCCGACTTTCCTTCGGCGGGCGCATCATCTACAATCTCGACAATGTTGCTCCCATTCTGAATATTTTCAGCTGCAGAGGCACCTTCTTCGGAATCGGGAGAAAAACGGCGAATATACTCTTTCACAGCTTTCCTATTGATCGAGTAGTAACCAGCTTCGTCGGGGCTGACCCATTGCGTAAATGCGCCGCAGCCGGGACATGAAAACGGTAGCAACGTAGGATCAAGGTTCGGCGGGATGCTCTCGGGTATTTCTAGTGGTGGGGTGTTTGAACTATCAAGGGTATCTGGAGAAGTGTGAAGAAGTCGTCGCGGAGGGTATAATGTATGCTCTAGACAGTCTTTGCGGCATGCGGCCGGTCTCCATTTCGAGAGAGCAGAATATGATAGTCGCGGAGCGGGTGAAGGTAAGTATCCGAATTTGATAAGTCTCCGCAATGCAGACCTTGGATTTAGGGACATTATATTAATTAATTAATTAAAATACCAATCGGTGCGCCAAACTATAGAGAAATACTATACCGCTATTGAAGCTTTGCCTGCGGAAGAAAATTAAGACTGCTTATGTGGTTTGTCAGGGCAACCGTAGAAACGATATCAGATTGATAAACCACCACAGTTGCACATGTATGTAGCCGCCAGCAAAAGAAGCCAAAATCGAGATAGATTTACGATGCTAGACAATCAAAGGAATGAGAGTGATAATAATAGTAGTAGTAGAAAAAAATATAGTGCTCATGGATTTTCATCGAAGAAAGGAATAAGCAATCATCCTAGTGCCTATCCTATGTATAAGCTAAAGCAGCATTCAGCTTAACCAGACCCAAAATTACCCCAATGATGATAGTTAACTCCTGGCGCCTTGCATAGTAGAAAAAAATAGGTAAAAGCGGACACAATTTGAAATTAAGCCTTCCCCTTCCCCTTTCCCTCAAGTTCTTTTCCGTCAGGTATATCCGCCTCTCCCTCTTCGTCCTCTTCATCACTCATTAATTCATCGTCATCCTCGTCGTCAAAACCAAAATATCGCCTCGCGGGAACCGTAGATTTGGCTGGTTGTGGTAGTGTCGTCGCACTCGTGCTTGTCTCAGCAACATCCTCCATATCGCTTCCATCGCTCGGACTCGCTGAAGACCTGCTATCTTCACTGCTATTGCTGGCGCTGGCGCTGGCGCTGGCGCTGGATCCATCCAAAAACTCAGCTCCAGCCAAGTTATCTTTCCAGTTGCCTTCTTTCATTGCGCGCAAAACAGCTTCTCTCGCTTTCTCACCCACTTCCTCCTTATCCTCCATCCAAACGCCATCAACCTTTCCCTTGCCCTCCCCGTTTCGAATCTCCGCTTCCCGTCTCTCAGCTGCCTCGACCACAGCTTCCCATCGCTTTCTTCTAGCTTCCTTTGCCTTCTTGTCCATATCAGGTTTGAGCGCAAGGTATTCGGCCAGCGCTTTGGCTTCCTTCACGGTGCGTAGTCGACGGCCGTCGAGGTTACGGTTAGAGCCGTTGTTCTCTTCCTGGTTTCCTTTGCGGCGACTAGACATACGGCCTCCAGCAGCACGAAGCTGTGAGCCGAAACCACCTTTCCCACCGCATAATCTGGCGCTAAGTCGAAGAGGGATAAATGTGGATTGTGAGATGGTTTGCGCGCCATCAAGGAGGGTGGCGATAGATTCTGATGAATAGGGGAGAAGTTGTCTATTGCTAGTAGTTGTGAGAAGAAGACGATCGGATACATTCCTAAGGGACGGTGGTAGACGTGAGGATATGTTGTCCGCAACATCGGCGATGATTGCGGTGGATGGGAGAGCGAACGAGAGGGTGGGTGGCAATGGCAACCCAGGGAAGGAGGAGAGGAGGAAATTTATCGTTTGAGGTGCCATATTGGCAACACAATATAACTGTCTTTTGATATCTTCAGTAGCCTCAGATGGATGTTCTTCTGCGCCTCGATGCCTTGTCGCGAAGGTGATTTGTCGGTTGATAGGTGATTGAAAGATGCACCGAGACAAAATCGAACGTCGTTTTGGGGACTGAAATCACATGATCCTATCAGCCACTTAGTCAGCTGCACCAGCCACGAATTTCTTCTCCGACTTCCCCATTCGTCGTTTAGGGCAAACCCTAGTCACGCTTTCCGCTCACACTTATCGGCCAAAGAAAGAAAAGCATCGACGCCAAAAGCGCTGCAACACCAGTTCAACAACCCGCTATACCTCCGCTTCGACCTCATCACCGCCCGAATACCCCATTGTCAAAGCGATTCCCCGAATTGCGCCAGGAACTCGCGACAATGTAAGTTGATGACCTTCATGTTAGTTGTGTGCTGAATATTGATTATACTGACAAAACTCTCCAGGCTGATCCCCAAAGCTGACCGCAAGAAGATCCACGAGTACATCTTCCGTGGTATGTTGACCAAGCGCAATATTTCGCCCCCCTAGATGTTCATTTTTTATCACATATTATGTTCGCATATATGGGATGGATATATCGATTCTAATTATTCTCACAAAAATTAATAGAGGGTGTACTCGTGGCTAAGAAGGACTTCAACCTTCCCAAGCATGGTGACATTGACACCAAGAACCTCTACGTAAGTCACCCCGAAAATTTGAAGTACGTATATTAAAGAAAGAGAACCACTTAAATAACACCCATATGCGGAAACAACAGGTGATCAAGGCCTGCCAATCCCTTACCTCGCGCGGCTACCTCAAGACCCGCTTCTCGTGGCAATACTACTACTATACCCTCACTCCCGAAGGTCTCGATTACCTCCGCGAATGGCTCCATCTGCCCGCTGAGATCGTCCCCGCTACCCACATCAAGCAGCAGCGTTCGCACGCTCCCCCCCGCGGCATGATGGGCGGTGAAGAGCGCGAGAGACGCCCCGGCGGTCGTGGTGGTCCCCGTGGAGATGGTGGCTACAGACGCCGTGAGCAGGGTGAGGGTAAAGAAGGCGGTGCCCCCGGCGACTTTGCTCCTTCGTTCCGTGGCGGCTTCGGTCGCGGACGTGGTGCTCCCGCTCCATCTTCTTAAATGAAGATTATGACGATGATGGAGGGACTAGCGATGTTTTTGTCCTGTGTTGGAAAGGGAGGGGAAGGGATTATTATCCCCGGGTATCGTGTGGGTGGATCCAAATGATGGGGGAATTAAATAATGCAATATTTAACCTCAAATGGAGAAGAATACTTTACGTTAAAGACGATTGCTCTTTCCACATATGTTTTTATCTTAGAATCTGTCAACATGAGCCTTACACCGGCTGATTTATTTTGGCCACGCCAGATATCATAGGCGGTATCTTCAACGACCTCGAATCGACTCTTACCCTATCTGAAATCCTGATATTGAATATTTATTTTCATTTCATTTGCAAACATTGAGAGCTCAATAACCCAGCTGACCTTATCATAGACTCTTCAATTTAGGGGAAAACACTCATAACGCGGACTAACTCTGGAACCTCATTCGATCGTACCTCACCACGGCCTGCAGAATAACCGTCGCCCCCGTAACGCAATCCTCCGCTGACGAAAACTCCTCTGGATGATGGCTTACTCCATCCTTACACGGCACAAATACCATACTCGTCGGTACCCTCTTCGACGTAAAGACACTATCATGCCCCGCCCCACTCATAATCGTCCGATACAACGACTCAGGATTCGGCTGATCCTTCACAACAGCTTTAACGGACTTCATCACACACCCAATGCAATCCTCATGGAAATTAACAGCCGGACTATCCAGATCCAACACCCACTCAACCCGACACGGCTTCCCAATCCCCTTCCCTTCCTCTGCCGCAATCGCCGCAAACTCCGCCCGCAACTCCGCATCGCACCGCTCCACAATCGGCGTGTCCGCCGCGCGGAAATCGAGACTGAAACTGACAAAGCCTGGGATCGTATTGACGCTGCCCGGTTTGATATCGACGATCCCCACACTCGCGAGGCCGCCGTGTTTCTGCGCGATCTCGCGCGCACGCACCATCATTTTCGCAGCGGCGTAGAGCGCGTCTGCGCGGTGCTCGAAGGCTGTCGTCCCCGTGTGCGTGTCGCGGCCGGTGACATTGATGCGGTACCAGCGGTATGCCTGGACGGCGGTGACGACGCCCACGCGCTGACCTGAGGTGATGAGGTAGGGGCCCTGCTCGATGTGGAGTTCGAAATGGGCGGCGATGGGGTATGCGGTGTGCGAGCATGGGGTGGTGCCTAGGTAACCGATCTTTTCCAGAGCGGACTTCATGGTTTCTGGGGCGGAGGAGGCTATGGGGAGGGAAGCGACGGTGGGGACTTCGCGGAGGTTATGGGCTTTTTCGAGAGGGATTTTGCCCGCCCAGACTGCGGAGGAGACCATGCTTATGGGGAAGCGAGCACCTTCTTCGCTATACTTTTTTGGTTAATGGCTATATTTTTCCCGTTTATCAAGGTGTTTAGAGGGGGAATGAAGGAAGGGCGGACCCCTGTGTCCTAACTTACTTCGTCCAATTGACAACACCAACTCCCCCCTCCGTTTCAATCCCCTTTTCCTCTAGGACCTTAAGCATCTCGATGCCTGCACAGACCCCTAGGATACCATCGTATCTACCACCAGTGGGTTGTGTATCGAGATGGCTCCCAATGAAAGTAGCCGGGACATACTTTCTTCGCCCAGGGCGGACAGCAAAGATATTACCCATCTCATCGACGGTGACATTGCAGCCCAGCGCCTTTGTGGTTTCGATAAACCAGTTTCGTACCTGTTTGTCTTCTTGCGAGAGGGCTAGGCGACCCATTCCTGTGTCTGTTGGGTTACTGTAAGGTGGAGATGAGACGTCAGCATGAAAGTTCACCACTACCTCTGATTTGGTCTAAACGCCCCTTATCCCCCCCTGCCCCCTATATATCAACATCTACTAGTTGCCCAGCTCATAGTGTAACCAGTTGCAAGGAGTTATGATTAGAGGGCAAATAAACAATTAAAAATAAATAAATAAATAAAGAACGTACTCTCCCCATCTAATGCCAGAGCCCCATTGGCAACTATGATGAATATAATCCCACAGCCTCTGCTTATTTGCCTGTAGTCCCGAAACATCGGCCTCCGAAAGCTGGGTGGTCAGCATGGCTTTTCTCCATGAAAGCTGCGAGAATAGGAACAGCTGATATTGAATTGCGCTGTGTATGGGTTGATAAGTCCTTGAAGAAGATGCCTTGGATAATGCGCGGTGGTGAGTTGAGGGTAGTGGTAATACGTCGGCAGATGGAAGTACTCATGAGGGGTTCAGACAAGGCAGGTAAATATACTAGTTGCAAATTAGGTATCAGCCGGTGAAGCAATTATTATCAATTGGAATCGCAGGTATATATATAGTATGCTTGCTCATAACCGATGCCCCTCAGCCCTGTCAATGTTTTGCCGGAAGCGGGGATGTTTACTTGTCAGCTCCACAACCCGGGCAGCGTTTTCGGGATATTGACCTGAATCGGGATGTAAGTTAAAGTTTTTAATGCCGTACAGTACATACTACATCCCTTCAGCTTCAAGCACAATTCGCCCACTATCCATTGCATTGGGTTATAAAAAAGGATGGAATATCCTAGGGCGGGGAGAACTTGCGGGGTGAAGATGTATTATTCACACGGCCGATCCCAAATTCCACGCACCCAACCTGAGCTTCAATGTTCATCCCACACCCGGTAGGGGTAGGAGAGAGAAAAGTACTGAAAAGTAGTTGGACTCAAGGTGTTAGAGTAGTCTCGGGAAGTGAGAGAAAAAAATAGCATAAAATTATCGACCGACTGTTGCCGATGAGCAGTTTCCAAAGATTGGTGTATAGGAGTATTTTGGACAGAGCCACGGCCATCTCTGGTAAAAGGCAAGAAATGGATTCTGAGCTAGCCTGTTCCACTCCTCCTAAGTTATGGACCTAAATTGCTTTATATCCTGCCTCTATTATGTAAGCTAGCTATGGACATGGGTTCGAATCCGGGACGGTGCGATTTGGGGGCGGGGTGGCGATTTGATTCCTTGCTCATGCATTATCTTGTGTGCATTGCTTATATATTCTTGACCTATAACTAACTATCATGTCATCTTTAGTCACCAGTGCATTGCGGGGGCGCAGGGCGTCATGTTTCCCTCCGGCGACCGGCAGCTGAACCGCTGACCCCTCGCCTAATCAGGACAGCGGAATATCAACATCAGCAACAAGAAGCCGCCATCATCTCTCAACAAAAGTCGAACGTTCTTCTTCCTCACATTTATTATTTACCTCAATTGACTTTCTATTTTCCAAGTTTAATCTCATACCAAATACCTTCACCATGTCTGCTGCTTCCGCTGCTTGTCTCTTCTGTAGGATCGTGAAGGGTATGTACAGTACCTATACTCCCGGGGAGCTGACATCATACAACCCCTCCTCCTATAAACATGTATACTAACCTATGTCAACAAGGCGAGATCCCTAGCTTCAAGCTCTATGAGAGCGAACGAGTCCTGGCCTTTCTTGACATAATGCCACTGAGCAGGGGCCACGCGGTGAGTTTATGCACACCCCGTTCTATCTCTCTACATTGGTGGCCAATTGGCGGTTCATATATCCAGGCCCCTCCCAAAGCTGCCATTGGCATTGGTCTCAATGGCTGAGCGGAAAACGAACCAATTGTGCTCCTCATCCAAATCTTCAATGAAAGAAACCAAGCTCAACATCATGGAAACGGCGCTGGAAATCGATAAACTAACTACTCGCCAAATTCTACCTCGACGCAGCTCGTCATCCCCAAATTCCACGGTGTCAAACTGACTGATATTCCCGATCAAGACCTTGCTGAGCTTCTGGTATGTAGAGCACACATTCGTCCATAATATCTCTGTGATTTCCACTCTTGTCCTTCTACCGCCATTTCTCGCCCGATTCCCCAAGCAAAATGCCGCAGTTTGTGAAAGAAGAACCAAAACGAAAAAGGCATGGAAGAAGCATAGTGCATCTCTGAGAGTTTAGCAGTGTCACAGTTCATCATTTTTGCTACATATAGATCACCAAGCTACGATTTTAAGCTCTGGCCTGGCGTTCTTTCTATTGTGTCGAAAACTCCTTGGCAAACTGCTGCATATTTTTCTCATCAAAACCCCGAGACAAGTATCTGGAGAATTAGCCAACTAACCAAAACAAATCAAACACACAGCCCGTTGCCAAAAAGTTAGCAATTGCCTCGGGCGCCGTGGATTTCAATATCCTCCAGAATAACGGAAGACCAGCCCACCAATTTGTTGATCATGTATGTTTTAACCCACATATCCCTACCCCTTCTCATTCTAACCTCTCTTTCCCTTTGCTGACGTATTCCAACGCAGGTTCACATTCACATGGTACGTTTTCCATTTTCTTTTCAATTCCCCTCATCCGTCCATTTTTATCCATCCTATCAAAGATTCTTTTATCCCCACCCCAACCCAAGGCCGGGAGAGTTGTTTAGGTTGAAAGTCTACAAAAAAGATGTAAAGCAACAGAAAAAAACTCTGAGTGTACCCCTGCAACATAATCCAAATGCGCAAAAAAAAAAAAAAAAAAAAAAAAAAAAAAAAAAAAAAAAAAAAAAAAAAAAATTATACGAAAGCCACTTGTGAGAAATCAAGGCATACATGCTAACATTTTGAACCCCTCCCCCCTCCACCCCCCGGGAGGGGCCCGCCATCGAAAAAATTTAGATCCCAAAACCAAACGAGAAAGAGGGGCTCACTGTTGGTTGGCCCAACGCAGAGGCAGACAAGGAGGAGCTCAAGGCGCTTTGCGAAGAGATGAAGGCGAAGATGTAAACTAGGAGTTAATGATATTGAATCGCTCCGATGCAAGAAAGAGGGGAAGAGAGGGGGAGGCTGAGTGCGTTTGTTGGAAATAATGTGAACAAGAGGGCTATGCGACACTTATTTTTTTTATTTTTTTTTATTTTTTTTCTCCTCTTTGTGGCCCCTCTCGTTGGTAACTATTTAGCACAGCTACATGTGTGGATATATGGAGGAAGGGAGGGAAGAGAAGAACAAAAAGGCAACGTTGAGGTGGGTTCGGGAATTCCATGAAAGGCGGACCGACCAGAAGAAACTTGATGAACACCCGATTCCACGGGGTTGCATTGCAGTTGTTAATATGTCGTGACTAACATAGGTGCTGAACGATATTTAGTAGAATAATGACTTCCTATACTCACTTCACTATTATTATTATGTATTACCTTTCCATCAAATCAATCCCATATGCCCTAGCTCACCTCCCGCGCAACCAATCCATTCCCCGCGTTAACTCTTTTCCCTCCCCCCCCTTTCCCCCAACATAGGGGGGGCGGGGAGAAAGGGTACATGTACATGTACATGTACCTGTACATCACGTTCTGCGCCGTCGCACAGACACCTGAGGTACCCTAGGCATTATTATTATTGGTAAATAATAATAAATAAATAGGTGGTTTCACAGTTGTCTGATATGTAGCACTCGGTTTATAAGTGGGCAAAAAATGTGTTAAAATGGGTGGGATTAGCCGTAACTGTATTATTTGAGATGGCCTGGTTGCTTGAAAACTGATGTGTATATGCATTTTCTTTTTCTTCTTTTATTTATCGGTTGCTGCATTCATTCATAAAAACGTACATAAGATTTGCGTATGCGAGCCCGTGAGAGCGCGCCAATCTACTGTGTTATTTTAGCAGTTGCTTTTTGATATCCACATGGAGAAGATAAATAAAAACAGGCGGAAAACAGTAAGGATACAAAAGAGTTGGCCATAAAAAATAATGAGGCATGACTCCCATCGAACATCAGACAGACGTGGCAAAAGGGGTTTCTAAGAGAATAATAAAGAATAACTAAGATCTAGAAAGCGGATGAAAAATCCGGGGCAAAACGAAGGTAGAATGAACATGAAGACGTATCAGGAAAAGCCTTGGAGAACTGAACTTTAAAAAAAAAAGGACAAAGAGAAGGGGGGAAAAAAGCAAAAAGAAGCAATTCTAGCTAGCAGCAGCCGCAGCCACAGCCGTGGTTTCCACCACCTGGCTCTGCGGTTTCGGATCGCCCGTAGCACCCTTTTCTGACAGTGCACCTTGATCCTTTACTGTGACCTCTTCAGGTTTCGGGATCGTAATTGCGGTGGATGTAGAGATAGCTTCCTCAGCATCTCTGATACGGTCGTAAATGGAGCGCGCTCGGATGTATGGATCAAGCTTCCAGTAGAATTCACTTAGCCGCGAGGCGATATCTTGTCTCTGCTTGTTAATCTCCTCGCCCTTATCCGCAGCGGTAGAGGCGGTGTCTATCCATTCTCGCGTCGCCTTTTGATACTCATCAATCATCTTAAGTTTTTCTTCCTTGAGTGACGCGGCTTTAATGGTGTCTTTCATTAGGTCATTTTCCCCTGCCTTGGGCTCTATGTACTCGTACGCGTAGTCGTCACTGCCCCCAAGCCCTACGGGAATAGCTTCCTTGGCGATGAAATTTTCTAGTTCTTGATAGTTCGACGTGAAGTGGACTTTCGAAGCTACTACGGGATCCAGCCAGCCCTTGATGATTGTCCAGAAGCCTGTGGAATGTGTTAGAGGCAGCGGTTCGAACAAAACAGGGGTGAGCGATATGAGCTTACCAGAGAATATCCATGGTGCTTTGTGAACAAGAATCGCACCAAGACTTTCAGGGTAGTTGGCTTCGAAACATTTAATGATGAATTTAACAGGTATATAGTCCTATAATACTATGTAAGCTCATATGTAATAGGCGGATCCAAGGTGAAGGGGGACGCTTACCATATTCGCCAGCCCAAAGTCGGTCATATCGAAAACAATAACCTTAACAGTTTAGTTAGCATCCGATATCGATTGATGACAGGCCATGACAGTGACAACAATTACTCACAGCAGTGTCTATTCTAGAGTCCAACATTAAGCGAGAAGTCTCGATCTGAAAGATGATGTTTTTCTCGATAGCGGATTGGCAGTAAGCGCCGATACGGTGCAGCCGGACATTGATATAGCAAATCGGCCTGCCTAGCTTATCCTTGCCACGGCAATAGGCCTCACCAATTCGAAGCATATGGAGCAGATCCTCGCCCTCCTTCTTCTTGGTAGGGTCGTCACTCTTGCTGTTCTCATGGAAAGCAGCCTCGCCCTTAAACACGATCTCATCGTCCACCTTCCACTCCTGGGACCTCCATTTTAGAGTAGATACCAACATCACCAGGGCCTTGTGAACATCCCACTTCCTGGCCCGCAGGAATCGAAGCAAGAGCGAATCCGGGTTATCATGTTTAATCACATTCCAGAACGCCATCCGTAGCTCCTCGGGCGATTGGCTGGATAAAGCAGTCAAGAACTCCTTGTTTAGTCCATATTTATCGTCATCATCCGACAGCTTCATCTGACTAGCTACAGCGTGGCCATTGGCAGTCGAATTTTCTTCTTTCTCTTCCACAGTCTCATTATACTTGCTGAAGAAGCCAAATCGTTTCCTTGTGGTTGTCTTCTTCTTTGACGTCACGGAGGCGGCATCTGTCGTGTTCGCAGTTGTACTTTGAGTTTTCTGGAGCGATGATAAACTATCCGCCAACTCAGTTCCCTCAGCCTGGCCAATTTTGAATATCTTGAACAGGAGCGCCCAAAGCTCCCGGAGTTTCGCCTCCTCCTGCTCTGTAAGGTGGCCAAGCCGCCCGCTGAGCGCTGGATCTGTTGCCATTTCGTATTTTTCTGCCCCTGCTGCTTCTTTGTCCTCAGAGTTGAAATGCCCTGGAACCGGTGAGATCCTAGTCGTGATGCTGGCTTTGTCGGGCGCCCAATAAATATGTCGCAAGCCTAAACCGCCGAATACAACAACAGCGGAAACAGCGAATGTCCAGAACGACGAAGCGTATTTCGTACAGGAAGATGGATATTGATCAGGGAATCCGGAGCAGTTATGTCTGGTTGGGGGGGGATCGCGTGGTGACGACCACCCTCGAAATCCGGAATGCGCACGTTGTTCAGTCAACCGTACAGAGACGAAGTTGAGAGATGAGGGTGAGACGCGGCGGTGGAAGGCCGCCCACATATATATATTATTGTGGCAGTATTATTATTGTAAAGGGGGCAGCAGCAGATCGAAGACAGCGAAGCTTATATTTTGGTCTGCTGGGCGAAAAGTTCAGCGAGCGACAAGCACCTGCCACAGGCTCGTCCGTCCCCTTGCCTGGCACTTCAGTCCCTCGCCCTCGGTTGCGCCGGATACAGATCCCAGCTAGAGAGGGCTTCGGCGCAGATGGCAGCACAACACGGAGAGTAGCGCGATGCGGGGCAGATGGCGATGAAAATCTGGGGAGGTTTCAAGGAGCGTGTTGAAAACTAGATCCTACCTAGCCAATGGAGCTATATTGGAAGTTCGTTTGTTCGTCGGCCTCAAGGCCATGTCGTGTCGGCTAGTGCTTATGTCATTGCACGTGAAGGCCAAGATTGCGGAGTTTTGATATCGGCATCACAACAAAATACCAAAATAGTTCAACAATAATAATCAAACGAGCAGCAATACTAGTTAAACTACCATTCAAGCTGTCTTACCCCCCAGCCTAATAATAATAATAATAATAACAATAACAATATTCCTCTGTAGTGCGCATACAGGGACCGACCTCCGATTTACCCTTTACCCACATCCCCCGCCATTTTCCTGGCCATGGACTCCGGCGGGGTACACCGATCAACCTCCCGTCCTCGCCCTTCATCCCGACCTACAACCCCGCTTCGACCAGGCTCACGGACCTCGATTCGAGATTCGCACGCGTTCGGAGGAAGCTGGAATCAAGATGGTGTCTCCCAACCGGCTGTGAACGCCCTGGAGCCTCAGTTTGCAGAGTTGGCAGATTCCATGGCAGATCTCGAGGCCAATTTCATGCATCTCCAGCTGATGCATGAGAGCTTGTCGCGGTTTAATGAGAGCTTCGCGAGCTTCCTGTATGGATTAAATATGAATGCTTTTTGTGTTGACTTCCCTGAGGTATGCCTGTTTTTGATGTCTCTTTTTCGCACTCATTTTCGCTTTTTATGTTAGGTTCTTTATAGAGACACGCGTTGACATGTTTTTCGTTTTAGGCGCCCATTCCAGATTCCTTCAAGAGAGCGAAGCAAGCAGAAGGTAATCCAGAGCCGCACACTATCAGAACTGATCACGGCAGCCATTCGACGGCGCTGACATTTCTATGACTAGACTCAGTGACCGTGAACGAACCATTGACAGCAACAGAACATGACGGTGAAACAACCTTCATGTAAGAATACGAGGTCTGCTCTGTGGTCGACAACAATTGGCTTATTCAATTCTATTTAGGACCACTGACACCTCGTTTGTCGATAACCCTCCTATATCAACTAAAACGAGTTCAAAATACTCAACACCCGCTCCCTCAGCCCGCGGTACTAGCCAATCTAGCCGTGGTTCAACCGGAGGCCGCTATTCGACTAGAGGTTCAACGCGCGGCCGAACCAGCGGGCTTGTAAGGCCACGAGCTCGCGGAATTCGGTAGTGAACAAAGATTCCTGACACTTCATTGTCTGGGAACGCTCATATACCCAAAGATTTTCTACCTTCCAACCGAAATCTGTTCTCTTCGTGCAAGCAAGGGAGCTGTTCAACGCTCCCACTAGGATGTGCAAAAGCCGTACGCCCGTTTTCCGCTAGTTGGCTATCCTAACAGCTCATGTAGCGCTTGCAGATTGAGCGAAAGGAAGGCTACACGGCCGGCGTCGATATGGCAGCAGAGAGATCGAAACTTGACTACCAAACCCAATGATTCCCGGCTACATGTCCATGCGCTCACGATATGCTAATTCAAGCTAAGAGCTGCTTGATTAGATTACTCTCCCCGTTGGATAAGCTTTTTGGAAATTTACGGCGAATCCATTAATAGATAATCGTGGCTATTGATGGTTCACGCCATGCACAAGCCCCAAGGAAGTGCAATAGCCGCCACTGTTTCCAGTTTCCTATTTTCTGAATTTCCCATTCCATATACGCTAAGCAGCGGGTTTTGTGGGTTTAGCTAGACTTGAGAAGTAGCTGGCAGATCTAATTACTGCAGGTACCAAAGTTTATTATAAGACTCATGTGTATTTAGAAAACTCATAATATGACACCAATTGTATGGATATAAATGACCAACTCAGTAGAAATGTGACACCCATGAATAAACTAAAACATAAGCTTCCAAAGTAATAGTTGGGTGAAACTATGTATCACTCTGATCAGTGGTTGGGCAACCGTCATTATCCCAAAAAACTAAATATCGAAGTAAAGTTGTTGGTTTCGTTTCGCTCGGCAAAAAAAAGCAAAACGCCGCCAATCATGCTAAAAATCTCCGAACTTCAACATATCCTTCTTCTTGTGATATTCTATTCATCTGACTTTTTTCCTTATTGTTTACTTTCAGCGATTCTCCTTTTATTATTTAGTTATCTCCCTCTGCGTATGCTGAGAGTGATATCTCGACCAACCAGAAGTTCTCAAGGGCTGTGCCCAAATTTCCGACTAATTCTTACACCTACCTTGTCGTGACCACTTACCTCCGACGGTTTCTAATTCACAAAATTCATATGACGAATCTCTTGCCCAAGAAGCCACAGCGAGGGGATTTGTGCAAGTCATCGATCATTGACATTCGTTTGAGCTTGCCTGAGCGTTGGCTTTGGCAGTATTTCGTTGGTTTGTCGAATCAAACGTTTGATACGGATCGCCGCTCATCAAGAGCTCTACCTACCCATCAGACGAGAACTCATTATTCGAACTCCTGTAACTATATCGGCAATTATCTAAACACGTAGCGTTTTTGATTCTCATAATCAATACCTCGGGGAGCTCGACAAAGCTTTTGCTCTCCTGAATCTTCCTATTGAACGAGTTGTGGTACCCGCTGAAATATTTGAGTCCCGCTTCCACACAGTCTATCTCAGATCCCCGTGTCGCCCTCCTTGGACCTAAGGTTTTATTCTTAAGAGCTGTTAGGAGAGAAGGACCTGGCTACTGGTTATCTTCAACTTTTGACTCAACTCTCCAATCATCCCCAGCATCAGCGGATCTTACGCCGAGAATTGCGCACAGTGGACTGCTACGGAAAGCCTGGTCTGATAGACCGCGCGAAACTCTTCTCCTCGGCGGTTCAAACGAAATTACGTATTGTCAGGCTTCAGTCGAAGTTTTGATACTCCATCCGGAGCTTCCTATTAAGCGTATTGCTAGGGGACATCCTCTGCCACCTTGTTGATATCCATTTTATCAGCCTGTCCGGAAGGCTACTAAGCGGAAGGACATAAGAATTATCATCATGTCAGATGCCGAATTTGGATGCGGTACTGTCACTCTCCCAGCGATAGATCGGTCAAAAGAAGAAAAAAATCGGAGTACTAACACGTTTTTCAGAACACCTCAGGGACGTTCTAGAAAAAGATGAGAAAACTGCTAGCCAGTTCCATCATGCCCTCCTCCAGGTACATCGGAGACCGCCTCCCAAGCCTGCGGAAATAAAGTCATTGAGGCCCTTTTACCCCTGTCTGGAGTGCTCTGCAGTCTGCACAACGGTAGACCGGTACACTCATTACCAGAATTCAGGCCACAAATTTTGTAAGTCTTATATTCATTTCCTACCTTCTTCAGGTTTTTGAATCAAATTGCTAATTTACAAATTCAAGTCACGGATTCCCGAACGGGCACTATATTCTGCCAAGGATGCGATGATTATGTTTATGATGCGGAGTTAGAAAACTTCCTCTTCGACCCTTCAGGTTTGTTTAAATAAAATACACCGAAATCACTGGGGCAAGACTCCCTCCAAGGCCTCTCTCCCTAACGTATTTAAAATAGGATTTAGAAAACGTAAACTGGGTGGTGACTCTGAGAACGATGGCGACCAAGCTTATGTTGCGGCTAATGCGAACAAGAGAATATGTGGAAAGGAAGGCGTTAGGGGTTTATTTAACTTAGGCCAAACTTGCTATATGAATGTCATATTGCAAACTTTGCTTCACGATCCCCTTCTGACCACATACTTTCTCGGCAATAACCACCATACGTACGATTGTACAGTCCAGAACTGCATCAGCTGTGCTGTCTCTGAAACTTTTGCCGAATTTAATAACGACGATAAGACGGAAGGATTTGGTGCGCTTAATTTACTATTGGCGTCGTGGAGATCCAGTCCTGTAAGTTTGCTCCGAATGTCTTATTATTGTCCAATCTTTTAATTTTGGAAACTTACACATCACCATCGTCACAAATAGATCCTCTCCGGTTATCAACAGCAGGATGCGCATGAGTTCTACCAATTTTTGGTAGACAAGCTACATGCGGGCACTCATGACCACGTTGAAGACCACAATAAAACATGCCGCTGCTTTTTCCATAACGCCTTCTACGGAAAGTTGCGAAGCAGCGTGACTTGTGATAGGTGTGGGAATGTCACCCAGACGGAGGATCAAATGATAGATCTCAGTTTGGACGTTCAAGTCCAGAAGAAAAAACGAGCCCTTGGCGGGGGTGAATTAACCACAACCCCGACACTTGACGGCTGCTTGCAGAGTTTCACCTCCCCGGAGAAGCTCATGGCAGATGCATACAACTGTAGCGGCTGCGGAGGCACCCCGCAGAAAGCTACGAAGCAACTTCGGATAAGGAAACTGCCTGTGATATTGTGCATGCAGCTGAAGGTCAGTGTTCGGCTCTGCTCCTAACCAGTATTGGTTGTTCCATTACCATACCTGTAATAGCTTAGCTGACGCAAAAATGTCCGATAGCGATTCGAGCATACACTTTCCGTCTCGGAAAAGGTTGAAGGAAAAGTTGACTTTCCACTCTCGATCAACATGCTCCCGTATACGACGCACCAGCACTCCAAGAGCAAAGGTAGAAATTCGAATTTTATGTACGACCTCTCCAGTGCTGTTGTCCACAAGGGCAAGCTTGACGCAGGGCACTATTATGTTTATTGCCGGCAGGGCGAGCAGTGGTTCCTTTTCAACGATGACCAAGTGACCGTGGTCAATGAAGCAGAGGTGCTGGGCGCCGACGCGTACCTACTCTTCTACACCCTTCATGCCCTGTCTGGGGCTAGCTAGTGTTGATGATATTGGGCATGAAGGTTTGCTGTCTTATTTATATTCCTTTTTTCACTTTCATCTTCACAGCATTTTCTATATTTTCTTCCCTGTCTAGTTATTATGTTGGGGGGCTTAATGTGATCATTGGACGGACTCCATTTACGGATGTATATGCACACGTGAACGATATATGCTTCTCGAAGCAGTTTTATCTTATCTTAGTGATTTACTTATGCCAATTACCTTCACAGTCTAGTTTCTGTGGGGGTTTCTGGGTTGTTCCTCTACTGTTTCCCCTTGCTCCCTTTCTGTCGTCTTCATGGGGTTGCCCCAAAGATTACTTCCTTGTCGTTGACCAATTATCTTTCCTCCTGTTTGAGTCTATCCATCTGCTTGCAACTCCTACATTTTCCATTGCGTGATTCGCCTTACTGTTGATCTCCAGGGCTGCCAAGCATGTCCACGGGGGAGTGGGCGCAATCATATGACCACCAAAAAGTCCGCGGGTTCGTCAACTTTCCCGCCCGTTATATCCTGGGCCGGATTTCGCTGCGAATCGAACTCCGTTCATATGTGAAGGCCAATGTTTTCGATGAATAGCCAGCTCGATACGGCAACCGCGGTTGGACTACAAGCGCCTACTACAAATTGCATCACCATGGACATGTCTAAAAAGACCTTCCCATGCCAAGCGAGCGCTTTGCAAGGCAAGACGTAAATTGGACGGGCAAGCGAAGGGGCTGTTGTTACGCTTCCTTTTATAATTCTAGGTGGCTGCCCATTCCTGGTCATGGCGTCAATTTACGACTAAGTGGACGAGCCTCGTTCAACGCAGGCCTGCGCATCTTTTAGTTCTGGCGGTTTGATGATGCTGGGCAAAGAAATGGTAGGCGATGTTTTTAAACAGCTTAACTTCGATTGTGTGGCTATCATCTTCAGAAATTTGTCCCCCATCGACATTACACGATGCTGTCAGGCCAGCCGCACTCTAAGAGAGTGGTCGCTCTGGTTCATGAGCTCTGACGGGCTTCGACGTCGTCACTTTCCCTATTTCACGGATGAAGACTGTTTTGGTAACGACACTCTTTCGCCAGTGAAACGGTATACTCGATTTAGTACGTCAAGATACCATGTTTCCCCAGGCCGCCGATAACAAGAATAGTTTCTTTCTAACCCAAATCGGCCCAGATTAAGCGCTCTTTTAGGGAGTGAAACCCTTCATCTGTTGTTAAATTCGTTGTTGTTAAAGCATTGAAAACGCGGGGCAACTATTCTACTTGGATCTTTGGCTCATGGGTCTGTTACTACCAGCTTCGAAACAGGCTGGGCGACAAATTTTGTTGCCAGATTCAACCACTCAGGAAATTTCCGCTGCCTGTCCTTCCTCCCTCTCGGAGAGACGTCCCTTACGCGCCACATTTCATTGATGTGAATGCTAAGCGATACTTTTTTGTTCGGGTCGGGATCCAGGAATGGTGCTCGAGGAGAATCAAGTTCACTCCGTACGTCTTGGCCCTGAAGCCTTAAAAACACTGCTCCTTGGGGGTATATCAATACTAATAAAGGAAATAGCGATATGATCTTCTCATTTCAACAAACGAAACTATTATGGCACCATGATCGTGCCTTGGATGGGCTGCCCGAGCTGCAGCCGCTACACATTGGGAGAGAACGGGTTTATTATATCACTATGTTTTCCAAACCCGAGCTGATCGCGTATGACATCCGAACAGGCCGACAGCTCTCTCGGTCGACCTTGCCTGAAAAAGTTAACAATAAAAGTCATTTATCCTCAATACTATCTTATTTTTGACATGGACAACGAGTTTCTAGCCTATGTCTCGCGGGACCTCTCACTTTCATCTCCATTCATTTGCGTCGTACTAGTTAATGGCACTGACGGCCGCGTATCCCAAGGGATTGAAGTTTCAGACGTTTCTTGGACCGTGGAGTTTAAGGAGCAACCCAACGTTATAGCCTTCGCACTAGAAAGAAGAAAACAAAACATCCTTAATGCCAAATATCATTTAATAATAATATTCGAGACGTATGCACTCCAGCCAGATGGACTGTTCGCCATGACGTCGAGAGTTTCATTTCTCCTGAATAGTAGCGCATCACCCGACGGAATTTTTATATATGTGGATCCTTTCAGGCTTCTGGCATTTGCTATGATTGATACGACCAGCGATTTTACGATTCCTCATGTACTGGAGCCCAGAAAAGTATCTGACACTAATATTCTCAGCGAGGTTGAAGCGGCTCTAGGACCCAGGAGAGGAGGGACTGGAGGGGAGGATTGACAACTGGTTCACCCTGTCTGTGTCAAGCTATATTACCCTACCGCCAAAAGCTGCAGGATCAAAAAGGAGGCGCCCATTGAAAGTTTGAGGCATCAATACCCACTTGGCGTCCAAAGTCAGTTTTTGGGGAGAGCGAGGATTTCTGTTCCAAGACCTCAGAATTCGGATGCAACATATGCTTTGGACTTCACACTTGAAACCTAACAACACAAGGCCTGGAGTATATGAATCGTGAGAAATGGCGTAACCGTCTCTATTCCTTTCTTTTCCTTTCTTTTTCCTTTGTTTATTTATTTACACAATTTTTTTTTTTTTTTTTTTTTTTTTTTTTTTTTTTTTTTTTTTTTTTTTTTAATCCTGAACACGCAGGAGAATATGGATGAAAGAGTTGAGAGCTCATAAGCAAAATCAGACACGAGCAAAAATAACATATATGATGGTTAAGATGGTGTATGATATTGAAAAAAAGAAAATATAAGAGTCATTTCAAATGACATTCATTGGTCTCTGATCTCTTCAGTTGATTTAAGGGATTTAGAGAGGAAACATTTCATTTGAAGTTGCCAATCAATGGATGTGAGTGCATGTTTCTAACAAAGCATCATTTAGCTATATACAACGTAATTCATTGATCTGGTGAGGCATTTTTTGCAACCATCCCAGGCCCTGCCATTAAGATCTCTCTGTCTGACTCTCATATCAATACCATACCCTCATCCCTCATCACATCACCGTCATCATCACCATCATCACCATCATCACCATCATCTCCATCACCATCACCATCTTCCCTTACCTCCCCCGGCTCACCCGGATCCGCCAAACGTCTCCAAGACATGTGGTTGAAAGAAGCACGCCCGCTAGTTCCACAGCCAAGATCAACCAGGATCATCCAGACTGCGTACGCGCTCTCTTTCTCTCCCTCCCCGTTGTAATTCCTCGTCGACAACGGCAACGGCGTTTGTCATTTCCCGGTCTTTTTGAACACCGAAGTCCGACCGAAAAACTGGTGGGGAAACACAGCATTATTAATTAATATTAATAATTTGTCGATTGATTGGGCCTGTGTCGCAGGACAGCGCTGGAACAAATCGGCCGTTAGAAGGAATGGTCCGAACCGCCAGCCAGATAGATTTAATTATTATTCCTTAAAACGCCGGTAATTCCGATTTTCAACAGGTCTTCCCATTTCCAGCTTTTGTCTTGAACCATAATTCCCAATTGCAAGAAAAAATAATAGCTACATTACATGTAAGTTTCCTCAGGCAGTTGGAAATATATTACAGATCAGTCTCTTGAAACCTCAGTATAGTATGACATACAACCCTGCCAATAATAATAATAATAATAATAATAATAATGATAATTATAGGGACCTAGAACGTATCCGGTAGTTAACTGGTAATAATAATAATAAGGAATAATAATGCGCATAACGTTTCACGTACTGACTGGGGTGCCAATTATGCCGCGTATTAATTTTTATTATTACTTCGACTCGAAGAATAATATTAATAATAATAATAAACTGGCAACCTCTGCCATACCATACCATGCATGCTTCTGGGAATAAATGTACACTTGGAGCTAAATAAGTTAAAAGAGAGATAAGCATTTGTTTCGGCCCAGCGCACCACCCTCATTTCAATCCTGGGTTTCCGCCCAACCGGTTCATCGATATCTTCATACTATATACGCAATACTGCGCACATCAATCCTCTCCCTCAAGCATTACAATGCGGCACAATTAGAAACCAAGAGGCCATGCTGAGAATTCCGTGCCAGGACCAGAACTTCAAACAGAATATCCAGCAGCAGACCTGGCATCAATTCTCTCCAGATCAAAGACAAGGCGCGCTCTGGTCTTCCTGTGCATGCATGCTAGGGTGACTTCCACATGTACATGTTACAAGTTTTGCAAAAGATAAAATGTCGCAGGTATCTATCGCAAACCCTTCCGCTGTCCACCGTCGTAGGAGCTGTCGTCGCTTGGCCCTATCGTCTCGAACCACCTCGAACCACGTCCATCGCACTGACACCCGATCAAAACGGATTTTCCACGGTGGCAGATCTACGATCCACACCACCCTGCCTATCCCAGCACGGCCATGGGAAATCTCCTGCACGTCAAAATTGAGAGTGACGATACGGATGAATGGCGGCGGCACAGTTTTCGAAACAGTCATGTTATTAATAATAAGGAGGGCGAAAGACATGTCTCCGCTGCTACATGAAGTCATCCAAGAGCCTGAGAGTGAAAGCTGATTGATGGGGTGTTATGTTATTACAGTGCCTTCAGGCTCCCACCACGTTTGGATGTTTCATCTCATGGCCAGTAGTGAGTTGTGGTGAGGGGAAGGGGTTTGTTTGTTGGATACATGTCCTCTGAGGTAGTTTCCTGCTGAAGCATTTGTCACAGGGGGATCTGATGGTGGTTTCTGTTCTTTTTCTGCAGAGTCACCAGGTCATTGACCAAATTGACCACCCATGAAGAATGCACGCGGCGTTCCCACTGATCATCGAAGGAATAGGTTTTTTTTTTCCATCACAGGCCGAGGCAACAGATAAACAGACAGATAAAATCTAGTTCAACATTCACACATATCTTGTATAGTCTATAGATAGAGATAGAGATAGCAAGAAACTTGAATCATCTTCACTTCATAGCAACAGAGACAGATATAAATATTCTCTGATAATGAATGATTCACTGCAAGTGTAAGCAGCTGTAACACTATAAGTTTCTCTCTGAACAAGCAACAGTTCTTCTCTTAAGTTATCTTCAACAATGATATGAACAATATGAGATATTGCTTTCAGCTCCTGTTCAAGTGAAACATCACAGCTTAAGCAAATGAATGAAGTTACAACTTACTGCTGATTAAATGCGAAATCTTAGGCTGTTTCATGTCAAATAAGCTGCATAGCAAACCCAACTCTATCTAATTAATATTTCTGCATTTTCAGAAGTAATAGAGAAATCAATAATTTTTAATAAAACCAATTTTTATTTTCATATTTCTACTATTTAACTATATATGAGGTATCAGATCAAGACAGATACAAGTAGAATGAAATATGATCATGTACAGTAGTACTACATTTAAGTTTCTACACAGCACCAGCACAAACCACTCATACCGAACAACCGAGCAAAAAAAAAAAAGCTCTCTATTTTTCTCAAATCAAGCCTTGAAAAACCCTCGCGCCACCGGCCCTTGGGAAAAACGTCAGATGATCCCGCTCCCCGCCCCATATGTAACGGCTGCCATTGGCCCGTCCGTCCGTTGTTAGCTGGATTATTATTGCTTGCTTATTAGTCTCTAACTAGCCTCTAGTTAGCCCTGCTGTGACGATGATGATGGCTGGGCGGAAGTGCCGGATAGCTCTTCTCGCTCAGGAGTCAGCCAGCACAGATAGATCAGAGATCATCGAGAGGGGGGGATGAGGACGCTGTTACTAGGGCAGAGAGAGGCACTAGACCACCCCCGAATACGGGGTACGCGGATATGATTCATACATACGGAGTACGATGCGTAGATAGCTCGTGGCTGGCTTTGAAATGAAATTTCACAGTTCAGTTGTGTAGGAAGTGTTCATACGCAGCTTATTTTATAATTTAGTTCAGTTGTTCATTTACATTTTTAAATCGTTTCTTTACCATTTTATATTAGTTATAGGTTGTCGATTTCTCCGCTTGGGAAACTACATAACTTTTCATAATCACAACCCTTGAAGAAAAAAGACGAAGATCCCGTCAACTGTCGCATCGGCCATGCCATCATAATTATTTATTCATAGCCAGCCCTAAACTTTAATAAAGGACAGAAAAGGAAAAAGAAATCCACAGTGGAGACTTTTCGGCATCGGGAAGAAGGGTATGTAAAAAGGCAAAAAAAAAAAAAAAAAAAAAAAAAAGCGGGGACAATGGCGCCCCAGTTATTATTATTAAGAATGATTCCCTTGCTATAGACTAGACACGATGATGATAGCTGATAACTACAAAGTGACGAAGTTGCCGGATCCAGCCCCATGCTGCTGGCTCTTCAGGTCTCACGACGGTGGTTTTTTAACCATTTATGTCCTAGAGACATCGTCGTCATGAGGAGAGAGAGGAGGGGAGGGGGGGGGGATTCAGAGAGTCAATTTATTATTATTATTACCTATGATTATGATTATGATTTGTACTGTACATACATAACATAGTTCCCAGAGATACCCGAAGGCCGAAGGGGTCCGCCGTGAGGTCCAAAAAACAAAAAAACAAAAAAGATGAGATGGATGACATGTCAAAGTCATTTTTTTATTTGTTGTGTACAGCGTAGCCTAACTACTGACTGCACTTACTACTACTACAGTCCTACTATGCACAACGCATCGGTATATCATGTGTAGAACCATCATAGCACACCACTATAGCATGGCAAGTATGTAGAAATAATGACGGGAGAAATGCTGCAGAATTTCTATGAGGCATGAGTCCTACTACTCAATGTACATGTACATGTACATTAACTTACATACTCTGTACAAAAAAAAGTAGTTGAGTTAGCTGCAGGGAACTGAGGGAGGCAAGGTTTTTTGTTGGTTCAACCTAGCAAGAAGCCTGGACCGCCCAAATAGTAACTAACTAGTTAGTAGTGTAGGGAGTAACTTTAACTAGTTACATAGAAAAGAAAAAAGAAACCTAGCGAGCTGTTTGCCGGGCTAGCTAGTCTAGTCGCAAAACGCTAAATGGGGGCATGGGCATCATAGTTGAATAATTATTAATCCGGCGCTTCTACATAGATTATTGTGAGAGAAGGGGAAGAGACGCCTTCTGACCCGATCAGATGAAAAGAAAAAGAGAGAGAGAGAGAGAGAGAGAGAGAAAGAGAATAAGGAAAGGGAAATCAGCTTCCGATTCCGAGATATTTTATTCAGTGCAAACATTTCTTTTCTTTTTCATTTTCGTTTTTTCATTTGTTATTTTTCAAAATTGCTTCCCCTCTTCTTATCTTCTTATTAATCTTCCTCTTCGCCCTTTCACCTAGCTATAATCATCTAAAAAGCCTTTTTGAGAAACGCATGCATCCCCCCCTCCCCTTCCCTTCTGCCTAACCTAATACCTAATAACACCTGTGCCCCCGTGTCTGATCAGCTATCACTCACCATCCTGCAAGCTGATTCACAGGGCCCTTACATTCACCAACTATCCAACCCCCCTCCCCCCTCCCCTTTTCCCCGGCCCAACTTCCCGAGTGTCTCTTGCAGGTTTCCCACGTTGTGTCTTCCCAAACCCACAAGCCTATATATACTGCCATCGCGCACAAGATTCCGGTTACATACTTCTTATCTACTGTGGTCGATAACAGCATATAACTCTCTTCCGCATCCCAGTGGGCGGCCATGCTGCGGACAGCGCCCTTCGCCGCTCCCAAGGGAGGAGCTCTCTGGCTACTCTTGTTCCTGGCAGTCGCCGTTCTCGCACATGGTGACAATGATGCCGCGCATGGCAATACGGATATGGGCATGGGCCATGGTCATGGTGATGGTGGTGGTGGTGGTGGTGGTGGTGGACCGCACAGCTCTAACGGACATAGTAATAGCACGCCGTCATCGTCACCATCATCTAACAGCTCTAGCCCCATGAGCTACTTCGCGTATCAGAAACATGCAGGCTCCATAATAGCCCATGTCGTCCTGATGGTTATCGCGTGGTTCTTCATACTGCCAATTGGTACGCATATAATAAGCTATTCTCAAATGCACACCTATTTTGCGAAAGACAGATTGAAAAATGGAAAAAAACAAAAAAACAAATGGAGTTGTCAAAATACAACCAGGAAAAAAAAAAAAAAAGTTTATACATTTTGCTAACCATTGTGCGCCGTTACGCTTGGCTCTTTTTTTTCCTTCTGTAGGTGTCATGTTAAGCGTCGCCCGATCGCGACTTGCCTTACCTGCGCAATTCGTTTTCCTCATCGTAAACGCCTTAGGGTTACTACTAGCAGCGGTGTATAACAGTCAAGTACCTAATCTATACGAAAACAACGTACATAACAAGATCGGCTGGATCGCGACCTGGGTTATGGTCGCGGAGGTTGTCATGGGCCTTTTGTTTGCGTATTCCGGCGGTCGTCAGGGCGCCGACACGTACACTGGCCCGTCCTACGAACGAGTTGCTTTCCTCCCCGTGCCAACTGCGGAGGATGCGCAGAACGAGACTTACCCTGCCGGCCCTTACCATCAGTACCGCTGGTCTGGCGACAGCGGTCAAGGCACTGAACGCAACTCCTCCTCCCTGCGGAGCCGCAGCTGCTCTCCAGAACGTGGCCGACGAATGTCTCGACCAGGCGATCATGATGAGTTTGATGAGAAACCTGAGGATGAAACCAATGATGGCGAAATGCCTATGGTGCCAGGAGCCAACCGGTTCTTCTGGGGTGGTTTTGTGGATAAATTTCTCTCGAGACGGGTCCCTGGAATGCTCCCTAGGCGCGCGCTTAACATCATGAATGTTTTCTATGTCGTCATCGAGAGAACCATTCTAATTCTTGGTTTCATCGCGATAGCGACTGGAGCTGTGGTTTATGGTGGTATCTTCGTAAGTGGATTGGATTGCCGTTCCCTCTCTTATGGTCCATAGCATGGGGGAGGAAGTCAACTATTGTCTTATCTTGTAATAAAATGGATGTCGTGCTAATAATTTCATGCAGCGGGATAATGACATCTTCAACGGTCTTGCCCATTTTATCAAGGGAGGGATCTTCTTCTGGTATGGGTTGCTCACGCTTGGTCGCTGGATGGGATGTTTTGCAGATTTTGGCTGGGCTTGGAACATCAAGCCGTCACGTGCCATGGTGGGGAGATTGCGGGCCTGCATCCCGTCAGGGGAATTTACAGAATCCTTTGTTATCTTCTTATACGGCGCAAGCAACGTCTTTCTCGAACATCTGGCAGCATGGGGCAAATCATGGACTGCGCAGGATTTGGAACATGTGTCGATCTCTGTCATGTTCTTTGGCGGCGGTTTGGTAAGTTCCTTTTTCTTAGTAACTATTATTATTAAACGGTTGAATAGTTAACCCCACTGACGATATAAACAACAGTGTGGTATGCTGGTTGAATCGAAACGAGTTCGAGACTGGATGAATGCTGCTATTTATTCCCCTACTGCTCCTGCAGAAGGCTTGCCGTCAGAATCTGTCGAAGTGCCAAAGACTCAACGGGTGCCCCTCAACCCTATCCCTGCACTAATCATCCTGCTCCTTGGCTTGATGATGAGCTCACACCACCAGTCGAGTATGGTGTCCACCATGGTGCACTCTCAGTGGGGAATGCTCCTGGTTGGATTCTCTATTGCTCGAGGTGTGACATACGTCATTCTCTGCCTTAAACCACCGACTTCGCTGCTGCCCTATCGACCACCTTCGGAACTTATTGCTTCCTTCTGCCTCATTTCCGGAGGTCTCATTTTCATGCTGAGTGTAAGTGTTGGTTGATATGAAAAAAAAAAAAACACATTTGCCCTACCTATTCAGTTGTGTGTTCTTAGAAGCCCATGCCACTTCTCAATTTTTATCTTTTGCTAACGAAACTTCCCTTTTGCTCAGACAAGGAACGTTGTTGAGGCAATGGAACATTACGACCTTCACTCCATGTTCGTATTCACAGTTGCCATGGGTTTCACAGCTTTCATAATGGCGTGGGAAATCTTGTGTATCTCACTCAAGGCATGGGTTACTAAGAAACCAGCGCTCGCCGTCCCACCCCCAGCTGACACGTACCGGTTCCCTGCTTAGAGAAGCAGGAGAAGGAAAAGAAGACAGAAAAAAAAAATGATGAAAAGCAACGTCCCAATTTCATTCCCCGTTCCCGCGTTTTTACTCTGCGTGCATCTGGCGACGGCGGTATCTCCCATTGCCCTCCTGATTTTAGCGATCTGACACGACAATTTTTGTCCCTCAGAAAAGTTGCAGGGCCTTCCCTGTTAATAATACCCTCATATGTTTGAACAGGAGAGAGAGTCGCTCCCCCTCTCTTTACGTTATGCCCCCTTTTTTATTTTATTTTATATTTTATTTTTTTTATTGACCATTTATGTTTTGAAATGTTAGCACCCATGATGGAAGAAGAGATGAAGGACGAATCAAAGATTTTTAAAACAGGAAATATGAAGAACAAAGATAACCTCCCCCCACATTTCCCCGTCTCCAGACTATCTCTATGTCCCCTTCCCCCCCCGCCCCTCTCCTCTCACTCAAATTTCATCATTAGAGAAGTGAAGACTCCAAGTGTGTGCAGCAGCATCTATATGTGTGTTGTATTTTCCTTTCGTGTCTATTTCCTTTTTTTCTTATGATACCAAACTGATTTCACTTTCTCCGTCTTCCTTTCTTTCTCCCTTAAATCGATCCAGGGACAGAGCTAGGTACACCTGCCCGGTCCCGGTGACGTTTATGATCATCATTAATCTTTCCGCATTATGCTTTATAGCCCGCCCACCTGCAAGCTGTATACCCCCTTCCCCCTTAAATAGAACGATATACCCCTGATAGTCTATGTTGTCTACGGAGTACACCCTGGACAGCTCCCAGTTGATAGTTGATAGTTTTTTTTTTTTTTTTTTTTTTTTTTTTTTTTTTTTTTTTTTTTTGGGATATCTTTGCCTCATTTTTTCCCGCTCCCGAGGTCTTCACGTATTTAATCACCCCTTTCGATTCTTCTTATGGCTTTCTTTAAGCCATGTAGCTCCGTTTCCCAGTGTCGGGCCATCATGTTGATGCGGAGGACTAGGACTAGAGATGGAAAGATTGACCACCATTATATGTATGTACAGCCATGTTTCATTTGTGTCAGCTAGGCGCGGAAAACATGTCGTAGGGTAACTGGTTTATCTGAAGCTAGGTTATTGTTATTGGCCCCACCCACTCTCCGCTTTTCAATGGTAGTATATTTATACATATACATAGCCGCGCGCCATATATCCGCCACTTAGCAATATGCAACAACCCAAGACAACACAGCTACAACGAGGAATGAGGTGGGGAGTAAGTAGCTAATAATAATTTTTTGACTGGGTGCGCGGATAGACATGCATGGTCCACGGGGTGTATGTATGTATGTACCCCGCTACGGAAGCCGGCGCTGTCAACTTCAGACCTGTGGAGGATACTCTTCTCTGCCTGAGCGAGAGGTAGTCCAATAACTACAAATAAGAGTAATTCATGTGTTTTTTTAATTCTTCTTCCTAGGCTGTTGTGATGGTTTTTTTTTTTTTTTTTTTTTTTTTTTTTTTTTTTTTTTTTTTTTTTTTTTTGCAAAAGAGCAAAGTATAGATTCACGACTATGATTCCTTTTGTGTGTATATTTTGCAAATCTTCCTTAACGTCCTGGCTGGTTCTCTATATAGTTAATGTCCGGGCTGGATCAGGATGTGTCCTTGGCAGATAGCCGCAAATGGCTTCGGCAATCCGAACCTTGTTGCCTGAAGGAGTTGCTTTCATTGTACATGTACTGTACATGTACTGTACATCATGTTATCATTTTTATAGTAACGATAGAAGTTGTCCATTCGCATAAAGATCCGGTGAATACCCTTTCTTCGTGCGTATTCCGCAATGGTGCAAAAGAGGAGGTCTGATATAAAATATAAAATATAAAAATAGAATGATATTGAACAGAGTAGGGAATGCTACCAGAGAAACCCAACTTTCCAATCAAAGCTGGAGCCTTGCTGGTGATCAAGAATGCCAAGATAATTTATATAACTATAACAAGAGGATCTTATTTCTCGTAGAAACGAATAACCCAGCCAGGCCTGTTGGTGCATAGCCAATCTTGAAACATACAATCAATCAATGAAGATGCCATTGCGGATGACGGGACCGGTACCATCCTGGGCCCATGTCACACTCAAGAAGGGGGCGCAGGAGACGACGGCACTTTTCTCTCAACAGACAAAGCCTCTCTATTCTATCCCGAGCCTTGCGGCCTTTCATCATTTCGTATTCGGAATAAATCAAGTGTCACTCGCTAGCGGCTTGCACGGCAAGGTAAATAAACTTGAAGCACAACCGACCAGAAGGCTTCATGTCGCACGATTGGGGCGGAATGGTCCAGAATTGGGAACCAAAATCGCTCAGATTGAGAATTCCAAAGGGTAGGGATATCAACTGACGATACTGCAGTCTTCCCCCGCCTTCATACCGTTAGGGCGTTCTCCAATCCTGGGAAGAATGTGGAATAAGTAAGGGACACGGGAGTGTCTGTTGCTCTCCTTATACGCTAAATCTGTAATTAATTCCTTGGTGAGACTGAGACTTCCCACTGTAAACCTCACCGCTGTCGCGTGTGTTAGAGACGACAGGAATGGAACTGGTCCGAGTCTTTGGCATTGGTATCTCTTAACCTATGCGGTGCGGATGTTGTAAGAACGTCGGCCTAAGTGGCTTGACTGTTTAGGCTTAGCGTCCGCTCCAGCCCGCGGAACTCCCTCCAAGGCTTCAATTTTCAGCTTCGATCAGCTACGACGTATTATTATTATTCTTCTCCACCCAATGCCTGGTCTCCAGCCAAATATCAATCCCTCCTGAGCTTTTCCTTTCTTTCTCCTATAGTTACACGTTTTAACTGAAGGAGACCAGGACTACAGGACAGACTCTGCTCTTTACTTTATTGTGAACTGTCCTTCCACCGATAAACTTGCGCATTTCGCTACCCCATGAGCGACGAGGCTACATTTGCGGCGCATCATAAACCGGCGAACACATTCGCTGCGCTATTCCATCCAAATATTTCCTGACTGACACTAGAGAAAGGACATATACATCGTCTTCTCAAGCCTGTGCTCTGGCCCTTCTCGCTGTTACAAGCCCGCGTTTGCACTCGTGCGCCAAAGGAACCCAAATCGAGCGTATTATTTATATATATATTGTTCTATTCCTTCGGCCAAATCCTTCGCAGCATACCGAGCGCGAATTATTTTGAGCCTAATTCAATTTAGAGAGACCAATACATCCTAGCTTACCTCCAGCAGGTTAACGACTATAAATTTTAAGAGACATTCCGATACATCACGATATAGAATGACGAGCCCGTTCCCACCCCTCCCATTTAGCCTGGGCAGATTACGTTCATATATACTTCGTTTACCCCTATTCACACGCGTCGTCACCTTACTCATTGCGGTATTTGGGGTCTTGGGGATTCAGTCGTTATGGGATGTGGTACAATGGGGTGCCTTGATACCCAGCGAGATAGGATTAGCATCGCGTGCGTATACACGTATTTCGTATATTATATATTGCGGCTAATCAGGAAAATCCTCTGTCGGGGAAGTCGGGGGTATTTTTGCATTTGGATTTCCGACGATATTTACTAACGCTTTGTTCTGATTTTTTCAGTGTACCGACTTAACACATATCCGATTATTCATAATGGGTTGTTCCACACGTTCTGGAATATCGTAGCCCTTACACCGCTCTTGGAGAGGTTTGAGGCGGAACACGGCACCCTTACATCTGTAGCATTATTTGTTGGACGTATGTGTTTTTTTGATTGAACACATCCTAGCGCGGGTTTCCTTTCGAATGAGACTAACCGCTATCACTATTCTAGCACTTTCAACCTTGCCAGCAGGCCTATACTTGCTCTTCGAAAAAGTCATTTTAAGGGGCAATACTGCGGTGCTAGGTTCGAGGTAAGTCCTCATATACAGATGCTATGTTAACGAAGCACAAGTAACTTTGCATCTCTATAGTGTCTGGATATTTTTGCTTCTAGGAATTGAAGCAATAAAAACATTCCAAACAAACCCACACTTTGTGTTAGTTTCCCCATTCTTCGCTCTTTTGCCTTGACCATTTGGTTGTCTGCTAGCTACTGACATCTTGCGGACAGTATTGGAACATATAGAATCCCAACGTGGACAACGCCATTGCTCTTAGTAATTTTGGTGTTTGCGCTCGTCCCCAATACCAGCCTCTTGGGCCACTTATCCGGTCTCGCTGTTGGCTATGTTTGTAAGTTCTGTTCTTGCCTCCCCCCGTCCCGGCAATCTCTGCTGTTTGGTTATCATGGAGGCTGACAGATATGAAAAATGAAGTTGGGCTGGGATACCTGAAATTCCTCGTTCCGCCAGAGAAAATCCTTCGCTGGATCGAAGGAAAACTAAACCTTCTCGCAATATTGCCTCACTATGTCTCCGTTGATCAGAAAACGTATGGAAGGTACGGAATCTTGCCCACCAGAAGCTTTGGGTCGAACGAAGAAACTGGGGCAATAAGCCTTCCACTGGGCTCTACCCAACGACTAGGCCCATAAGAATATTTAGCGAAATTGATACGCATGGATTACTTTCTTGTTGTATATATTTATCTTTAGAGTCTCTTGGTTTTATTCTAGGAGACTAGCATATATAATAATGACTGTTGAATAGAGAAAATCAGGAGGTTTGGCTTTAATAATAACGTAAGCGGTCATTGCGGCATGCCGTAGTCTAACTATCTCCAACTCCGCAACTTCGGAGGTCAATCCACCTCGCGCATAGCCATCCGACCTATACAATTAGCTTATGGCCTCGTTGGGATATAATTCCCGGAGGTCTCACCTTCAATGGCATTAATATGTAAGAAATAAATGTCTCCCAGTTCCTCACTCCCCTTCCCAGACAAAGTCCTCTCCCTCATATTTCCCTGGCCACGTTGTTCCTAACGCATCGGATATCATGAAACAGCCAATTTAGTCCTCAGGCTGCGCCGCGATCCACGCCTGTTGTATAAATTCCCCCCATACCTATCCGCCATTCTCGTCGTTGTCGGTGTTGTCTGGCTCCTTCTCCTCCCGCTTAACGAGTACTCCCGCCAAACATACATCTCCGAAAACGCGCTTTTACCAGGCCAGGTACACACGTACTTCGCGGGGAGTGAACAGAATGTCTTTCGCGGATATAGACGGGAAATTGATCTTGTGAGGGATGCGGAATATGAAGTGTACGTGACTTTAGTTTCATTCCGTTTTAACTGGGTCCTGGGACTGCTCTTACGAGCTTGGAGGAGATGGAATACGTTGAATAGTACAAAGTGTCTGGTTGAGATATCCCTTTGATTTTGGTCCTTGTTTGCCCCGTTATCCCAGGGAGAGACAGTCGGCTAACCCTCCGCCTCGTGCTGCTATTGACATAGAATATCTGAAAAAATCCAGTCGATATTCAGAGAATCCGGCTTGAAAGTTGCAACCCAGGATTACGAGTATAGGTCAGCCGGAAACAGACATTCTGGACAGAATGTTTACGGTGTCATTCATGCTCCACGGGGAGACGGGACAGAAGCTATTGTTTTGGTAGCCTCTTGGAAAACCATCGACGGCGAACCAAACCTCAATGGTGTGACTTTGGCCTTGACTCTGGCTAGATATTTCAAGCGTTCGTCTCTCTGAAATAAAGCTAATAACAGGATAGATAAAAAATACTAATACTATGTTGAAAACAGGATGGTCCCTATGGTCCAAAGATATCATATTCCTAATTACGCCGGACAGCAAATCCGGTACACAGGCATGGGTCGACGCCTATCATGATATGCACCCGCCATCCGTTCAACCCCTTCCGCTAAAAAGCGGTGCGTTACAGGGCGCTTTAGTATTCGAATACCCTTTCGATCACAGGTTCGAATCTATCCATATCGTATACGATGGTGTCAATGGACAACTGCCAAACCTAGATTTATTCAATATTGCCGTTTCAGTATCCAGTGGACAGATGGGCATCCCGGCGACCTTGCAGAAAATGTTTCGTCACAACGATAGCTATGAAATGCGTCTGCGAACAATGCTTCGAGGGATGGTTAACCAGGGACTGGGTAACGCCGCTGGCGCCCATAGCAGCTTTATACCTTACCACATTGATGCGATTACGATCCAGACTATCGGCAACGGATGGCAGGACGAAATGGCGCTTGGCAGGACCGTGGAAAGCCTTGTTCGCAGTTTGAATAATCTCCTAGAACACTTCCATCAGAGCTTCTTTTTCTATATTCTAATGCAGACGAACCGATTCGTTAGCATTGGGACGTATCTTCCCAGCGCAATGCTGATTGCAGGGAGCTTCACCATCATGGCTATTGCTCTATGGATGAAAAGTGGAGTCCGTGCTTCCACAGACACAAGCGCATTCGCAATCGCGGAGCAGTATGGTTCCGAGAAAGAAGAATCAAATGAAGGGGTAAATACCATCGCCCCTGAGCAGGAAAGCAATGGCATTCTGGAACGACATATGGCATTGCCGCTGGCGCTGGTATTTGGACTGCACCTCCTAGGTGTTGTCCCGCTCTATGCGTTTAACAATATGACCCATCAGGTGAATTTTGGATTCCGCATCGCAAACCTATCCCATGAGAAATAAGGCCTTGACTCTAACCCATTCTTACGCACACAGTACTTCGAACAAGCAGTCTACCTACTTGCCTTCATAAACACCATACTGCCAATAATTCTCGCCGCAATCCTAGCCCGCTGCTCCCGCCCATCACTACAGCAATACATGCTCATAAAATCCTTCTCCCTCCTCCTCCTCGGCCTTTTCCTCTCCGCTCTCGCAACCCTAAACTTCTCCTTATCCCTAATGATCGGCCTCCTATGCACACCCCTGTCCTACATCGCGCATATCCCAAAACAACCTACCCAAAACATCGCAACCGCAGCTTCTCAATCAGCATCTACGGACAAGGCCAGGAAAAGGGAAACACAGCCAGCGTCAGGGCCAACGTCAGTGACGACTATCCTCCTAGCAGCGTCAGGCCTCATCTTCATGAATCTACTTTCCCCAACCGCGGTCCTGTTGGCTGTGTGCTACTATTGGCAGATTCCGGTAACGACGTTGCTGACTGAGGCTGCTTTCGGGTGGGACGTATGGGGAGTTTGGACTCAGGTGGTCGTCTGGTGTATATGGTGGCCTGCTTGGCAGTGTGGGTGCTTATTACTTGCTTCGTCGCTTTTCTGAAGTAGAATGGCATAGTGGCTGTGTTCTGTTTATATTTGATATGAAACTGAAAGTGGTAGTAGGCCCTTGAGTATTTTATTTTTGATATTTTATTTGTACAACATGCTATCGATATACTCTATAGTAGGAGGTATGTCAGTTCTAGTGGAAGTAACGGCAAGACCCATTGTTCTAAATTTCGCAATTTTCCTGTCCGTCGCCGTGCCTAATTCCGGGGCAGATACATATATACGTCCCTTTTGTTACGCGCATACGCATCTATCCTCTTCGGGGTTCTCGCAAGAATTGATACCATCTATCACTAGTCATAACGCAGAAGCTCTCACAATAAGGATTTATCAGACAGATTTTTATAATCGTACACGGGGCGGCTAGGTAAATAAAATTCCCCGGCGAACGTGTAGCACTATGATCTCTGAATAAATAAATAAAAGAACCGTGGGAAGAATGGTCATGAAGAGGGGGAAAGAAAAATGGGATATCTATGTAGCCCAAACATCCTTCCCAACCCCTTCAATCCAATGACCCAGCTGATTAACCCCAGAATCCCAGTCGCGCAGCCGATTCCTCATCCCTTCGATCTGCCCCATGTCCAGAACCTTGGGCTGCACCCAACTAATACGTGCGATCTGCGCAACCTGGTCGATGGTCCCCTTGAGCAGACCAAGGCTAAGCGCCTTCATAATAAGATGCTCGATCTCATTAGGCTGCACTTTAGTCTCTTCCGAAATCGCAGTGAATGTCATTGTGCGGTCATGCGGGGGTCGTCGGAACACAGTCTCCGTCAGTGCGGCCAGCGAGATCTTCTGGTACAGGAAAATCTTGTGTTGCTCCAGGAGCTGATTTTTGCTGATGTTCCCTGCGAGGACATCATAGGCGGCTAGGTCGCCGCGGTTAAATGCGAAAAGCAGGTCGCGGAGCCAGGCATGTTGTGTGTCTTTGAGAGAGTCGAGGACGGGGTGGAGGAGGAGTTCGCCAAAGTTGTAGATGGAGTCGGAGACGAGGGCGGCTATGCTCAGATCGTATGCTCTGGCGGCGCAGTCTTCTTGCGTCAGGTCTTTGACGTCCACACATGCAAGGTAGAGGAGGGCGTTTTTATAGTAGGAAGCGAATTCTAGTTTGGCCTGACATAATGGGGGAGGTTAGAAATAGTTTGAGGTATATGTGGATATATTTATGTGGCGGAACTTACATGGTAGTAATCCGCATTTACTTTGTAGAATGCGGCATGGACAACTGTCTCGACAGAGTCAAAAGAATCTAACACCCGCTCAGAGGCGTCCAAATCCTTCCGCGCTCCCTCAAAATCCTTTAGTCGCAGCTTCACACTGGCCACATCCGCCATAGCGTAAACATATGCATCTTGTGCTGCAGGTTTGTTAACCCTCTCGGCAAGTGATGTGAGGAATGTGAGGCGTTCTCGGTCGTCTATATCCGCGACTGTTAGCTGCTTCGAATTCCCCCATATCCGCAACTTCCCTTCTAGAAATAAAGAGATAAAAATGCGTAGACGAACCTTCACATTGTGTCGATGCCATCAACCCCAGTGTGACAAACTTCAGCTGGTTGATCTTGTCTGCAAAACTGAGGATGAAGTTCTTGAAGATGGCTAATCTCTGCGGAGCGCTTTCCGGGAGACAGAAGAATTCTATCAGGGCATTCGTGAGCTGGTGCCATAGTTTCCGCTCCCAGAAGTCTTCGAATGCTAGAAAGGATTCATGGGATTCGCTGAGAGCTTCTTCCCGCTGCTCTGCGAGGAAGTCGGGGATCTTGTCGGCCTGCATGGCAGGCAGAAGGGCGGGGGAGACTGGTGCTGTTTAAAGTTGGAGAGCACGTAAAATACAGTGTAGAAGATCCGAAGCGGAATAGGGATTTCTCTGCTTGTTTGTATTTTGCTTTTAGGGCGGGAATGTTGTTTGCGAAGGGTTCTCTTGTTGGAGTCGTTGCGGAGGATGATGCTGGACGATGTTGGAAGATGGACCTTAGAAGCTCAAAGTGGCTGTTTGGTCCACCGTAGCCGGCGTTGATAAGGTTTGCATGCTGGTTCTTGGCATACCATTTCCTCCTTATTCAGCTTAGTTCATATCAACGTTTACTCTCTACGTATTCCTCCATATTCTCGGCTGATTTTATGTTTTTAAAAAAAGCATCTTACTGATCTGATTGAGCTGGTCGCCATTTCACCGACAATTAATGAGGAAACTTCACATTCAACAAAGCGGAAGTTGAGGACGATACACGTGACTAATCCTGACATAATCGTCATGGAGCCATCCAGATCCATACAAGCAGGGCGATTGGTTTAGTGGTATAATACCCCCTTAGCATCAGCTGGTCCAATAAGAACAGTTAGACAGCGCGACTGGGGGTGGTCCAGGGTTCGATTCCCTGATCGTCCAACTTTTTTAATTTTTTCCATGTGTTTTTCTTTCTTTGGGGGTGATTCCGGCATTACGAAATCTCATATTCGTAACCACATAAAATATCACTCTGAGAATGCTGGCTCTTTTTATTTGCGCCAAGTGCGAAAAATCCGTAGCTCTCCCTGCGCTTTTGAGTAACATCATCGGCTACGGCAACACCACGAACCTGGGCTACTTTGCCTATGCAAGTAGGATGGCACTACTTTGGTATTGGAAGGTACATTGTAATGTACATTGTACATACATCGGACATTTCAGGATGGATCCCCATATTGAAGTAGGAGACTCTGTTCTCTATCCGTACGGCATCTATGGTCTGGTGCTTCCCCCCAGTTCTTTGGTTGATATAGTTGACGGCTAGTATAGAAACTTAATAGTACGGCCTGTATTCTCCCCATTGCTACTGACATATCTAATAGCAAAGCAAGCGTTATCCTGGTAGGTATGGGCGCCCGGTGCCAGGCAAAAGAGGATTCTCTAGAGTCTCTAGTGGCTTGCATCGAGCAATTGATTGACCTGTTCCTTAATATGGATGAGCCTTTAAGGTCCTCTAGGTACCGAAACGTTGTGCTCTCGCTTCCGGGGTCTGTAGGTTTCGCATAGTGAAAGGGAAAACATCGGGTTCGCCGGATTTTGTGATGGCATATTGACTCTGGTCTCGCTTGCAGTGCGTGCTGTGCTCAGTCAACATGCACGACCTCCCGTAACATAGCAGGAAGCGACAACGCGGAGGGAACATAGCGATTTTAACCAGGATGGCTCGAAACGCCTAGCTGGGGGGAAGATTACGTATGTTGGAATTAAACTAAAGAAGTGAAGAAGAAACGGATGGAGAGGACTGTTTTGTTACTTTTATAGTTCACTGAGCGCAGTTCGGAGAGGCTTGGCACGACGGAGAGCCTCTCGAGAACTTGTTACATAAGCAGACCGGACTATTCCCCTTTGGGACGGGCTTGGTTTACCCATCGTTTCCGCCCGAACAGACAGCGGCAGACAATCCAAGTTGACCAGCTTCGGATTACACACAACGCCGCAGGAGCGCTACTTGACTGCCGCCATTGCGCCCCTGGCGTTTTTCTCACAGACTCCATTTTTCGAATTATCGTCATACACATGGTCAATTGATCAGATTTGCAATGCAGAAGTGCCGCGCCATCCAGGGCGCCTGGAGCTCGCGGGCAGCCATCACCACCCCACTGCCATCAGCTAGAGCTCAACCTCACATCCAGCGCCGAAATTTACAAGATGTCTACATCACTCGAACCGGGACGCCAATTCTTAAGGTTCAGGGTGGACGGTATGGAACCAATGGCTTCATTTCGGTTGTAACATGTGTGCTAACTAAATCGGTTTCAATTCGTACAGCTCGTCCCTCGGAGGTATTCTAGTTCTCTCGCAGCTGCTCTCGCGCGGGCTTCATTTTACTGAGTAGTCTTTTTCTTCTTTTAGGACATACCGCAACGGTCTTCGGTGCTACGGGTTTCTTGGGTCGTTATATTGTGAACAGACTTGGTACGGCATATCAACCCCTTGGCGACCACTTGTCGAAACGGACTGTAAAAACTAACGGAGAATACGGTATATAGCGAGCCAAGGATGTACTGTGATCGTCCCTTACCGAGAGGAAATGGCAAAGCGCCACTTGAAGGTTACCGGCGATTTAGGAAGAGTTGTCTTCATGGTGAGATTTAGTCGGGGAATGCCATCATATTTATTTGATCCCACCTGCTCATCCCGCCTGCGTTGTATAGGAGTACGATCTTCGAAACACGGAATCAATTGAGGAGAGCGTGCGCCATTCGGATGTCGTTTATAACCTTGTGGGCAGAAAATATCCGACAAAGTATGTGGTGGTTCTGTAGATATCTTCCATGAATAATTTGCATTTATACTGAGCATCCTTCCATAGGAACTTCTCCTACGAGGATGTCCACGTCGACGGCTTAGCCAGGATTGCGGAAGCTACTGCCAAATATGACGTTGACCGTTTCATCCACGTTTCTTCCTACAATGCCGATGTGTCTTCTCCTTCTGAGTTCTTCCGAACTAAGGTACGTTATCGGGAGAAGAGCAGTCAAACGTTTATCTACTAACTCCTCCATTAGGCTCACGGCGAGAGGATAGCTAGAGACATATTCCCGGAAACAACCATCGTCAGACCGGCGCCGATGTTTGGGTTCGAGGATAACTTGCTTCACAAGCTAGCCGGCATAACCAACTTGTTTACTTCTAATCATATGCAGGAGAGATATTGGCCAGTCCATGTAGGTGCTCAACTCCGTACATTTCCTGAAGATTCACTGGAACTAATGTATCTCTCCCCTTAACAGGCTATTGACGTTGGCTATGCTCTTGAGAAAATGCTGTTCACCGATGCATCCGTGGCGCAGACATACGAGTTGTACGGACCAAAGAACTACTCGACCGCCGAGATTGCCGAGCTTGTCGACCGTGAAATCATCAAGAAGCGCAGACATCTCAACGTACCCAAACGCATCATGAAACCAGCGGCCTACTGGGCCAACAAACTCATCTGGTGGCCGACAATATCCGCAGATGAGGTTGAGATGGAGTTCATCGACCAGAAGATCGACCCATCTGCCCTAACTTTCAAAGATCTGGGCATTGAACCTGCTGAAATCAGTAATCTGACCTTCCATTACTTGGTATGTAAAATTTCCACTCAGGATGTTCGCTTTCTAACCCTAATACTTACGTTTTACTCTCTTTCAACAGCGAGGTTACCGAAGTTCCCAGTACGCCGATCTCCCTCCAGCTACAGAGCGAGAGAGAATGGAAGACAAGAAATATGTGCACGTCCTCGATGACCAGTAGACAGCTAGTATTTTTCCTAGAACATGTATATACTCGTACTTCACTAGACGCAAATCAATTTCAGTTTTCCTTTGTTTCATTTAGTTTAGTTTCATGTGATCAGGTAGACGCACAGAATCGTTCGAAGTGTAAGTTAAAATTAAACACCGAAACGTCCATAATAAGAATAATAAACATGTTTATTCTATCTAATCTCCCTATGTAATTTGCTGGATATCATTTTTGCAATTCATTTAAAAATGATGTTGCAAGGCCAGGGAAGGAAAATCACCAATGACGTGCTATCTGAACGTTGATATCAAACTCCTCCACACCAACATAACTAATTCCTGCCTTGTTCAATCCATCAGCCCTCCAGCAACAAATTAACTTGAGGCCCTCTCTCCATTGATTTTTCTAATGCTACCACAACCATCATGAAAAGTCCTTCCCCAACCACTCGGTCCAAAACCCCCATCTTCCTCCTGAAGACCAAATCGACCCCTCAGGACGGATACGAAGAGTATTTCTCCGCATCGGGTTGCTATGACCCCATATTCGTCCCCGTCCTCGAACATAAGTTTCGCAACGCAAGTCTGCGGAGGGTGAGGGACCTGTTCGTTTCTGGGAAGATAAGGGAGCAATATGGCGGGCTGATATTTACGAGTCAGAGAGCTGTGGAGGGGTTTGCGAGGATCATTATGGATGAGGTAGGGGGTATGCTTTTTTCCCCACCACCCCTCCTCTCTATGGAATACAATTAAAATACAATTAAAACAACACACCTGTTGTTTATATTCCACCGGAGAAGTATATTTGTTAACACATGAGATGATTCACGGATATGAACAGAAACCGCATCTACAAAGGCCTCTGAATCCCTCCTCCTCTACAGCGTCGGACCAGCCACCTACCGCTCCCTGAATATATTGCGCGAATCGCATCTCCCCCACTCCCAACTCATGGGCCACGATGCGGGTACGGGCGAGATACTCGCACACATCATCCTCGACCACTATAATGCCAATCACAGCAGTAGAAGAAGGAGCCATGCTGACAGAGAAAGAAGAGCGGCTGATGAAGATGCTGATGGCTGCGAAAAAACGACAGCGAAAAGGACCAAACTACCCCTTTTATTCCTCATTGGCGAGCAACACCGAGATATCATCCCCAAAACACTCATGGCAGACACACTTCCCCCAGAGACGCGGATAGAGGTTGAAGAGTTGATCGTGTATGAGACGGGGGTTATGGAGTCATTTGAGGATATGTTTGCGGCTGCGCTGGGGGATGCGCGAGCGAGGAGAAGGTTAGAGAGTGGTAGCAGTGGTGGTGCGGATGGTGGTGAGAATGTTAACTCTGGTGAACGACCTATGTGGGTTGTTGTTTTCTCGCCTACGGGTTGTGAGGCTATGCTTCGAACGCTTGGTGTGCTTCCAGGCGGTGAAGGGGGGGAGGAGGAGAAGGAGAAGAAGGCAAGGAGAATTGAGAGGGCCCTGCGAGATTGCTATATCGCAACGATTGGGCCGACGACGAGGGATCATCTACGTGAGCGGTATGGGGTGGAGCCGGATGTCTGTGCGGAAATCCCTAGCCCTGAAGGGGTTGGGAAGGGGATTGAGAAGTTTTTGTTGGAGAAAAGGGGGAGATAAGGATAGGGGCGCCTGGACGGAATGTAGAAGTCCAATGTGGTTTGGATTTGTATACTTCAATATATCGTGTATAGTAATGCAAATGTATATTTCATGTATAAGGTTGGCCGTATATAAATACTAGAATAACCCTCGTCTCCGCCCTATATGGTATGCACCTCTAACCACAGATTTACATCGGTGTGCGGCGATGCTCCTTATCCGGCTCACATTATTCCCATACCAAGGATGAAGAAATGCAAGAAGAAAGGTCTATATCCAACGGTTAACAAGACCATCTCCTCTTCTCAGCCTATCCTTCTCCCTAACGGCGAATGTGAGTCGGCATCGTCTTGCCACAATATTTCAAAACAAACCGACCCTTGCTAGCCTCCGTCTTTGGTGGCCATGGCCATACCGACCGGTATGCCCACTCCGCCCCAAACCTCCCCTTTTATCCCAATCAATCAACGAACAGGCAATCTATCCCTAGGCAGGAGGAATCTGGGCCGACTCCCAACCCTCATCCAAAAAATGAACAGATTCCCCACAGGCCTCGCACAGTATCCAAATCTCTCTACTCCACCGGATGCACCCTAGTGCCAGAGTTGTCGCGGGTCATTCATAAACTGCACACCATTCCTCGCCAAATCTTCATAAGCCATCCCGATACGTCCTCGTGTCGATGTAGATATCGATCCCGGCGATGACAGCGACGTCAAGAGTGTCGTATTGTGGGCTGCAGCGTTTTGAGGATGTCCTTCCTGACTAGCAATCGAACATATTCATCATCATTATTATCATTGTTGTTATCACCATTATTGGCGTGAACGTTGTCATTGTCACTGCCACCACTTCTTGCCCCTGGTAGCATGGCTTCCAGCTTCACCAGGGACGCCGCAACGGGATACATTAAGGGCCATGCTGGCACAGTGACCTGCTCATCCCTTAGGGGAAACTCCCAAAGGGAAAGCAGACAGATGCGTCCATCCGAACGGGGCGGATCCTTTCCAGATATCTTCCAGAAGAGCAATGGGTTCATCTAAGCGGTTTGATTTTGCCTGTTCCTGGCCCTGCTGCTTCTGTTTTTGCAGCAGTCCTTCTTCCCTCGGTACTTGAACAGTAGCAGCACTAGCAGCAGTAGTAGCAGCAGTAGCAGTAGCATTAGAAGCAGAAGTAGAAGCAGAAGTAGAAGCAGTAGTAGTAGCAGAAGTAATCGACCATGCCAGCGCCATCCCAACCGGGATCAACATCTCCTCAATCTCCCTCTCCCTAAACTGCCCCTAGCACTCGTCAAACGCAACTTGCGCTCACGCCTTGGGCACAGCAGCGTAGCGCACGATGTCAAACAAGTCGCGCAGCACGCTGCCATACTTGCGCGTTTCTAGCGCAGCGCATTTTCGCTGCAGAATGGAGCGCAGGATGGAGAGGCCGTTGGCGCCTGTGCTGAAGGTAGCATGGCAGAAGCGGGTGGATTGGATTGGGGAAAATAGGCTGGTGAAATCGGAGAGCGAGGTGGATTAGATAGGCGATTTCGGGCGGGAGGGAGGCTAGGTTTGTTGCTGGTGGTGGCATGGTTTGATCTTAGACTAGTGGGGGGGCTGGGGATGGGAGAGGAGAGGCACTGGGTTTGTATTTATCCCCTGCGGAGATTTATTCTTAATTAATTACAATTTATATTAATTGCGAATGAGCGATGTCCAGTTTAACAATAGCTACCCGCTCGGAATTGGAACAAGGAGTAGTTATGTTAAGAATGAGTATCAACGACTTTCGAACTCGGGGTCAAGGGTGATTAGGGGCGACCACAATGTCACAATTAAGTGCTTAAGATTTTCGTCCTCTTGAAGCCCGTCAACTAGTTACGCTTATTATTACCTGGTCAAGTTTTACCAGATGCTCTGCTAGCTGGCCCAGCCTTGAATTATTCCTATGCTAGACTGCAAAACCCGCAACTGTATAAAACGGATAGAACAAATGGAAAGGAACATGCAACAAAGGGGAAACAGAGAAGAGAAGGGAGAAAAGAAAAAAAGACAGAAAAGAAAAAGAAAAGAAAAAGAAAAGAAAGAAAAAAGAAAGAAATACGGACCGAGATACAAGGTCATAGGGAAAATAACGAAAAATCGATTAGAAAAAATTGTACACCAAACAGGCATAACTAAAATAATTAACCATGCAAGAGTAAAAGAAAATTTAATAAAAAAAGGAAAAACCAGCCATTTGGTTCCATCAAAATCGGATCTTTTAGAGCCATGATATATTCATGTACTTCTTTCAAATGATCTGTATCTGTCTGCCATGTCTGCCCGCAGCCCGCACTCACTCAAAAAACGCCAACGTTTGCTAGACTCAATGTGTGACGACGTGGGGCTGTGAGAAAATGGGAAGGGCCGGAAGGAGGAGGGGTGGTAGCTTTGTGTCTTCTTCATTTTTCTTCGTGTTTTATTTTCTTGCGTACATGTGAAAGACAAAAAAAAAAGAACAAAGAACACTCTGTCACCGCCTACCGCATGATCTCCTCGTAGATAAGAACTATTAGTGAGACGATGCCCGGTTAGTTAACAACTGATCATCAACGAACAACAGACGACACGAAATAGAAGCCCCAAAAAAAAAAAAAAAAAAATCAACGGAGAAGGGTAGTGAGAAAACTTTCTTACCTTTTAGCTGCTCCTTGCTCAGAGAGTCTTTATTTTTATCGAAATCGAAGAATTCTTCTGGGATCGGTTCAGCGGTTGGTTCATCCTCTGGATCGTGATAGGGTTCCAGGTAAGGATGGCGCAAAGCATCTTCGACACTGATACGTTTTACTGGGTTGAATGCAAGGAGTTTCTCGAGCAGGTCCAAAGCTAGGTCGGAGGTCTTGGGGAATAGGGCTTTCAGGGGTATCTTTTTCTTGAAGGGGAGGGATCTGATGTATTCCCGAGCACGACGTGACTTGATGCCGTAATAATCTTCCATGGTTGGTGTTCCCAGGACATCCAGGATGAGAGTAAGTTGGTGGTGATCTGGTTGGCTCAACGGGTCAGTTTTCTATATTTTCTTTTTTCAAAGTGTGACAGGGAAACAAATAGATCATCTCATGGAACTGTGGGTGGGCAAGTCTTACAATCCTTGCCGGGGAACAACGGCTTTCCGCTCAACATTTCCGCCAATATGCAACCAACACTCCAAACGTCAATGGCTTTTGTGTATTCCTTGAAGGTCAACATAATTTCCGGTGCACGGTACCAACGGGTGGCCACATATTCTGTCATAAATCCAGAGTTGTCGTCTGTGGAAGCCGCAGAGCGGGCTAGACCGAAGTCACAAACTTTCAAGTCGCAATTTGCGTTCAGGAGTAAGTTGGAGGGCTTCAGATCACGATGAAGAACATTTGCAGAGTGCATAGCCTTCAGGGCTCGCAGGGTCTGATAGATAAAATATTGGCAATGGTCATCGGAGAGGTCCTGGGTACGAATCACGCGATGCATATCTGTCTCCATGAGTTCCTGAAAAAAAAATGAATTATATAATTAGCTATGCGCATGGAGACAAAGCTCGGGAGTTTCGCGCGGTCGTACCTGAATGAGGTACACCTCAGTGAAGGTCTCGTAGCTGCGGGGCTTCTGGATGTCCAGGATCGAGATGATGTTCTCATGATTGAAGTATCGAAGGAGTTTCATCTCACGCAGCGTGCGTAGGCAAAACATAGAGTGATCAAACGGCGTGATCTTCTTTATGGCGACTTTCTGACCTGAGGGTTTATGAAGTGCGGAGCTAGCATTTGTTTTCTTGTCAGGGCTACAGACTCCCCAAGGCGACAGTATGCTAAACTAACCAGACAACTCCATACGCGCCCTCCCCAATCACATCCTGAATATCGTACTGATCGGAAACATTGAACGATATCTTCCTCGACCCTCCTTGAGAACTTGGTGGCTGGACCATCCTGATGGTGCTAGATCCTGATGACTAAACCCAGTAGGTTAGCAGTCGGAATTGTGACGAAAGTGGGACATTAACGAAGGAGAGATCAAGGTCGGGCAGCCGTAGGCAAAAAGCTGATTTAAAATAAGCAGATCGAGCGCAGTTGTTAAATCAAGAAGTTCATGGTGACAAATCACGGGGTAAAATTGAACAATGGTAGCAGAGCTTAACGTGAGTGGGAATATCTGCGAAGCCTGAAACCGAAGGTAAAGAAAGACAATTAGAGCGAGTCTATGCAGAGGACAATGGGAACTTGCCCCAAATACAGTCTTCAAACGCGTCACAAGGCATTTGGTATATTTGTTTAGCCACTGCGGGACCCACAAGCTTCGCTGTAGCTGATTCATACTGCGAAATAGCTGTGTGCAGAGGCACAAACTGGGGAGGAGGGGGGGGAATAGAAGGCTCAAAGAACAAAAGACATGACAGGCAAAGCAAAAAGAAATATCAAAGAAAAAAGAAAGATAACTGAAAGAATTCTGGCATGAACAATGAACTCTTTCAAACATGAGTGCACAGATCAAGGAGTAATTTGAAGGTGAATAGCAAGTTGAGAGAACTGTCTTACACTTTCTCACGCAGAGTCAACGCTGCAACTCTGTTGATCCTCAGTTCCTCCTGGAGATATAATTGTGATTTCCTGTTTGCAACACTGCCTGAATTGATATTAAGTTCAACAGGCCAGTTGTTTGTTGTCTTTTCTTATATGTGAATAGAATAGGGTATTTAGGAGGAGAAGTCCCTGGGAGGATGTGAGATAGTTAGAAGCGGCAAGATATCACCAGGACTGAGACCTTGTTTTACTATGATATGTAACGCAGATCGGACGAATGCGACTGGATATATGGATATATGGATGTATGGATCGAGTTTGGGGATATACCGTAGGGGAAAAAGCCGTGGAATTCGAGTGTCAAGGAAGACCCGCGAACGAGGGGGGTAATCGAGAGAGGGGAAACTGCTGATGGTGAATATGGCCTGGAGAACTACCTCTAGTTAGTTATTGTGGCCGTGAATGGATGGCAGCAATCTACCGTGACAGGATGGCGGGGAGAAAGGACAGAGAGGAAATGTTTCATGGTCATACCTGACTGTGTTGCTCGGTCTGCGTTGATATTGTGAGAGGAATAAATATTTACTCGATTGGGCGAGTCGTGGAGGGGGACGACGATAGGCTCGACTAGCGCTGGATACGATACCGAGATGGCCAAATAATACCCAAATCGACACAGTTGCCAGTCGTGAGGTGTGATATCTTGCCTTATCACAAGTATTCTGGAGGGTTTTCAACTATTGCACGGGGTTGATGGCGCCGATGCGGTCTGGAAGAGGTCGCATAAATAAACATGTAGTCCAAAGTTCCAACAAGGGCATGAAATAGTTGTTAGTTAGTTACCCGCCCACACACGCTGTTCCCAAAAGGCCGCAGCAGAAAAAAAATAATTAGCTAACCGTCTAGATACTTAAACGGGTGTCCAGCTAATAATATGAATAACATCAAACAGCAACAGGAGAACGAGCAACATGCGGCGGGCGCGGGCGGTTATTCAGAGCGTGGTGGGGCAGACATCTCACACCAAAAACCATACCATACCACCGCACACTACACACCGCACTACAACACCACACCACACCACACCACACTCCACACACCGCACCAGCCCCAATGCAGTCCTCAATAGAACAACGCCGTTGTATCTAACGGTTACTCTACTCCCGCCCAATCTGCTCCGTGTCCGAGAAGTTAAAAACCAGCAGAAAATCATGATAATAATGGGGGCGGATGTTCCGCGATGCCATTCGACCTGTGGATTCAGCCGGCAAGCTAGCATTTGGCCCAATCGCGGGTCCGAAAACACACCACTTGGGACGCTGGGAGCGGGGGAAAACCGTCATCATCGACATTGGATGGACAAATTTTTATATGACTTGCGACAATTAAGTACCTAACAGTTCCTTAAAATATTAAGATGCTCCGCTCCCGGGAAAACTTGAACTTTTTTACGGAGTTATCCTGTACTAGCTCTCGCCCCTTGGACTATGTTCGTGAAAACCTATTTATATCCTGAAACTCCCAACCCCTCCTCCATTCGCAACAGGGACTAGCCAGGAGAATAATGAACAGGAGTTCTGAATTAAGCAGCTGGTTTTGAACAGCTCTGTCGATCGATACACTTACGTGCTTGTGTCCCTTTTTCTTCTATCTCTCCAAACACCGGCGTGCGTCTTCGCTAGAGGCAATGCAAAATCGGAAAAAAAATGTGTCCACGCATCCAGCGATATTCTCCTATTTTGGACCTGAAGTTTTCGTAGCTGATGAAAGCCAGAGCATTCAGAGGATAAATAGATGAAACAGCGCGGTGCCTCCCCCATACAAAAGGATAATGAAACATGCGTTCCACACACTCAAGTTTACTTTTTTGGACCCAAGGAAGAACACACTGAACAAAAATATTAGCAGGGCAAATCTTGTCACTAGTAAAACGGTCTTGTGGTCTAGTGGTATGATTCTCGCTTCGGGTTCGCCCGATTGAGTGCACTTAATCTGATATGCGAGAGGCCCCGCGTTCGAGTCGCGGCAAGACCCTGTTGATCTGTTTTTTTCTAACTCTTTTTACTGTTCTTCATTGTTATGATTCTTTTTCTTTGTCTTTTTCTTCTTTCTTTTTAAATTCATTTTTGGTTTGTTTATAACTTTCCGCTCCTTTACTTCTTTCCTCTTGTTTTAATGTAAATACAAAAAATGTTCTTTCAAGACGGGTTTGTGAGTACTTTTGAGGACAAAATATACGTTCATTGCATGAGGGGTTAATCTTGTTTCACTTGGGAAAAGTTATTATATCCCTTCGAAGGTTAGAACTGGGTTATATATAACTTGGTGAAAAGGAAAGAAATTAACATTGGAACAGGAATGTATTTTTTCATCTTCGAATGCGGAATATGATTTTGATTAATTAGCCTGGAGGATTATGACGACGAGACGGAGGGAATTATTCCCCCTGGCCCCCTCCCCCCCCCCCTCTCTCTCACACACATAAAACATGATGTATGATTATCAACTCTCGTCCCTTTACTGCATAATCTGTAAATTCCGAAAAAAAAGTCACAAGTTAGTTAGCTCAACATGGAAGCTATGAAAGGGAAGAAAATAAACGAAGAACAAGAGTAAAGAACAATGACAACAGAGAAGATGCATGATAGGGTAGGACCAAGAAAATCAAGGTCATACCTTCTCCCGCAACGATCCCATCCATTGCGGCAAACTGACTCCCTGGTCAGCCCGATCCTCAACCAACATAGTCTGCGCCCATAGGCGCAATCCAGGCTCCCCATCCTCCTTCACAACATAAAGGTGGGGAACAACAATGCTACCAACGCCACGAGATTGCTTATCGCGACTCTTTTGCACGACGGCGCGCACCCGCTCGTTGAAATCGTTCTCCAGTTCAGGTAAGAATTGCTTCCCGACCATCACATGTGTCCTATCGGCGATGCCAAAGACATCCAAGAGCAACTGTGGAACAGCGTCGCGGCCGACCCAGAGGAATTGCGTCTGCCCATCGTCGATGAGGTAGAGGCCATATGGCACGAGGCGCTCGGATGATAGGTTACAAGGGGGTGGTAGGGTGATTTCACCGGTCTTCTCATCGGGTACGCCAGCATTGTCGGGCATATCGTGAAGCGAGTATAGTTTCGGGTAGATATACTGGATCAGAAGAGGGAGTGGTAGCGTGGAAAGGAGGCAAAGGGCCGCCGATCGCATATCCGTTGGGATCTGAGTAGATTTTCGAAGGCCGATCTATTGACGTTTGGTTAGTTCGTGACTTGTGGTTATAGGGCTAAGGACATATGTGTTCTTACATTTTTCATTAGTGCCAGGAATAGAACCGGCAATCCTCGTAGATTAGCGGGGAACTGCAACCCTCCACCTCCAACACTTCCGCCCGCCAACTCCTTTCTATATGTTGACAATAGCTCTACAATTTTGGACTGAAGTGCGTCACGTGCTTGATCAAGACCGCTACCAAGAGTACGTTCGACAGCCTTATGGCTGAAGTAGGTCGCGATCGCCGATTGGTCTGCTGAAGCATAGACATCCGCGAGAGACTGCGTAGTGGGTAGGGCCAATGTAATGACTCTAATCCTTCGTTCTCCATTGCAGGTTGTATGAAGGACAGCCGCCTGCAAGCAAATTACCGGTTTCGTGACGGTTTCATCGATGGCCACCTCCACAACATATGCTTGGTCACGGGGAAAAGCGGGGAACGCGCAGAGATCTGAGCTTCTGTTGAAGAAATTGCCGTAGAAAGTGCTCATTCTTAAACCGGTCGTGGCGCGCACACGCAACACAGCTTCCAGGCCGATTTCTGCTGAAAGATAGTCCGAGAACTCCTTGGCGAACTTGATTGCATCTTCGCTTCGGGCAGCATTCCAGCCAGGGTAGAAGTATGTTTGGCCGCCGGTGTATCTGGGGAGGTTGCTAAGCGATGCTACATCCTGGTACTGCGAAGAAAACAGGAACATATCCACGGAAATCTGTTGCTTCGAACACTCGACGGCAAAGCTTTTGTAAAAGCTGTTACCTGTCTGTAGCAAAGTGTTCTCCTTGCTAGTTCCAAGCGCTTTCTTGTCCTCTCTCACTTCAAGACTTCCGAAACCCACATTGGGAAGCGACGCTGTCAATACCGTTATCTTTCCGCCAACAGGGGCGATAAGTTTGTGGCCGGCTCGAAGGGCCGAACCCATACATGAACCATTGTTCTGCGTATTTTGGAACATTTCTTGCAGTTTATCCAGGAACAGTTCAATGTTTTCGCGACAATCTGTGAGTGTGACTAATAGATCTCCAGGAATTGGGAGGAAAGGTTCGTCCAAATCGCTAACAACCAACATGCCCGGGTCCGAATTCTCCGAGCCATCTCTTGGTATAGTGAAGTAATGGAGACTAGAATCCACAGCAACAAAACCAAGCCTGGTTCGACGATCTGCGTTGGGTATTCTATCAAGGCTTTCGCGGATGCAGCGTGCGCTGGTGGCCAAAAGCCCGCTGGTGACAGATGCGAAACTGACATCGATCAAAAACAGGTAAACGAGGGGCTGTGGTGGTCGGACCATATATTCCTGAGGCGCCACAAACTCCACAACAGAATGGTTTAGCTCTGGTCTTTGCCATCTATCAAGGGCCTTTTGCGAGGCTGCGTCCCAATCAAATGCTTGAGGAACGTCATTGGTAAGGCTGCACATGTTGCAGCGCCAGCGATGACCGTGGTCAAGAAACGTGACGAAAGGGTTGATATAGGAACGACATCGTCGGCATCGAGAAATTACTTGATCAGACACAATGGGAATCGGGTCTTCAGTGTCGTGGAGGGATGCGTAAGGTTGGATAACCAAGGCAAATGGTAGACGAGACTTTTTTAAAAGAGAATGAGTGGTCGGCACAGCATTTAGAGTAGAGCGCACATATTTTGGAGGGCAATTCGCATCTGGAGAAGGGGTGACGCTGGTCTGGAACTGGTTAGCCCGGAAAATGGACGAGGTACAGAGGATGTCCACTCACATTGGGAGGCAAAACAATGGGCGGAGGAGGGTAGTCTAGTTCAGCAACATTGAACGGTTGTGTAAGAAGGTCGGTGGGATATAACGTATTGAGCGGGACACCTCTTTGCACCGGCATCTGCGCTGCAGGCTGACCACCCATGCTCATCTGTCCCATCTGCTGGGTTACTTGACCCATACTGGCAGGCTGGGAAGGATAGGAGTCGACTGGAGCTTGATATCCCCCAACTGCCACTGGTTCCGGCTGGCCAACCATTTGAGAAGTCATTTGGGCTGGCTCTGCCCCATAAGCACCTTGCGGATAACCCTGGGGTTGTTGCGACGCGGGATATCCGCCGTGCGCTCCACCACCTTGTAACTGTCCACCCAAGGCAGCATTAGGACCTACCCCAAACTCATAAGCCTGGCCAGCATATGCTCGTTTCTTTTTACCGCCGTGGGAATGTGGCCCGTGGCCTGGCGCATCGGCGTGAGCCGGAGAGCCTGTGGCTCCGCGCTGTTCGTCAACGTAAGGTTGTTGCTGGCCATATTCATCTTGGGGGTGACCTCCAGGAGGAAAGCCTCCCTGTGGTGCCGCCATCTCAAATGCAGAAACTAGTTCCGGCGGTTATAGGGAGTCCACGAAAATACTCGAACCCCTCTTGTGGAGTAAAATGGGGGGGATGCGGGACGTGGAGATGGGACGACGACCTAGTTAGCTATACTCCTATTGTCAATACCCAAGCATATTCGGGACGTTTTACGGGGGATTTGGAGCTCTTACGGGTTTGTGACCAAATATAAATGTATATAGTGCACATTGACCCCAGCAGACACAAGGTAGATGTGGCAGAGTTGAATGAAAAGATGGGGTCGACGTGGCTTCAGGCGCTGGTTGCAGCAAAGCCAGGAGAAGGCGGTGTTGGTGGTGTTGCTGATGTACGGTGGCCTTTATTTGCACTGTTTGGCTGGTTTGACAACTCGTCAATTGCGGCTGCGGTTCTAGCTACGGAGTAGTTATATGGACCTGCCTCGGAACCCAAGGTGTTTGTACGTATGTACTTTTTATTCTTATACTTGTACTTGTAACAGCGGCATCTAGAACAGGGGACAATTGATTTTATTTTATTTTTTTCTTTTCTTTTCTTTTCTTTTTTTTTTTTTTTTAAATTTTAAACGTTGAGCTTGAGCCTTGAGTTTTCTCAGTAGGTAACTAGGCTTAGGCTTAGGTTATAGCAAATCCAGCATAAATCCGGCATTACACTAAGACTATTTTAGTAAGGTCACATACTCAGAAACAAATCCTCACTAGATTTATCACGAAAAGCATTAGAGATACATACATCTGATGGAATTAGGGTTGATGCCAGCTACGAGAGGATAGACAAGAAATGCGGGCGTTACAGCAACGCTTAACTAACTGTCCCTAGATTCAGAGACAGAAATATCCCTCACCAAACCCACACGCAATGTTCATTGCACGAAGCATGAAGCGTATCAACAATGGTTGAGAGTCGCATCGAGGACGACTCTGCCCACTGTGTTAGAGGCTTTCGAGAGCATCGCGAGAGAGACTCAGGCAAAGGGTCACTCAGAGATATTAATTGGATTAGAGAAGCTCAACAAGGGATGTCAATATCGTGTGAACTCAGTCACACTTATTGTTCACCAACAAGCAGATATGGAAAGGAAAATATTGGTTGCTCAGCCTTGAGACGATTTCTTCATGCCATTCCCATATCGGAAGCCCTGAAAACTGGTCATACGGACGGTCTCATTAGATCTTCCTGGGCACTCCAAGCCGGCAAATTGATACCCTCTTTTAGCGCATATACCGTGCTGAGATGGATGGTGGGTATTCATTCGCAAGCGGTCCATGGAGCCACTTTAAGAGAAGAACGTGCAAATATAATGACAGATATCATTGTGCTCGTGCTGACACTAGATATAAGTTCATCATTACATCATTCACCTTCTAATATGCCAAACCTTATCATTACATCATTACATCCAGCAGCTGACAGCTATTTAATGTAGGATTCATATTGTGGGACGCGAAGTAGCCGGAGCGACTGCCAACATTTAAACTCGTCTCTCTTAATAATGACATCAAACCCACGATCATAAAGCTGGCCTTGCACTGCAGCCGGTTATTGTGTTTGTTGAAGCGAATTCCAACCCGTAGTGATACAATCCATCTCAACCTCTGAGTTTAGGATCCAGCGCAACCAGCCGCCACCCGACGCCATGGTTTCTATATCTGACTCGATCAAAAAGGACCACAGGGAGCTGCAGGCATTCCATAACCAGATAGTCAACGCCGATAATGATATTATCAAAGCTAGGTTTCAAAACCAGTTTGTATGGGAGTTGGCTCGTCTTTCTGCAGCTGAAGAGCTGCTACTTTACCCAGCATTTGAACAGCATTTAGCAGATGGCAAGGAGCGGGTAGATAAGGATCGCGAGAGACATCAGCAGGTAAGAGAATGGAGATAGCTATGTTTGGACGCCTAGCTATTTGATAAAAAGCAGGGCAACAATGAATGAATGCTAATACTGAGGGAAACAAATAGACCAAAGATCAGCTATTGGAGTTCCAATCCTTGAAGCCGACAGATGCAAACTTCGAGCCGACAATCAACTCTCTCATGGACAATCTCTCCACGCACATGAGAAACGAGGAGGAGGACGATCTCCCTGCTCTTGAGGACGCAATCAGCAGTGAGGATAGCGAAGGGCTTTCCAAATCTTTCAAGAAAACGAAGTTGTTCATTCCAACACGCCTACACCCTGCAGGACCCCACCATCCTGCCTTTGAGAACGTGACTGCGTTTGTCATGACGCCGGTTGATAAACTTGCGGATACTTTCCGCAGGCTCCCTTAAAACGGAATCCTTTGCTTCTCACGATGGTTTACGGTTTCCGCAGCTAACAGAGGATTCGAAATTTGGGTGTATAAAGCCTGGCGAAACTGAAGGCTGGAAAACTGCTCTTCTGTCCCTATTCTCCCCTTGAACCCCCCTTGAAGCTTTCGGGGTAAAAACACGTCAGAGAACGAAAAAGGCAAAGCAGAGACCCTGAGAATCTACCAATTTGGAGCTCCCTTTTATGGAATTGCTTTTTGAAAAAATTATCACCACCAAAAAATTGTAGCAAGGCTCGTGCCAAACGCAATGTATTGCAGCTCCCTGGGCATATTTTACACTAATCACGCCGGGGTTTATTATGTTCAAAAAGGGTTCAAGGCAAGAACATCAGAGTACCGTAGTCGACATTCTTTTGAAACTGTTTAATGAATATATTTCTTGCAAATAACGAAATGCTTTTCTTCTCTATCATGCCCTTTACGAAATGTCATCTTACTGAATCTCAGGGTATCCGAAGCTCGCCGGACCTCATCAAACTCCGTGTCAGGAACAGTTCCATCTCCGCTTGGTGCTGTCAGACGCTATAGCCGCCATCTCATCCGCAGCAATTCCCCAATTCGGCAAAAGGGAAGAAAATGCTAGGCAACCTTGCGAATCACCTCTTTCAGTTATCATCCACGCAAGGAAGCAGAAGCCCTATACAAAATGTTGAACACAAGCACTGTGTCCCCAAGCAGCAGTGATGTGACGTCATACATCCCAACATCAGCTAAGTCCAACCATCCTAGCTCTTTGCAAAAGACAATTATTATGTGCTACGCATATGTCACATTTACGTATGTGCTGGCAACCCAAAAGTTCCGCGACAGATTTCTCCATATTTTTCAGAACTATAGGCAGGATGTAATCAGCTTTTTCTCAGGCAACGCCAAACACGATACCGTCAATTTTGTACCCACTTAACCCACCCACCGTATACTCAATTAGAGCGTGCATCCTTTTGTGTTCCTTGCTTGAAATCAAGCATTGTTGGGCTGGGAGCGTTATGTGCCCGCCGTTTCCCTTTACTTTTCATGTTAGAGGATCTATGATCCTATAAAAGGGGGTGTGCATTTCCCCGCTGTTTGTATTTGATCCGAAACGACAGTAACTGAAAAATCAGAATCATAATATTTATTCTTCCTTTGACTAAGTAGAAATTCCTTAATTTTCACATTTTTTTTTGAAGTGTTTGTAAGAAACCCGGAAAACATGACGTCCGCCGTCGTCCCAATGCGCCAATTCAGCCTTAGGGGCAAAGTATACATTGTCACAGGGGGTGGCAGAGGGCTGGGACTCCGCATGGCAGAGGCGATGACAGAAGCCGGCGCGGAAGGTGAGTCGTACAACTTAGGCAGAGAGAATATTTGGAATATCAAATATATCCCCAAACCTCTGCCCAACGCAACCCTTGACTATAGATAACTGATCCCACTTCTCCCCAACCAAGTCAACTGCCTAGACCGCCTCCAGGATACGGACTCAGAATTCCTAGCGACGCAAGAACTCGCTTGCCGCGAACACATCGGCTCGCTACACTACCATCACCTTGACGTGCGAGATTCAGAACGTCTACAAGAAACCATCCGGAAAATCGCATCTCGCCAGCGGCGCCTTGACGGTCTCGTGGCAGCAGCTGGTATCCTCCAACTCACCGACGCGATCGACTACTCGCCCGAAGATGTGACAAAAACCATGGACATTAATTACACGGGGCTCTTCATGACAGCGCAGGCGGTTGCGAGGCAGATGATGGAATACGAATGTGTTGGCTCAATTGTGCTCGTGGCGAGTATGAGTGGCCTCGTGGCCAACAAGGGGATGAATGCGCCAGTGTATAACTCATCCAAGGCGGCGGTTATCCAACTAGGGAAGAACCTGGCAATGGAGTGGGGCCAGAAAGGTATTCGGGTTAATTCACTATGTCCAGGGCATATTCTGACGCCAATGGTGCAGCAAACTTTTGAGAAGGTGGAGGGTCTGTGGCAGACCTGGGAGTCGGAGAATATGTTAGGACGGTTGGCGAAGCCGGTAGAGTTTACCGGAGCGGCGATATTTTTGTTGAGCGAGGCGAGTAGGTTCATGACAGGGAGTTCATTAGTTATTGATGGGGGCCACACGGCTTGGTAGTTAGCCTTTCCATCACTCAGTTTCCATTCTTGAGCTGAATAATTTATGGCCGGAAATTGGTGCATGGCTGGTTTGGTGTGGTTGGAAGTCATGCTCAATATTTTCTGTCCAGAATCAATATCAGCCACTCAATAGAAGGGATGATAGACTGTAAAAATTACATTATAACAAGAACACAATTGGTATCATTTCGACAATCAAGAAAGAAAAATCATAGATCAAAGAATGATATAAACTCCAAAAACGCCGTGCTTGAAGGGCGATGATGATAAAGATAATGAGAAATATGCATGTGAAGCAATGCGAAACTACTACGAGGACAATAAAGGTATATAAAAAAGACGTCAAGTGCGAGACATATCTCTGGAACCGCGCAAAATAATAGAAGGCGAAGAAACAAAACAAATCGTAGACCTGCCCCTATCCCTAATGCCCCCCTACTTGCTTAACGACAGGCGTCGACAGCTCGAGTCTTCGCCCCCCCCGTAACAATTAGGGGCCACGGAATATTGCTCAAATCGCATTCCTCATATTCTCCACAGTTTTCGCACCAACCCCTTTCAGCTTCCCAAGCTCCGCTAAACTGCGTATCTGTACTTGCGGCCGGCCACCGATAGCGCTGCTGTCGTTTTCATCATTATCTTGAGCATTCAATGAATCCATTTCACACAGACAGTCAACGATGGCCTCGGCTTTCTTTATCCCAACGCCTCGAAGAAGCTTTATTTGATTGACATTCCTGGTATTTATTGTTGAAATGATGTGGCTAGTGCGTGGGGTAAGCTCCAAATCAGGTGTTTCCTCAGAAGTTACGTCTGCGTCCTTTTTCGATGGTATTTGATGTGTTAGGGAAGTGGACGGCGGATGAGATGCCTGTTTTCGAGATTTGCTAGTTTTAGGCGCCGCAGATCTTTTTAACGGCTGGGTATAAGAATGAGTTATAGTGATTTCCTCATCACTGAATTGCTCATTCGGATCGGATGGTTGGTAGTCGTCGTCATCATCAGCATGAAATTCAGAATTGAAACTTTCGTCTTTCGCATACCTCTTTCGCTTTTTTGGGCGCTTTGTTTCCGGTCCGGTATCCCGACTCTCTTCCGCGACTGGAAATGACAGCAGTTGTTCTTGTCCCTTATATTTTAACTTCTCTTTCAAAGCCTTTATTTTAGTTTCCAGTTTCTCATTGCTGGGGAAAAATGGTTGGGCCAACTGATACATCCTTAGAGCTGAGGAATCCTCGCCGCGTGACTGGTGCTGTTTTCCCATCAAGAGGTAGGATAACCCTTCCGCTCTCACATCCTCTTTCCCTTCAATCCTTTGCTCAAGTAGCTCAAGTCGGCGTTGCACTTGCTCATTGAGCCCATTGCTGGAAGAATGATCGGCGTCACGTTGCTTCTCAGCCTCGTTCAAAGCTCGAGCAGCGAGAACTTCTTCCACCTTTCTCTCCACCATTTCTTCTATCTTTGCCGCAGATATGCCTTCTAAGGTATGCGAGCCAGCAGCTGCAGGCCGAAACACCTTTGATGGTCGAAAGGTGCCAACACCGCTTGCATCAGATCTGCGTTTCAATGGCGAGGATCGCTTTGGAGGATCAAACCGTTTGACGTTGGTAGGTGGCTTCGACTGGGGCTTGTCAGAGTACACAGAGAACGCCTTAATAGGTTTGGCTTCTGCTGTCTTTGATGGATCAGTTGTAGTTGGTAATACTATATTTGCATTAATCGAAGTAGTGAGTGGCCGTAAAGGTTGTCGGTGCATTCCTGGCCCTGTGACCCCTGATCCCCGAATAGTTGGCCGTGGAGGCCCTTTGAACATGGGCTCGTTTTCTATTTCGCGGACCTCGATCTTCTTCGTACGGTTCGCAAAGTTGAGCGAACTGAGCGTATCAAGGTGATAGGAGCGTATTGGAGCGAGATTCAAAATCATGATGGTCAGCCCATTGTTTTGACCCAAAGACAATATCCTCGTCATTTTCGATTCACGGTACGGGATTCGGGATTGCTTCTTGCTGATTGCCTCGACGCATTGAGCAAGTACAAATAGGCTTTTGTTTATACTTGCGGACTCTACCATGCGCTCCTTGCCATTGTCGGTTCGACGATTATCTTCGGATCCAGCAAGATCAATGCACGATGCAAGGCTCACGCGGGTCTGCTCAGCAGTGGTAACCACTAGCTTGACACAGAGGATTGCATGAGATCTTGACGAATGAGCGTTTAGCTATTATTATAACTTGTTAGCATGACTATTTATTGATTTTTGTCTGGTTTACTTCTCCCACCTTCGTTGCTGAAGTTGACCTATTCACATTGGCGTGATCGTATAACGTCTCGAACTCTTTCAAACTCGTGCAGGGGCGTTCGGTCAGCCCAACTACTACAGTCTTTCCACCCGCATCCCGCAGTGGTAGACCCGCAGCCGTTCTCTTTTCTGGTGGCTCAAAAAGATCGAACACCTTGTCGTTATATATCTCATAGTAGCTCATGGCCACATCCACCTTGGTGGAACCCTGACTATCCCGCTCAATCTTACGACTGCGCCTATAAATGCCGCTCAGGAGTCGTGGGATAACTCCTCTGTCATGTAGACTCTTTCCTCCGCGCATTGTATGTGTTTTGCCAGTTCCCGTAACTCCGTAAGCAAATATCGTCACGTCGAAACCGTTGAAAAGATGCTTTATCGTAGGGGCAACTGGAGAGCCATTGGGGTTAGCTTCCCGCCTTCTCGTCCCTGTCTCAGCAAAATAAAACAGCTGCCCTATTCTCCATGAAAATAGGAGCATGACAGGGAAAGGTAAGCAGAATATATTTACAGACAAAACTCACCCTCCCCATCAAAAATCTCCTGCTGCGACACGTCCGCCCCGTACACTCCATTAAACTGAAAACTGTATTCCTCCCCTTCATTCTTCGGATTCGGGATCCGGACAAGATTATCCCGATCCAACGCTAGAGCCGTTTTCGCGCCATCTTTCTGCTTTTTGCCCTTCAATGCCGTCGTCTTCGTCGATTTCGCGTCACTCTTGGAAGTGGATAGCGGCTGTGTAGTTGTTGTGGTGGAGATCGCCGTGGTTCCCGAGCGGACGATGATATCGCTTTCCTTCTCCGATTTGAGCAGCGGGCGGATTCGTGCGATGACGCGAACGCTCATGACTACGAAGTATGGGACTTATCGAAGGGAGGGGATATGTTGTTTATATCGGTACGAAGTACTTCGGGGACGAATTCCGTAACTCTCTTCGTTCGGCTTGACTTCAAATTCGCCAATTTCAAATGCCGAAAAAGGGATGTAAAATTGATATAGAAAGAAATATAACGAAAAGAAGAACAAAAAGCCAAAATCCACAAATACTAAATCTCGACAGCTTACATGTCACTCACGCCGTGTTCGTGGGCTTGTTCGCTGGAGATATTACAACGGCGGACAACAAACAGTCAAAAAAAGCAATCCTAACGAAATATACGGGGCTTCGTCGACTCAAAGAAAAAAGAAACAACATTCAACTAACAACAGAAAAAGAAAGGGGAAAAGAAAAAGAAAAGAAAAAAAAAAAAACCACTGTGTATACCTACCTTTGCTACCCGGAAGATCCTGTCTATCTGTCGATGCAGGCAAAAGCATCAGCTCAAAATGCATTTGTGGGGAGGATGGATATTCGGGGGCGTGTTGTCGGGGCAACCAGCACGGGGAAGCTAAGTAGGGGGTTTTGTCCGACATCTAGTCATTCCATCGGCTGTGGACTTGAACAGCACAACTATTGTCGATGAGAAATGATTTTGGTCTGAGGAATCTTGAGATTGGTTGAAGGGTTGCACGAAGGCCCTGGAACTCCTATACCAACGTTGAATGGACACGTACGGGAAATACACTGCCAATATCGCGACGATACCTAGACGAATTAGAAACACATCCACCCCCAGTGATGTCTGCCAAATTGATCATAGATGCCGGAAAAGGCATTGTCTATCATTAATTTCTCACCTGTTTTCTCTATATATTCTATATACATTTCCGGGAATGACAACTGTACGAGTCGAGAACTGTGCAGAATGGTATTTTGCTGAGGAACAGAATTCGCGGCCAACGCCCACAACGCAGAAAATAAAATAAAGTAAAAACGGGAAAAAAGGATATAAAGCAAGAAAAGACGAAAATTAAGACGATAATCTGGGGAAACAAAAACCGAAGAGAAGGGAAAAGAGACCAGCAGGGCTCACGTAGTTATGCGCCACTCGTTCACCCAACCTTTCTTTTCTCAAAACTTTGTCATCAACTTCATACCAGTCACCTTCAACCTAGCAAGAACAAAAGCCACAGTCCCTGCCGCCATAACGATTCCCGTAAACAACTGCATCCGCCAGAATGTCGGCTGTTCAATGTCCCCGACCAGGGCACCTCCGATAGGGTTTCCTGTGAGGCTGGCAATGGAACAGACTGCAAACATCGCACCCGTACGTACACCAATCTGGCGCACATCGGAAATCTGCGCTACCAAGGCTGGGCCAAGGGAAACGAATGCGCCCGAGGTAAAGCCGAAGAAGGCGGTAAAGAGGAGAACGGGGATGTTGCCACGGGCGGGCAGCCAGAGAGCAAGAACCATGACGACGTTCAGCACGCAGGTTATTATCATGGCGTTGAAACGGCCGAAAAGGTCAGCAGCATGGCCCGGTAGGATACGGCCGAACGTACTAGATGGTCGTTTGGTTAATATCAATTTTGAAGTCGCGGCTTTAATGGAGGTTTGAGAGGGGATATTCGGGAGGGGGGTTCCTTGTGCTGGAAAACATTTTACCTGGATGCGTTCAGAATCGAAACAAGATAGCCTGCTAGGTGTGGAGACATCCCATAGTGGCGGGCAAACGAAACGATAAATGTGAACGGTAAGTATAGCCCGAAGAATGATAACCATGCACCCGCCGTGGTCAAGAGGAATGGCATCTCGGTAAAAGGCGTCAAGAATTCCTTAAATTTGAAGGGCCTCGGTTGCGGTGGAAGTCTCGACTTTACCGTCAGGTTTATAATAACGCATAACCCCAAGATGAGAAAGGCGCAGATCCTCATCGCCCAGGCAAATCCCACCTGTGGGACTAGTCTAGCTACCATGATAGGGTATATCACGCCTCCGACACTTGAACCACTGGCCGAAATTCCAAGCGCGAGTGCTCGTCGCTTGAAAAACCACGTTGAGATGCTATTGACAGCAGGATAAAAAAGAGCCCCGGCGCCAATTGCACTGCAGATCCCTTGGGCTAGGAGGATTTGATAGTATTTAGTTGATATGGAAGTCATCATCAGACCAAAGACATGGAGAAAGGTTCCGCCTATGATTAAGTATCGAGGGCCATAACTGTCGAATATCTTGCCACAAAAAGGGGCCTACTCATAGAGTACATGGTCAGTGCGGCTTCAAGCCATAACGTTGATACGCTGATATTTTGTCATGGTTCAGGATGGATATCCCTTTTGACATACGGCTAAAAACATCATACAAGCTTCAAGGGACGGGATCCAAGCAATAGTGCTTGGTGAGTAGGACTTCAACTGGTTATTCTGGTAGTGGTCCTGGAACACTCCGATACCTAAACATACATTAGATCACTGCACTGGGGACTTGTTCTCACTTGGGCAAGAAAAATATTTCTGAGAGTTCAGAGAAAAGAAAGCCGTCGACTTACAAGTGATCCATCCGAAGCTCACAAATAGAGAACAGAACCCACCAAAAACCACAGTCCACGCCTCAATACCGCCGTCAGGAAACGCGCTTGGATCTATCTTGGGGTTCACGGGATGGCCGGCCTCTCCCTCTTGTTTTTCTGGGTCCCTGTCCGCAGGGTGTTCTGTTGACGCGGAATCTGAGGCATCGTGACCGAGATTATCTGATCCTTTGCTCAATTTTCGGCCTGGAGGTGGTGAGCCCAAGTGAGTGAGACTTGATTTTGACGACGGAGGAAACCCGTCTGCCTTCAGTTCCCTATCTAGCTCGGTTTCCCCGCTCCAGACATGGCCATTTGCTCGTCCATTATCGATGTCATTCGACATCATCCTGAGAAACTTGAGAGATATGTCCTCAAAGCAGAAACATATGTAATGCCCGGTACGGGATATATTGTATCGGCGGTTAACAACACTGAAAACAGGGGGTGTTTTCACACAACTTATACCATGAAAACAATAAGGTTCGGCTGATCGGCTCTTATCTCCGTTGATACAGGCTCTCGGAGAACGAGAGGAAAAGTATAAGGAAGGTGGTGGAGATATCGGAGAACGATATACAATAAGTCGGGTGTGGAAAAGCCTGATATGGCTGGCGGGCGAAGCGGGTATAAACAAATAGAAAATATAATAGAAAATATTATAAACAGATATCAATGAAATAAATCCAAGGGGATCGACCGAGCTCGGTTGAAAGGTACATCAGGTACATCTATGTATGGCTCCGTGCGGGCTCGGTTCGGAGATCTTGGGAGGGAGCGGGCACATATCAAGAACGAAATAGTGGCAACCTTGGGAAGGCCATAGGTAGAAACCCGAGAACTTGTGTGAATCCGATTAATAATTGCTTTTTTTTTTAGCGTTGGGGGTGTATTATTGATCAGTTGAGTTCTTTCCAGTCCGAAGCCGACTGAGGCTTCCGGGGAGTTGAGTAATAAGCCCAGTCAGTCTGGGGCGAATCTGGAGCATCGCCCGTGAAAAACACGAGCATTGAGACACAGGCTCCAGTGTTTTGAGTCAGGAAGCCAGAAGGGGTGATTGCATTTGGCGCTCTCCATTTTTGTAAGTCCGAAAAATCGAGAAATCGTGCTTGATCGATCGATGGTAACTTAACATTTGTAGCTCTAAAAAAGGCAGAATTATCACCCCCTCAGCATCGACCGGGAGTAGATGACTACATGATATGCCGGTATTATTTACAACGCCGCTAAATCAACTATTCGGAACCAGGCATGGTGGGATGCTGCATAATTTTATCCCGTCCTCAAATCTCTGATAGCTAGCAACCGTACGAATATCGGCCTATACGAAAGCTCTCAGAAGCTAGCCACAGCAGTAAATAGCGTTAAGATCCTCATCGGGAGCTGGCCATTTTGCTATAGCTTCTGAACGTCTATGAGGTGCAGGACCAGTCGTTCGAATTTTGACCAGAACGTTGAGCATGTTGCGCGTGGAGCGTTGCGGTGGTACTCTTTTTTTCATGTACGAAGTACGCCTGTGTTATACGTACACACGCCTATTGTCACTAACCGACGAGGGTTGGGCAGAGTCCTTGGCCTTCGTGCTCTCTGATCAGAAAATTCGCAGGATCCTTAACATGCCAACCAGGTTACTATAGCAGAAACCTCAAACGAGGGCTGAAATCTTTTTGGGAGGGGGCTGATTTTGAGAGTCCGGGAAAAACGAACCAATATGCCGACTGGGAATCGCTGTAGGATTTGCAAGAGAGAGGGGAATCACATCTATCGGGAGCCGGGACTGAGTTGGGCCAGATATTTGCCATGTCTGAAGCCGCGAGGCCAGGTCCGGGAGCGGGTGACCAAAGTCGCGAAGAAGCCGGATGAAACCTGGATACAGAGTTACTCATTATTGCTTTTCTTGTGTTCGTCTCCTCAAAAACGATAGCACTATGTGTACTGTACGTTGATGGACAAGGACGCAGGATCGCCGGGTGGGGCAACACTGTTGCTCGTCTCTCTTCCGTTGGATGTTGGATTCAGTTGGGATATCACCTCACCTCTATGAATCGGCAGGTTGCAATGCCCGCGCGCACGGAGAGTGGAGACACAGACAGCAGCTCTTAAATCCGTAGCTCGCCTAACCTGTAGTTATATACAGTTAGTTGGCTAATACACCATCGTCATTGGTGAGATTGGTGAGATGGGGCCTAACCGCGGCGAAAGCCTCTCAGTTGTGATTTATCCAACCAGGCACTACAGCAGGCAGGGCGGCGGAATCTGGCATCTGAAGTTTCAAAAGGAGCGAATTCCGAGGTATCTGTATAAGGGAGCGAGCGTGTATCAGATTGACCGGCAGATATATTATGTATTTTGTGTTCCTCTGCTCCCCGAAGTCCAAATTTGAGGGTGCTAGTCAGGAGAGAGGGAACATACAGTACATTAACTAATTACCTGCTGGCTGCAGGAGGTAACAAACAAGTCATTATTCTTCTGAATAATAGTTAGTAGGTAGTTATGCCAGAATCCTCTGCTGTTCCCGAATAAATTTGGCTATTGTCAATAATGCAAGCCAACTTAGCCAAGGGATCATCAGCCTTACATATTCAGCCATGTACAGTCTCAAGCGGCTGGTCGCTCTAACCACTTCCATTGTCTGATTTAATTATTCAAATTTCAAAAGTTATGCTCAAAAAAGGCCTTCCTTAAACTTGTTTATACACATATTGGTCATGAAGTATAATAAGGTGAACGTACAAAACAAAGAATAGGTAAACATATGTAAATGCAATAAAGACTATGCTATGCTAATCAAACGCTTAGTATACAATTCGTAAAGGTGAAAACTCTCATTAAACCTCTCATAAACCATTCCCAGCCAGAGTTTTGCCCAGCCATTAAAGCAAAGCCATCTAGCCACCTCACCTTCAAGCCAAGCCTCAAAGCTCACCAGCTCGCGGCTGAATCGGTCCCTGACCCCAAGTCCCGTGGAAGCCATACGTCATGACAATGGGCATCCTAGCTCTACCCAGTTCCTTCATAGTTTTGACGTCTATGACGACCAACGAGCTCTGTTTGACATGGACGTCCATGACAACTGTCAGCAGCACGCCGTCATCTTCATCAGTGGCACCAGGTCTCGGGACAAATATGGGCTCGGAAGGCACATGTCTCGTCGCAGGAGCCCAAACCAGCCACGTCTTCTCATCCCCGTCGATTTTGATAATCGAGTCAGCGAAGTTGCCTGTCTTCTCGACATGAATTCCGTACGAGAACCTGTACGGCCGGCCCATCTTGCCGGGATGAATGCGCGGTAGCTCGATGTTGGCCTGAGCAAGGGGGAGGGAGATGTCAATCTCGGCCTTGTATGTCGGGAGGGTACTACCGTCAGCCAAAGGCGCATGGCTGTCGTGGTAGGGCAAGCGGTAGCGAGTAAAGGCTCCGGCTAGATCGTTGCTGGAGTTGGCATTAGGCGTTCCGAGATTGGCTCTGAGATTGGATATTTTGGCGGCGGACAGGAAGCTGTAGTCGTCCATGCGGGGAAGGTCAACGAAAATGTCTCCAGCCTCGTTCTCGAAGGTGTTGATCTCGTGGAACGCGAAGAAAGCATCGGGGCTCTCGTACTTGCGGAGAAGCCCGCCGTTAGCCCGGTCAATGACATAGAACAAAGTCTTGCGTTCCGGATCCCAGTCGCCGATGCTATCCAGGATAGTAATGGCTTCCTTGGCGAAATCTGCCTGCCAAACAACAAGAACAAGGTGCTTCTCTGACCCGAAGAGAGCATGGATGTAACTTGCAGGCGCATCGGTGATGGTTGCGAGTATCTTGGTCTCCCCTTTCGGAGGGGAAATTCCGAAGATATAATAGGTCGGAGGTGAGGTCTTCTGATCAAGCACATAGTTGTAGACGGCGCCGTCTTCACCCACGACCGGATGAGCTGCACTTTGTCCAGAGTTGACAAGAAGCTTATTGGAAGCTTCGTATGTGAAAAGTTCACCAGGTTCGAGTGTGACTGGATCAATTCTTTGCAACTCGTTGGCATCCGTTGTCGAGACGAGAGCGTCAAATGGGGCTCCCTGGGTGGTTGAGTTGCCGGGAATTCCCGCAAAGTTGGGAACATACGAGACGCCCACGTTGCTACTACTTGCTTTTCCTCGACTACTACTGCCGTCTCGGTAGGTGGCCTCGAACGCCCCGAATATGACCTTGCAGGGGTCACTGCCAAAGCTGGAGGTCGGATACCGTCCGGTCTCACGAACAAAATCCATCAGCTCCTCAGCGCCGTTGCGGCTGCGGTATGACACGGCGCCATTGGCGATTTCGAATCTGTGGTTCCGGCTGAAGCCATCAAACCAGTGCTCAGCCGTGTAGGTGCCAACATCCCAGGTCGCTGCCGCGCCGCGGTAGAGAGAGCCGGTCAGCCATGTGGGGATAGTGCCCTCGATCTTGAGATTAGTTGGTTCTCGGATCTCAGGGGATGCGTACAGGCCCAAGGTGACTGGGTTAGTATCAGGAGGGGGCCCATTCTCAAGAGACTCAGTGCTGGTGAGAGACTTGGTCATTTTAACTGTTGAACCGTGGTAGATATGAAGTGGTTGGAAGTAGAGGAGAGATGAGAGTATAGTACTGTTGATGAGATCAAGATGTCCCGATTTCTTGCAGAGGAGGAGGAGCAGTGAACAGTTATCAAGACCTGTTACTTATACCCATATGGACTTATCGATGCTAACATTCGGCCCCCGACCGACCTGGGAATCATTCTCCCGCACGTTTTATTGTATTTGAAAAGCGGCCACAGTCCTAGTACCTTTTTCGCACATTTTGCAATTGAGTAAAGTAGTGCACTGCCCTAAAGCTGACTTTGAGTGATTGTCAGTCCGAATTCCTGACCCAGATTAACGACTCGGATAGCGTCGTGGTTGCGCCCTATGCCTTTGGCCATTGGGGTGAAGGGGTGGGATGGGGTCCGAAATGCGAATTTATGCGGATGCCGAACACCGCATGCCAAGACGACCCTTTAGTTCCGAGCATGGCATGGCAATGGAAAAGCAGTGACCAAATGAATAATTGAAGGGTGATATTTAGACCTGATGGATGTGCGGGGTTGCTTATCCAACAATAACTTCGGTTCTTATTGTTGTTGGTGTTGGTGTTGGTGTTGGATGTATTGTAAATATTTATTTAACTATGGCGGTTGCTTTTGGTACAGAAGCCGTCTGAAATGTCAGCACTCCTTCACAAACGCTTGTCTTCCGGTTTCCAAAAGCTTGTTGGTTTGGATGAAATACGTCCGCCACAATAACCAGTATTTAAATATCACAACCCCATCTACAGTGATTTCGGGATTCTAAATGGGAAACAAAAGGACACCAGCCGTGACATTCTCTGAGGATGATGATGATGTTCAGAGAGAGGCTGCTGCGTATCATCCGAACTTCTGAACTCTTGGAATCTAGAGATCTTTGCAGCCGAGTCAGTTTCTTTCACATCTTCTAGAGTGGGATAAAACCATGGATTTAATGCCTGAATTGATTGAATATGAGATGGGATTGATCAAATAGCCCCCATGGCTGGCAGAAATAACTAAAGTAAATAGTTATATATTAAATAATATATTTTAAAAAAATAAAGTAAAAATAGCACGCCCGATAGTTTGGTCTTCTCCCTATTCTCTCTGAAAACCAGACTCCTTCTTGCAATCACACACACGAAAGCAAAAACTGTTACCTGTATCGCTGGTAGCAATCATGCTACCACACATAATGAACAGCGTACAGCGTTGGTCCTCTGGTATTTATGTGCTCGAGCCCCCTCCCTGTACCATTGGCTGTAGTTGAGACTGTCCTACAGAGTACAATGCACAGCGTGAACCATTGCCGTTATCGGTCAAAATCATAAGCCACGCGGTTATATTCTGAGCTGCAGCAAGTCTATCTATTGCAGAGATTCCTCTCTGCCTGGCAATCATTGCGGATGAAACCGAGAGGGGTATCAGGGTGCGTGCACTTCCGTATGCTATGCCTTAAATTGCCCCTCACTCCCCTTATCAGCTAGTCGCTCTCAACAGACCCGAGAAGGGGTAATAGACCTCCATCTCGACGAAGATCCCCCTCTCGAGAAATCTCATTCATCAAACATTCAAACGGGAATTAAGGATAGGTTTTTCTTTGTTTGAGATTATTGGTTTCATCCCTTTCCGAAGGGGTTAACCCATCCTTTTCTCCTCAGTTCTGATAATTGCAGCTCCACGAGCTCCGGTGTCACTCGATGACTGGCCGTTTGTCAAGCTCGTCGGGCCCGTCGTTTTGCAAAGAACTTGACGGGCATGTGTTGACAACTTGACAGGTGCTAGGGCTTAGGTATTTGCCAATCCCCACGCTCGACCAACAACTCATATCAAGATTCAACATGCAGAAGATCTCGCGGAAAAATTTCCAGCAATGATCAATTGCATCTTCGGCATGGTGGGGGAGCGCGCTAGACAAGCCGTTCTAGTTTTCCATACTCTATACCTCTGTTCGGGAGTGAATAATTCAAAGAGCTTGGGTCAGAGAAGTTTCAAGTTCTGCGAGACGACTAGAAATGTTCAATGATTAATTGGCACCTTGGGTTTCCACGACGCTTTGACTAAAGCCTACAGTGCCTTGTTCTTATTGAGGAGACTTCAGAGTTGCTGCGGCCTGCGTTTGGGAAAGCAGAAGACCCTCACACATTATCTATAGTTGATTAACTATATGGTGTGTTTCTGAAGGGACTGGAGAACTGATTCTTTGATCCTTCTTCTGTTCTTCATACGCCGGGCAGGTGATTAGGAGAAAAATGAATTACAGGTTGTGTTTCCCCCATATCACTCATCTGTGGCATCATCTCTCTCTGTTTTTCGAAGATTGAGAAGAAGGATTGAAGAATGAGCTCATGAAGCGCATTGGCGGCGACTGTCAAATCCTTTGATTTCTTTGAGATGGTTAAGTGGCAGACTATCATTTTTCTCTGATTGGGTTAATGTCAAAGATGATGTGTTTAAGGGGTCCACATAGGCGGGCGCACAAAGGGTTGAAAATAACTTCGCTGGCTGTGGGATTGAGGGATGTCTTGGTAATTGCCCTCAGAAGGTTTCGTTTTATATATATATTTGGAAAAGCACTGGCTTCACCTAAGACGAGCCCCCTCCTTGTGAGGGGGCCACCATCTCTACCTGCTAGACACTGCTCTCCTCGCTGAGCTCTTTTGCTATTGTAATAGAGCGGCTAGAGCAGAAATCAAACACAGTATGTTTTATTGTCGAGGCGGCAAGCAGCGCTTGTACTGCACATTACACGTACACAACAAGTACGTGTAGTTTATTTAGTTTCCGACTGCTAGCTGGCTAGCATCTGCCGGAATTTATGTCGTTCTGGGTCATTATATCCGACGGCATGGTAACAATTGGTGAATGGACCCTCTTCTCCTATCGGGCTTAGGATTTTAGCCAGCGTCTAAATTCCGCTCTCAACTCCTCAAGGTTTTCCCTTCATAGTGGCTGGCTATAAACTAACCTCAGACAAGCAGTTGCATTTCAAGATTTCCTGTGGTGGTTCTAAACGTGCTCTAGAAAACGGCAAGCATTTGAGCTTGATTTCACCGGTGAAACCAGCGAAAACTGGACTTTGGATACCTGAAATTATCCGTGATATTTCCTCCCAGCAGGGCCTCAGACTTCAGAGAGTGGAATTCGATTGCAATTTAATTGCCTATGCCATCGCCTCAAAATGTCCCTGGCCCCTGCCCGGGTTGGGAGACTGACTACATAGGCCAGTCCTGCATTCTCCCCGCTGCCAACTTTTGAGATATGACAGATTTATTTGACATCATGTCATCTGTTGGGAACAAGGAAACATCCCACAACCCGAAACTACCCTGAAACACATCATGGCAGTCCCAAAGGGTTGCTCCAGGCAATTGCAGCTTGATTAACGAAATGTTTGCTCTCGATGATCATGGTGTGAGGTCAGATCTAAAGGGGTTAACCATTCGTCCGTGTTAAAGGTGACGTTAAGAACCTGTTTTCCCAGTCCGCCAACTCCATGCTTTTTTTTCGAGTCTTTACTAGCTGCATGAAATAGATATAGAAAAGATAAGTGGCTGAGCAATCGGAAAGATTTTTTGCTTGCCGGTGGAGTTTGCCTCAACGCTTCAGTAGTCAATAGCCTAAGTTCCCCTATTTGACCAAGCAATTATCAAAGTTCTCAAGAAGTACGGCGCCAGCCAACCCCGTTTCAATGTCTGCTTGAAATGATGGCTCGAAAGGGAGGCATCCAGAATCCTTCTGAGCTCGGTTCGCCGTCATAAATCCTGATGCGTTTTGTCCACAGGGCGTGGATAAACTTGGCAATGAAGAGGTTGATAACATGAGAATTGACACAATGCGCCAACTATTTCGCCCCTCCGGGGTTGATATTACGTGCAGATGACGTGTGGCCCTTTTGTGACATATATTATCACTCAGAAGATTTGTATCTAACCTCCAGGGTCTCTCGCCTACTGTTCCATGCATTGCATTTCTTCCCCCTGATTCGATCGAATATCAAGTACCCACGAGCTTTTAAATGTCAGCATCGTCGCGTTTATATGTACGTCTACCCATCTCACAGTTTTCTTTACATTGATAAACACGAAATAAAGTACTTTTACTGACTTACACCTCCTAGCCCCTCTTCTCTGCTAGATTGAATACTTTGCTCATTTAGCATTACGGTATGTAGCAATATACAGTATGTGTACTTTTTGACGACGATATCACCTTTCCTTGGGCTCAATGGCCCAAGGCGCCCCTCTTTAATCTGTTGATTGTCATTAGAGCTAATAAGTCATCGAGCTTTTATATAACTCTCAGCAAAAGTCCACACTTCATACCTCGATCGATCATGACGACGATTTCCGATACCATCAAGACAGACCATAGGGAGCTCGAGGCGTATTATGACAAGATCATAAACCCCAAGGACCAGGATGAACAGGTTCGATATCAGAACCAGTTTACCTGGGAGTTGGCTCGCCATTCCATTGGCGAGGAGTTGGTCGTTTACCCTGCCCTCGAGAAATATGTGAAGGGCGGGAAAGCCCTCGCCGATAAGGATCGTGAAGAGCATCAAGTCGTGTGTATTGCGATCCCCCTTTTTTTCAATTACCCCGGGAAAATCCATTCTTATATTGTACATATATTAACCCTTGATAAACCCAAACAGGTGAAAGAGGAACAAAAAATTCCAAAACATGAAGACAACCAATCTAGAATTCATTCCTACAATTAAAGCCCTGATGAAAAACCTCTCGAAACACATCCAAAAAGGAAGAAGAAGAAGACCTCGTTAAGCTTGAGAGTGCACTACGCGAAGAAGAGAGTAAGAAACTCGCCACTTCGTTTTCGAGAACTAAAACATTCGTGCCTACCCGTTCTCATCCAAGCGCACCGGACAAGCCGCCGTTCGAAACTGCGGTAGGACTCCTCACAGCCCCTATCGATGATCTGGCGGATCTTTTCCGCAAGTTCCCTGACAAGACGGTCAGTCCGAATCCGTCGACTAAATGAGTTACCTTTTTAAAGGGCTGCCTTTTTTCTGTGTGTTTGTTTTTCCAACGTGGAGGGGGGTATTTCATTGCGGAAGCAGAAATTATGTAGGAATTGAGAAATAATATGCAATGTATTGTGAATTTCTTCCATAGCTGATCAACCGCGAATTGCATTGGCTTGAGAGCTATACCGTTAACGGTTGTTAAATGGTCATTACTACCTGGGTCAATGGAGTGACATTGGTGAAGGGATCTGTCAGAATTAGCATACCTACCGATGCTGTTCACCCTGGTGCTCATTTAGACGATGAGAGAACCCAGCCCGTTGTCTAGGGTTTTGCACTTCAGCCTGGTATCGGAATAGGTTGGGCAAGGTGATTATTTGGGACACAACTCCAAAGGGTCATTATCACAGTAGAGCTACCTGAAACGACATAGAAAAGAAACATGTCATGTCTATAGTACAAACCATTCGAGGATAAATATATATATGTACACGGATCAAATGAACATTAGGGAATAGACACCGGCAGCATGGAGTAGGTGGCCTTCATTTTTTACTGGCCAACCCCAGTTTGGTGGAACTCGACCTTCCCGTCACGCCGAACGCTAGCGACACTCTGTCCAGATATCGCAGTCGTGGGTTTTAAATCATCCTTGGCCTTTGGAACGGTCTCCTCTTCACCTAATTTTGCTGCTGCCCTGTCTACGGCGTCTTGAGTAACACCTGGAGGAGCATCGGCAATCTCGTTCACTTGCTGAGTAGTCAAGGTGTCCGCCATTCTTGAAGCGCGGGATTGTACCAAGATCGTAGCTGGTCCGTCGAATTGTAAGAATAACTAAAATGAGAAGTTAGGAATCTATTCTTGTTTTTTTCCCTGATGGTAGGATATGCATGCGTGTATGGGAACTCACTCGATCACCCCAAATGGTTCTCCGGGACCACGTCCGAATTATGTGCCACAGTTTCAATGCAGCTTTCCATGTATCGGTATCAGACAAATTCTTTATGAAATTTGAATCTGACAAACGTTTTCCAATCCCAAGGCTAGGGATCTGGAATGGCAAAATGGTAGATTTAAACCGGTACGGGCGTGGCGAAGGAGCGGTGATAGTATATGCGACAACATTACTTAAGTGTGTTAGATGGTACATATTTATCAAATTCAAAATATGTGTATATATGTACCTTGGATGAGAGATATATTGCTCTCCTGCTTTCAATTCAACCGAATAAAGTTGGCCTGTGCCAACGAGAGCAAGTAACCCGCGACCAGTTACCTCCGAATTTCCCCAGTGTGACAAACTCTTTAATAATTAGCGTCAAGTTCCATACCATGTAATACTGAGCGTGTAGTACGTACTAGTTGTCTAGTGAGTCTCGGTTTGATTCTTAAAGAGTGGCCTGTCCAAGCCAGCAAGGCTTTCTCTTGTGCTATCATCCAATCGACAGAGCCATTCATCTCGACTACAGAGAACGTGGTTATGGCAGAGCGCGTCGATATCAAAGCGGTAATTGGGCTTGTGGAGGAGATCTGTGATTGAACAGAGATATAAGAAATTGGACATGCCAAATGCTTGATGTCGCGTGAGAGCCCTACCTTTTGATATAGGAACGGGATGCGAAGTAAAGCCCGGCGAGCTGGTTCTAGGAGACTTAAAGTCGAAATGACCTGCGGTCAGGAAATATCAGCACGTAGCCCATGTAGAGTTTCTCCGACCGCTGTCCGTACATTGTCTGCTTTCCCACTTAGCCCGACTAGAGTTCCGCGGCGTGTATATAAGTTTTGCGATGCGGAGAGAGTAACGGAAAGGAGGGAATACGGAGCACCGAGAACTTGGAACTTGGCATCTTTTTAACAGTATTAGCGTTTGACGACGTATCGGAAAAGCAAGTGATTCCCATACCAGGAGATGAAGCCGAATTAGCTGTGGTCGAAGCGGGGAGATAGTTGCCATTGACGAGGCCCGGCTCAGCTGATTGGAGCTGCTGGATATGAATCCATCTCTGCTCAGCCCGGCGGGCAGGGCTTCTCCATGAGCGTCGGCTCCGGGCGAAAGGCTGGAGAGATCTCCTGATGGAATGACTCATGGCCTCCATATGAGTGCATTCGTTAATTGCACGAAGAGAAAGCCTACCAACATGTAGATAACGATGCCGTTTTGCTGTTCGTCGTGCGGTATGTTTCGTGATTTCGGACAAGAATGGCCGAAGCAAACAAGGCAAACAAGCTTCCGCTTTTGGCGGGGAATGACTTTGACCTCCGAGAGCGCAGCGCGACTTGCACCCTCACCGCACACCCATTTTTATCGCACAGCTGGCTGGCTGAATTCCAACGAGGTTCTTGACGTTGACTGTCTCGTGGATATGTTGCCTCGCAGTATACGGGCGTAGAAATCCGGTATGTAAACCTTGTCATGTGGTGAATATGGGAACCTCCGCTGACCGGTATGTCCGGCTAGCCCAGCAAAAAGCCGTGTTAGATAGATATTGTCCTTCAACATCTCACATGGCCGATATGATATCCCAGTTGTAACAACTGTATCAACAGCATTTTCCTGTACATGCTAGAGGCAATTACCATCCCGAAATGCTCCTCCGAGCCCTGCCTGTCCTCAGCGGCACAGCGCCGCCAACAAGATGTTGCTATACCATTCTCCGCCTGTCGCAACCAGCGCGCATTGGACGTCCACATTACAGAGGGCAATCCCGTGTATTTAGTTCGGGGGGAAACGCCTTGAGGAAAGCGAATACGCAGGACCATTTTTCAGAAAAGAAGCTTAACCCCGCTTCCGAATCTCCTGCCGTTCGGATTCCCAAGGCTTCCGGCAAAAGCACAATAATTCGGAAGAACCCGAGAGATGGAGGTGATGTGACACCGACGAAGAAAGTGGAGTTTCTCAATGATGCCACCGTTAATGCAAAAACGCAACGGAAAGCGGACTGGGCTATTATGAAAGAAATGGCCAAGTATCTCTGGCCTAAGGTAAAAGAACGGCATCCCCACACATTTACAGAGTTCCCACTTATAAGGGGTCCTGCAGGATGATTTAGGTACCAAAGCTCGAGTTGGCACAGCGCTCGCCCTCTTAGTTGGAGGAAAGGTGGGTTGTGCTATTTTCTATTTTCTCTCTCTTTGTTTGTCCCCAAGGGATATCCTCCATCCGCTTACTCCTGTCTTAGATTCTCAATGTTCAAGTTCCTTTCTATTTTAAAAATATTGTCGACTCGATGAATATCGATTTTGCAGTTCTTGGTGGCACTGCCTGGACAGTTGCGGGGACCATGATCGTTGCTTGTACGTTTGGAAGCGGATCCCCTGAAGAAATGCGAACAATAAATTAACTAAGTTTAATTACTATAGATGGCGCATCCAGAATTGGAGCGACGTTGTTCCAGGAGCTCCGAAATGCTGTGTTTGCAAGCGTTGCGCAGAAGACTATTCGAAAGGTTGCCCAGAATGTATTCGACCATCTGCTTCGACTGGATCTGAACTTCCACTTAACCCGACAGACGGGTGGCCTCACTCGCGCCATTGATAGAGGTACAAAAGGAATAAGTTTCCTCCTCTCTTCAATGGTGTTCCATATATTCCCGACAGCGCTGGAAATATCCATGGTTTGTGGTATCCTGGTACGTATACAATCTTTCAAACAATACCTCCTCTACGCAAATCTTCTAAGAAACCTTTAAGTCCTATCAATATGGGCCGAAATTCGCTGCCATCACTGCCGCGACCATGATAGCATATACCGCTTTTACGATTACGACGACTGCGTGGCGAACGAAATTTCGAAAACAAGCCAATGCCGCTGACAATAGAGGAGCTACCATAGCTGTCGACTCTTTAATTAATTACGAGGCCGTCAAGTACTTCAACAATGAAAAGTTTGAGGTTTCTCGATACGATAAGGCTTTAAAGGGGTATGAAGATGCGTCGATAAAGGTCACGACGTCCTTAGCTCTGCTTAACTCGGGCCAGAATGTTATCTTTTCTGGTGCACTTGCCGGAATTATGTACTTGGCTGCAAGCGGTGTTGCTGGTGGTCAATTGACTGTAGGGGACTTAGTGATGGTCAACCAACTTGTTTTCCAGCTCTCAGTGCCTTTAAATTTCCTTGGATCAGTATATCGGGAACTGAGACAGTCATTGCTCGACATGGAAACGCTATTCAACCTTCAGAAAGTTAACATTAACGTCAAGGAAAAACCAGATGCTAAGCCACTCCAGCTCACTCGCGGTGGTGAAATCAGATTTGAGAACGTCACTTTCGGCTACCATCCCGATCGGAAGGTTTTAAAAGGTGTCAGCTTCACAATCCCCCCCGGCCAGAAGTTTGCCATTGTTGGTCCTAGCGGTTGCGGAAAATCGACAATATTACGCCTCTTATTCCGGTTCTATGACGTCCAGGGAGGTCGGATTCTAGTTGATGGTCAAGATATTCGCGATCTGTCATTAGATAGTTTAAGAAGGGCCATTGGTGTAGTACCGCAAGACACTCCTCTTTTCAACAACACCATCGAACACAACCTGCGATATGGTAGAATAGATGCGACTGCGGAAGAAGTTCGGAACGCCGCACGACGGGCACACATCCATGAGCTCATCGAGCGGCTACCTGCAGGGTACGAGACGCCAGTGGGAGAACGTGGGATGATGATATCAGGAGGAGAAAAGCAGCGGCTAGCGGTTGCCCGACTCATTCTTAAAGACCCCCCTCTATTATTTTTCGATGAAGCTGTCAGTTTTACCCCCTTTTTTTCTATAGATTTGTTTTCTACCCCCCTGGCTACGTTTTACTAGCCACGGACTTCGCTCAGCTAACCTACTTGGTGAAACAGACATCCGCTCTAGATACATACACAGAGCAAGCGCTACTTCAAAACATCAACAGCATCCTCAAAGAAAAGGCACGAACGAGTGTTTTCGTTGCCCATCGACTGCGGACGATCTATGACTGTGATCAAATCCTCGTGTTGAAGGAAGGTAAAGTTGCAGAAAGTGGGACGCATACCGAACTGCTAGGGATGGACGGGGGTGTTTATTCAGAATTATGGAATGGTATGCCCTTGTGAAGAAGACTTATTTAGTCTTCTCTATTTCAAAATCCCCCTCACGCTTTTATAAAAACCAATTTGAAATAGCACTTTCTGTTAACAATTTTACCTAACAACCAATTGCAGCCCAGGAAAGATCTCTCGCGCAAGACATTGACCTCGAAGTCGAGGAGATGGATGCGGCAGTCGAGGAACCAGCGGACGAAGACCCAATTAAAAAGCCCAATCAACCACCACCGCCGTCGCCGTCTTGAGCCATCCAGGTTTCCCCGCCCTCCCAAGAAGGCAGAATAAGAATTTGGGGTGAATTGTGCATGTACAGTACTTATATATCCAACGGAGTATACTTTTTCCCTTTTAGCTTGTCGACTATACGCAGCGTATAGGATTGCAGTAAGGAATACTTTCGGACTGTGAGCTTACGCTCAGTATAGCGGTTACGTACATTTGTTTGGTTTGGCTACCATATCAAGGATAAGAAGCTCAAGCGGACATGGGTTATCGAACCAATGATCCCACGGTAACATCATCCTCCTCGTGGAAGTGGAGTATTGTAGGAATTTAGCCGCAGCCTGTGCCCATTTTATTACTGATCGCAGCCACGCAGAATGCAAGCTGGGCGCGGGGTTCACCTAGGAAGTGTTGGTTTCGTACATACATGCAAGCCCAAAAAAGCCCTCTTCATAGGAATCATCGCTGAATCGATGTAGTTTTAGCTTTGTGTTGGGCTTGCTGCGACGCCACAGGCTTGAGAGGGGGCATTTTATACTCCGTAGTATGCTTTCGAGTCGCTAAAGGAGACACTGGCGCGCCTGAATTGGCTTTTACCCCTGAATTGGACCCTTGGCGAGGGCAGAAGAACAAAAGTACGAAATTTGAAATGCTGCACTCTTTCGTTTATCTTGAGATCTAGTATCCCCTCCTCCTTGCACACGGGGATAACAATAATGAATCTTAGCAACCTCACACCAACTGCCACTGTGTAACCTTCCCAATGCCCTGTCAATTGCCAAAGCTCACACTGGGGCGCACAGCCTGGCTGCCTCCTGTCACTGTGAGAATGAACGTGGCTGACGGCCAACAGGACCCCAGGTAACCAAGCCCTTGGTAAGTTGGTAGTTCTGGAAACAAAATAGTGATGATTAGCCTGCGACTAGTGACGTTGGTGCTGAGCCGGTCTGGCATTCCGGCCTGCGAGACGGCCCACTGCATCCAAGCAACGTTGAAACAACCCAGATATCGCAGCCCACTGTCCACAGCATGCGGGCCGGTGGATCGCTAGCGTAAAGTGTCTTTCGGTTCGTTCGTGTCCGGTTCTTCTCCAGTTCCAGTTCTGTCTGGCTGGCCGTACCGTACGTACGCTGTATGTTGTCTGTCTCTTCTCTCTCACTTTCTTTTCTGGGTTTGTAGCGCCGATGAGTCGTTTTGTCTTCGGGAGGCAGCGATTGTTGTTGTAGTCTGCCACTCTTTTATGGTTATTATTTTGCCTATGTCGTCCATTCCTTTTTATAAATCCATTCATTTGAACTTACAACAATCGTGCTCCTCGAGGAAACCATCTCTGCAAGCTATCGATCACTGTGTAGTATTTTGTGCCCCGTGAGACCCCTTATCGCTTATTCCAGCATCAACCACGCCTCAACTGTGTGTGTGTGTGTCTCTCATTCCATTTCCCCTCCAAACAGGTTCGTCCCACCTCCAATTCCTGAAGATGAGCGTGGATATTCGTTTGCGATCCGTTAGGCTATAAGACATAAACCGATATATATTATAATATATGTCCTCTTGTCAGACATGGAACTTCCAGCTGACGAGGTGATGGCGGATACACAGTGTCCATATATTCGTTACAATCGTTGATCCATTCCCGTCCATTTCATCAATTGAGGTCGCGCCTTTTGTCCTTCGATTCTCCGCTTGATCAATCATATCTTGATTTATTGTCTTGTATTTCTGGGATTGGGAAAACTTTCTGACGCGCGGAAAAACAACTGAGAGTAACACGACAAAGTTCTTAGCTCCCGCCAGAAAAAGTTCGAGGCCTCAAGATATATATATCTATCTATCTTGGACATTCGACTCGACTCGACACACGATTCCTACCCGACTCATTGCACAATCTGATCACTTCCATACATTGTCCGCTGACATCTCATCAGCAATTGGTCTCTCCTTTGCCACATAGCAGCCTGAACATTCGATCACCAAAGAGTAAAGGAATTGCAAAATAACAAAAGGAGCTATTAAACTCGCCTGGTTGAACCCTCACAGCAGGGCTGTCGGTCGACAGTTAAGCGGCTTGTAAGCGTTTTTGAGACGATCTCTATTTGATGAGAAACGCAAGTCAAGGTCTGAGTGAAAGAACTTGCACATACTTCACTGAAAATGGGTCTTTTTGAGAAATTACATGCAAGTACGTGTGTGTGGATGTTTTCCTTTTGATATTATTCATTTACTAATCCCAATATACACCATGAAGAAGCAATCCTTGCCCCCTCTCTTCTTTGTTCCCCTTTTCTGACATACTCGCATCACTGTTTTTAACATCCATACAGAACTGGAGCTTTATCGGCTCGAACAGAGATACGCCAGACGCAAGCACCGCAGCACGCTCACCGTGGGCGCCCAATACGTCGACGGCGAATATGTCTACGCAAACAATACCGGAAGTGGCTATTCATCAGCCGCAACCTCCAGCTCAACAGTAGCAAAACACTCAACGGGGACGTCGTGGAGGCCGTCGGGAACCTGGGGTGGGTTCGGCTCACAGGACCGTCGGATTAGATGATGCAACTATTTCCCTTTCCCCCAATCCGGAATGTGTGGGTTGGAGCTAGTTCTTATAGGCTCTATCTTTATGTCTAAATTTGAAAGACGGCTTCATCACTCGACGAACGATGTATACGGACTCCCACCTCGAATTCTGCCCCGAGTACTTTTGTTGCTTTTCACACCCTCCGCTCGTGCCAACGGCAAAAAGGGGAAAACGACATAAAATGGCTTGATAGTTTTCTATTGAAAACATAGGTAAAGAAAGGCTAGAAGCGTGCAATTCTCGCATCTCCTCCAGGACAAGGCAGTTTTCACGATCCTCCTTGCTTCTCCTTTTTCACTTGGGCTTTTCAGTTTTGATCAGATATCGAACATGAGAAGTGTTCCGCGGGCATTCTTCCCCCATTTCTCGACCTAATGCATCTCGCATTGCAGTGAACCTCTTCGTTGTGATGTCGTAATGCTTTCAAATGAGCAATGCCATCCAAGGTCAATCTCGAACCCCGAATCTCAGTTTACTTCTTTTTCCCCTATCTTTTCTCAGCATTTGACTCAGTTCAAGATTCTGGCCTCGTTTACTTTTATATTTTCTTTTGGTTCTTTTTCCATTTTTGATAAAGCTATACGATTTGTAACTGAACCTTTCTGCTGTAAATATTTAGGCATTCTGTCCCACTAACTAACGTAATGTACATGTATATAAGCACCTGTTACTTTTAACTATCTATTCACTTTCTCTTCCATTTTAGATACTTAGTACACCAATGTCTCTCCGTGTGTGTGATTGCATTCTTACCCTTTGATATGCCCCTTTGGGGCTTGCGGGACTTTTACATAAAAAGAGCAACAGCTGAGGCACTCTCAAATCGGTCGAAGTATACTTTGTGTGAACGCATACTCGCCACATATCTCCCCCCCTTCGCACTCTATGGAATCCTTATCACTCTCCTCTAGCTGAGCTCGTTATGGGGACATAGCCCATCAGAGAGACCTTTTTTACGCCTTATCTTAGTGATATCGCTTGAATTTTTTCTAGAACCTCGTCCAATGACTGATACCAACAAGTCCGCAGCGCCGTATATCTGATCGTCTCACAAGACTACATATCAACTCCCAAATGCTACCAAGCATCAATGTATCATATTTATCTACAAATTGGTATGATAATTCGCTTGCTTCAATTCGTCAGACATAACCACTTCTGATCATCTATCAAGGGGATAATGTAAAATCGAGCAATAGGAGAACAATGTTTGGCAAAGGAAACGATGACAAAACGGAAGTTTAAAAAATAAATAATAAAATAATAAAATAATAAAATAATAAAATAATAAAATAATAAAATAATAAAATAAAAATAAAATAAATCCACAATGGAATATGTTCATAAATCTCTTAAAAACAAAGGAAACCGTAAACGGAAGAGCAAGATTGTTATTTTCATTCCGGTAATCCTTGAGCACAATCAACAACAATAAACTAGACATTTCAACGCTTCGACTTCCTCTGCCCGATTCCACTTAATCGTCCGAAATTTCCTAACGTGGATCTCGACTTAGGCGCCTTTTGCGCTACGGCAGCGCCTTCGTTTGTGGCAAACCCTAGCCGCGTTGCATGGGCGATTCCGAGTCCACCCCCAGTACCTACTCCGCCTGGGGCACTCAAACGATGGGCATCGACAGCCCCTTTCTCCTTGTTTCCACTTTGGTCGGCAGCAGTGGCTGCTGCGACTGCGGCTGCAATTGATGAATGAGGCATACTATTCCCGTCCGAGTCGAATTGACGTGATGATGAGCGCCCTGACCGTCTGGATTTCTCCTGTACACTCTTGAATTTCTCGAGCAAATCAACCCATCGGATATCTTCGCGGGATTTTAGTCTTCCTCCTGGTCGTTCGTATGATGAAGAAATGCCTGGCGTATTTGTGCTCATGCTAGATAATTCGAGAATGTGTGAGCAATGAAATTGAATAGGGTGGGATGGGATAGTGTGGATCCTAGTATAGACGTACCCTCGGGCAGCTGGCTGCAGTAATCCAATGTTGCTCACACTGTTTAGGCGGTTCTTTAGTGCAGCAAATGCAGAACTTTGAGGAAGCAGCATCAGAACGCCGTAAAGACATTTATATAAATATGGATACTTCTCCGGTTCTAAAAGCTGGAGACGGAGATCTATAAAAGATAAATTTAGTTCGAATGTGGACCTTCCATATGAATAATAATACTGTTAAGCTGAGGCACTAACAGGTGAACACTGGCGACTCTAGTAATTGAACAAGCTTGTCGATTTGGATTAACATATTGACGGTCATCTCCAACTCCGCGCTATGAGGCTGATTAGCTTTTATGACAAAAATATATGAGCTAACCGGGCCTTACAAAATTTGCAAAAGATTATACGCCTGCTCATACGCTTGAGCTAGCAAACACAGGGAAAATGTCGCAACAGCATTGTGGCACCATGATCTAAACAATGCAACGAAAAACATTTGGCCGTCCTAAGAATACATTAGCGAGAGGCGTGGAAATCCCCTGGAAGCTCCACATACCCTGGATTCGGGATTTCTCAATCTCTTTCTCATATCAGCTAGTTCAGGAGCAGTAATAAGATTGTTGTTAAGGTTTTGCACCATGATACTAGCAAATTCAATATCCTACATACAAATAGTTAGTTCATATTTACCAGAGGCCGAGAATAGAAATTTGGGCGGCATAACCCACCTCCTCCTTTTCAAGACAGTCTGCCAACGTTCTGTAAATACGTTCTGGGCTTAGGTTAACGCAGAGTTGTCTGATAATAAGGTTGCCGCGGATTTCGAGAAGCTTTCGATCAGTGGAAAATAGTTGAAGTAGATTCACCATGAACGATGTGAAGTAGCCATCCTCACTGTTTCTTGAAATCTGAGACAGTAGCTGCAGATCTCGCGTAACAACAGCTTCTGAAGGATCAGACAGAGTCTTGAGCAGGGCTGGAAACGTGCCATCGTGGAAGGCTAGAACCTTCCGAGGCGCTTTTCGGTGAAGCATAATTAACCAAGCTAAGGATGCAACTCTCGTAGCCTCATTTTCATTGAGGAACTGGAGAGTCAAGGCGCTAACAGCCGCCGCATAATCCAGATCCGGTGAAGGTAGTGGCGTTGCATCTGCGCTGCTTCGTGGAGTTAAATCAGTTCTGGATGCAGGGCGAGATGGGAGCGGCTTTTTGACGTTGACTTCGTTAACCGCAGAAAGGCTAGACTGTTTGCCCGTAGGAGTTGATGATCTTCGACCATCTGCCTCTTTAATCGGCCCGGTAGGCACCCTTGATGGTGCCGCTAGTCGTGTCTCATCAAGGGCGTTATCATCAGTGAGGGAAACAATATACTGCATGAGTGATGTGTTAACCCGGTTTGCAGCCTCACGAACTTGGTTTGAACCGCTCGAAAGGGCAGGTAGCACTTGTGAAAGGAGGCGGGGGACAAATTGAAGTATGTCCTCTGGGCTTATTTCGAAAAAGCTATCAATCCATCGGAGGGCCGTCAGCTGGATTTCCTCCTCTGTAGCTTCGTTAGCATATGGTTGGCGAAACGAATATCTCATATCAGATGAGGTAAACGTACCAAACGCCGTGTCCACAAAACCAACTAGAATATCCAGGATCTTGGGATGATCTACGTATACATCCTGCCCGGGAACATAATCTCCATATACATGAACATCTTCACCATTGGCAGTTCCAGAATCCGAATCCGCAATAGCATTTTCGCTAATGTCTTTGGGGTTGTTCGAGCCTGAGCCAACACTCATACTATCGCTAGTAGCTGATCGTTTTATACTCCCGCTTTCCTGATCACGGCGGCTGTATGCGATCCCCTTTTTTATCCGAGCAATCTTCTTGATCTCGTTAAGGAATGTCTCCAGAGCACCCTGGGTAATTGTATGAACATCTCTATTGGGGTCACTGAGGAACCTGAACAAGCCTCCTAGGAACGCAGGTAAATAATACACAAGCTCCAAATCGGGTATGGTATCCAACAGAGTCAGCCACGACACCAGGAAGGTACGAGTGAAAGGATTTATGACATGTATGCGTTCTTTGAGGAGGGGAATGAAATTCGCAAGCGAGAATGCTGTGGGCAGATCGGCGACTTCTGATTCATCAGCACCATCTACCCCAGATTCGCCATGACCTTTTCTGGGGACTTGCAAAACGGAAACGTATGAGGCTGCCGATTCAGAAACTATATCTTTCACCAGTCGGTCGAGGAGCTCTGCGCCGTTTTTCACTGACAGCTCTGAGTCGGAAGCCAGCTAGCACCCGAAGGGTCAATTAACTTTGTAATACATTTTTGCACATGAATTCATCATCTCAGACTTACTTTGCATAGAGCGTCGAATATATCATTGAAAAATAGTAGCAATTCCCCCTTAGCCACTTTCGCGATATTATACATGCTTTCGCACGCGTAATATCGAACTCGAGCATCCTGGTCTGTAAAACAGGCGAGGACGGGAGGGACAATCTCGTGGAGGTAGGGCGCAACTTCATCCTACATAGATAATACTGAGTTTCCATGCTATTTGCACAACTAAATTGTACGATATTCACACAACTCACAGTCCCAAGCGCAATCGAAGCGGCTGCGAGGCCGATTAATCCTCCATTTCTTGTGTGAGGTTGGTGAACAGCGTAGGCATATTCATGACACAGCTGGTCGACAATATTTTTTATCTTGCTATGTTCACCTTTCGCAAGGGCATCGCGGATGACCTTTTCCAGCCTATTGTTTCCATAAAAGAATGAAGAGTTAGCTTGTGGTTTTCAGTCAAATGTTTTTATGTATAGATTTGCTGGTGCTTGGGGTTCATTGAGTGCTCACTCCAAAGCACCTTGTTTCCGCTTATCGTATAGCTTGTCACTCAGAAGCCTTTGAACGGATGGATCCATGTCGGGCGCTATCATAGTAGACAGGTTCGGTGTGAGGTAGATCTCAGGCTTCAGCACTCATGTCGTTCGGAGAGTGCCCAGGCAATGTCAAGCTAGATATGTTGGTTATGACGGAGGGAAAACGTCAAAGAGTTTCGGGATTTCTTCCTGTCATGGTTACAATACGAGAAAATAAATTATGAATTGCCTGATATGACCGAGAGAATACGAATCCCAGCTCCTTGTTCCGTAGAGGGAGAAGAGAAACATTTAGTGTTGAATTGTTGTGGTGACGTAGATTGGAGAGCTCTCCAAACACGCTAACCCCTAAACAGCTGAGGCCTTGGCAGCGCGGCTATTATCACATGACCTACCATCCAGGGGCAAGCGACTTGTGCAGTACGGAGTTATAGATATCAAGAGCTGCCAATATCGATAGAGTAACTATGATCTAATCTAAGCTTTAGGTCTGTTTTGTATTGTATTCAAGATACAAATATGCAGCAATGATATCCCCAACGCCAAATTCTCTGAAAAAAAGAGGAACAAAAAGAAAAGTTAAATGCCCCTCGATTCAATGACTGATATACTGGAATACCGCCGTCACATCCCGCTCAGACGCTTCTTGTCTCAATAGCAAATCCTGGATCTTACCCAAGGGGCCTTTCTCCCCATCATTGACAAAATGGTTCCATGAGCTCGTGTCTCCGTACATCATGGCCGGCGCCTTGATGTGCTGGGTGCCGTCAGGCCGACATCTTTTGCACTTGAAGGTGTCATGAGTGTCGCTGCGAGTCCCCGGTTTAAACTGGAAAAGTTCTCGAAGCGAATCAAGACTAAAATGGCGCTCGACGTCTTCAGCAGAGTCAACGACGCATGAAGAGAGCGATTGCTTATGAGACTGCCTCTGGAATATCTTCTCTTCGATAGTACCTGTTGCAATAAAGCGGTAGACAAAGCAGTCTTTCTTCTGTCCGTCACGCCACACTCGAGCGAGGGCTTGCTGGTCAGCCGCCGGGTTCCAGTCTGGATCGAATAAAACCAGGCGATTGGCACCAATTAAGTTGATACCACAACCGCCTGCCTTACTACTAAGCAAAAAGACAAATTCTTCCCCGTTAGGGTCATTGAATTTGTCAACCAATTTCTGTCTTTTGGTCACATTCATCGTGCCATCCAATCGTAGGCAACCGTATTGACGAGTCCGGCAAAGCCTTTCAAAAAGGTCAAGAGTTTGCGTGTAATTGCTAATCAAAACAATCTTGTCATTGGTGTCCTGCCGAATCCGCGCAAGCATGCGATCCAAGACCATCATTTTACCAGAATACCAAGATCTCACATCGCGATCCCGTCCCCGACACTCCATTGGAACATAATCATCCGGGAAAAACTGCTCACTTCCAGGAAGGTCTGTGCCTAGGTTAAGGAGGTCTGGGTGGTTGCAAAGCTTTTTCAGAAGTCCAATCGCTTTCAAGGGCTGACTTCCCTTACCTCGGAGCAAACTTTTGATATCTGGGCTTTGAATGAAATGATTATACAAATCAGTCTGAAACGGAGCCAGCCCGCAAAACACCACATGCTCGTACTTGACAGGCAAGTACTTGGAAAGGATATCGTTGGTTCGTCGAATAATGAACTTGTTGACAACGTTCAAAAGCTCTGTTACACTTTCATCGCCCTTCTTCCTATCCTCATCAGTAGCATCAGCGTCTCGGCCACGGAGGATTGGCATCTCGTATTTTTTGTGAAACTCGCTCCGAGTTCCCAGAATGTTCGGATTGGCAAAATTCAAAAGCGAGAAATACTCGGACAAGTCATTCTGAATTGGAGTTCCAGAAAGGATGACTCGACGGTCGACATTTAGGCTATTCAAGGCAGTAAATGTTTGGCTGTCTCCGTTTTTGAGTCGGTGGCCTTCATCGCAAAGCAGTAACCCAATCGGGGTGTCCTTAAGTTCATCGACATTGAGCCTCAATGTCTCATACGACACAATCAGAACTGGTCTGACAACGGCACGCCCTGACGAGACTGCCCATTGTCGGAGCTGGGATATAAGCTCCGCTTTGGAAGCTTTTCCGTCAATAACAAAAGGCGATACTGCTCCCTCCCCCAACCATTTGACTACAATAATCATCAGCATTAGAAACCATGCTTGTAGAATATCTCGACATACCAAGTTCGTTCGCCCAGTTCTTCACCAGCGTCGATGGGCAAGCAATCACGCACTTCTGAATGGTCGTTTTACCCGCCTCCGGAGATTGCTTAAGCAGTGTCCATAACAGAGTAATACATTGGAGCTAATATTGTATGTATTAGCACCACGTCACTTCGGTTAAATTCATTTGGCCGTACCGTTTTGCCCAAACCCATCTCGTCTGCCATAATACAACCATTGGCCTTGGGATCGATCATACCAGTAGTACAGCGATATAAGAACTAACGCAGGTCAGCGGTAAAAGTCACATCCAAAGTGACAGCAGCCGTGTTGATAAAAATACCTTCACTCCCTCCACTTGATGCGGACGCAACACCTTTGCAAGTCTAGGATCAATAACAACCGGAACTCTCGGACGAGCGTCAACCTTCTTCTTAATTCCAAGAATATCCGCCAAACTCTTATGCACAAGTGGTGCATCCAACTTGGGGGGATCATTTTTCTTCTCCCCTTCCTTCCTTTCTTCATTTCCATCATTAGCATCATTAGGGTCGACCGGCTTATCATCAATCGTAGGGTCATAAAGAACAATCGCAAATTCCCCGCTGGGATCATGCAGCGGTTTAACAACAAATGTCGTCCCGCTCCGCATCCCAAGAATGGGAGCTGGACGATTCGGATTATAGGCGCCGGAATTTTTATTCATTAAAGGGATGGAAAATCGCTGCTTGAAAATCTGCTCTTTATCCTTCACTTTGAATGCAGGGAACCTATTTGCATCGCGGTTCGCGAGGGCAAGTCGATCTTCGTTGGTCCATGGTTTCTCCCCATCTTCCGCCTCTCCGTCCGCTCCCGCATAGTTGACTTTTCTTCTTTTTCTAGCGGGCTTATCAGAGGCTCGTGTACGTAGCGCTAACCCGGGACATTTGAATGGTTTATTGAGCCTGTCCGCTGAAGGTTTTGTTGCAACGGCTTCCGAGGTCTTCGGACGGGGGCGATGCCTGGGGAGATATTAGCTGAGGACTTCATCAAAGGATCCAATCAGGTGGAGCAGAATACATTTGACTAAATCACTTCTACATTGAAGTGATAAAATAAAGCGAGAGTCCGGTAAAAAGACGACGTTGTCGACGAGGAATTACTGAGCCAAACCCGTCGAAGAGCTCGCTCGGACGCGTCAACGTTTGATTTAACGCGTTTGCTTTGCCAAGCTTTCATCACCAAAAGGCCACGGAATCACATGACACACCCCACCATGGATGTTGAATTCATCCAGCTTTGCCTCGGCCCCCTCGATATACATGATGGAGACATCTATCTCGAGGGCCTCGAGGTGGACAGCTATAGATCCATGTCCAATGATTTCTGGGCTGGCTACCTCAGCGGAGCCATTGGAATTGTAATCGGAAATCCCCTCGACCTGGTGAAGACCCGTCTTCAGGCAGGGCAGGCCGCCCCCGGATCACTGCGATCTCCCCAGGGGTTTAGGAGCCATTTCGACACTGCGAGTTCTCTCGTTCGAGGTTAGTTATACTATACTATGTGGAGATATTGTTGCGATTTTATTGAAAACGAGGGAAAACAAATTGAAAAAGCTAACCGGTCATGTTCAATTCTTCCCCCCGTGAACAGGCGCAACCGCACCGATCCTTGGATATGGCGCCCTCAATGCGATTCTCTTCGTTGCCTATAACCGGACCTTGACGGGTATAGTCTCGCAGCCCGTACCTGACCCCACTAACCCTGTAGGCGTTCCGCTGTATCAGATATGGGTTGCGGGTGCTGTCGGTGGACTTGCGAGCTGGGTCATATCCTCGCCGACCGAGTTGGTAAAGTGCCGAGCGCAGCTTGCTTCCCACCAATCGATATCGTCATGGACTGTGACGAAGGATATTTGGAGAAGACGAGGATTTAGGGGACTATATTACGGAGGGGGAGTTACGAGTATCCGAGACTCGGTGGGATATGGGTTCTAGTACGAAAAATAATAATTTCCGCTCCCTTACCTATGCCTCTTTTTCGCTACTCCCTTATATCTGCCCATATATGTGCACTCAATTTCTTAACTCCGCGTTATTCCGTTCAAAAAAAAAAAATAGTTTCTGGTCCTACGAACTATGCAAGCGCCTCATGACAAGCCCCGACGAAAGCTCTGAACAAACAGCGGCCAAAATCCTTATTTGCGGCGGCATCGCCGGCATTGTCACTTGGGCTTCTGTATTCCCGCTAGATGTTATTAAGACACGGCTACAGGCACAGGGTTCGGCGAGCTCGCTTCTTCCCGGCGTTTCGACCGAGAGACAAAATCTGCTACGACCTTCCGGGAACGATGGACGTATACTGAGTACTCTGGGGATAGCAAAGGAGGCATATCGCACTGAGGGCCTCAGGATATTCTACCGTGGTTTGGGCGTGTGTAGCTTGAGAGCGTTTATTGTAAATGCTGTACAGGTATGTGATTTTGGTGATTTCACAAGTATATGTTTTTGGATGTGCTAACCGATTTCTCGAAGTGGGCGACGTACGAGTGGATGATGAAATTCCTCAAACATCCTGGCAGTGCATCGTTGATGGAATGAAACATGAGATATGGTCGTCTCCTCAATGAATTGTTTCATGAATATATAAGTGACATAGATGTCTATATGTTTTGATGATCTTGCATGTTCGCTGGATTTTGGAAAAATATATTCGAGATATATTTATATATAACTGGTTGCCTCGCAAAAAGAAAAATCAACCCACACTGTTTTGCTTAACCCGTAGTCTATATTATTAGACCATCTGTCCCTGTGGGTTACCCTTGATAACTCCATGACTCCAAGAACCAATTTCCCGAAATTCTCCTCCGTATATAGCCTCCTCAGATCACCCATGATCAAAGCGGCCTAATAATTATGCTCCATGGTAATGGCCAGCAAGCGAAAGGAGAAGATGTGCCCCTCCCCCGTGACTATGCCAACCAGAGGCTGGCTATTCCGTTTGGGAGGTGTAAAGTCGCCGACCATATTCTCCCGTAAATGTTTCCAGCACTTTCCAGTTCATCATCATATCGTCCAATCATCATTAATAGAAAAATGTAATTTTCACTCGATCATTTCCGATTCCACAACGTCCATAGCCTGCACATCCCGCGTCCCATTATCCGTTCCTAATCCAATAGCAGCTTCCGCTATCTTTTGCGAATGTGGTTCTTCCTTCAGGAGACGGAGCCTATTTATATTCACAACTTTTAGTTAGTGATATTGATTTTCCCTCCCCACATCAAGCAAGTAAAATGAATATCAGCCATGCCCCCTCTTCCCTCACCCTTTCTCGACAGTAATGTATGAACAATTTTTTAAGGCAGGAAGAGAGAAAAGAGAAAAAGATAACGCACCTCCGCTTATGATTCTTCCCCCGCCGATGAGCCACGAGATTATAATCACTTTCGAACCATTTCGCACACTCGACACAGTAATGCCTGCCTAGGCCAGGCAGGTCTTCTGCGGCCTTGGTCTCTTTATATTGGGAAAGGTGTTTGGAGGAGTTTATGTCCGCGCAGACTTGATCGTAGTCTCTGCAATCGAGAAAGTCGGGTGGTCAGTGTCTGGTTTCATGCCGGACTGGTGGTAGTAGTAGTAGTCAGAGCATAGCAAACTCACCTCGTCCGTCGTTTGGTCTTTATTCTTTTCGTGGCCCCCATTGTTGCGATGGTTGAGCTTCTTGTGATGTGAAATGTTTGAATGCGGTGAGCTTCATTACTCCCGTTGTCTGCGAAATATTTAGCACTATTCCATTTTTGTATCGGAGCGCTAAAATATTGTTCCGTGCACAGTGCAGCTTAATATTCACGTGCACAATTAAATGACACCCCGCGCTTTATCGAGCCAATTCAATGCTCCGGAAATAATCAAATTATTATTCTTTGGAAATGAATTTCCCAATCCCCCACGAATCCAGGAAAATACAAGAAAGTCCCCATCAATTATTGCTGAAACGGATGCAGAGCCGAGCAAATCCCGTAGAATCCAGCGCCAAGCCCGCTGTCTTTTTTCCAGCTCTGTGACGCTGGATGACGTTTTGGCTGGCCGCGGCATTTCCGCCCCCCTCCAAAATCCAAAATTACCGACCAGGCAGGGCAATTATTTAGTTGCTAGTTTATTTGCTGTGCTTTTCTTTTTCTTTTCTTTACCCTTGTCATGCAGGTAAATTAGCCCCGTAGACTGTCTCCTCTGCTTGAGGTTACAGTAACACTGCGTGGTATACGGAGTACATTGGGCAAAACAAAAAAGTTGATCACAAGTTCCAGCTTAAAAACTGGCCTGGGTGGGAGAGAGTCAGAAACAGATGGCTGGTGATTGGCTGGGAATTTTATATTTTCCCCAATAATATTCTGTTTCTTTAACTGACTTGATGTTGATTATTTTATTGTTATTCCAAGATACAAGATACGAAGCAACTGGTGTGGGAAACGAAGAGCGGGCGCCGGACGGGAGGAACTGGGCAGCAGCCAGTCACAGAGCTGGGATTTGCATTGCTTGGTCTGGTCTACAGGTCAACAAAAAATTTTCGCTCGGGTGGTTGGATGCCCCACAAATCAGATTGCGGTGCCGCGAACAAACCAAATGCGGGCGGGTGGTCGCCAGCTGGTGTATTGATGTGTTTTAATTTCATACATTTAGGGGCGGAACACAGCCGAGCTTGCCGGATCATGGCGTGCAAACTGGGCGTTGTGCAGCCAGTGAGAAGTATTAATACCTGGATATCGTAACTGTAAAACCATGTAATATTACTATACCTGTACTGAAACTCACGTGTATCGCCTAGTCCAGATTTGGGTCAGAGTGACTTCACAGCCCGAACATTCGAACATAAGCTCCGTTGTGCTGCTTTTATCTTGCTTCTGATTCCTGTTTTCATCTTTCCTCCTCCTCTCCCCTCCCTCCCTCCCTCACAATCCAATCTTCTATCTCTAATCCCCCCTTCTTTTCTGTCTCACGGCCCTCGTCGAGTTGCCTGCTTTGCCTCGACGTTGGATGTGCTTCGACGTTTAGCAAGATAGTTCAGTGTGCTTACAGAGCAAGCTGCCATCATGATCACAACCCGGATTGGCCGCCTAAGTGCGCTGGCAAGTGGCTCTCTCTGTCCTATTCTGCCAGCCATTTCTGGAGAATCTTCTTCAGAAGCAATTTGATCTTCGTTCTCGGTGTCAATTTGGCCTCATTGGATATAGCTAACATGTTCTCTCGATAGGCCTCTAAATCCCGCGCCGTAAGTGGCTTGAACGCGGACACACCTAGCGTCTATCCCACGATCTAGGAACCCATACATGGGCTCCAATTACTGACTTGATTATTCGAACCAGATTTTGGGCGCGCGGAGTATGGCCACCGTCAACGATTCTCCTCTTGACAAAAAGGTCGAGATGTGCAATCATGAGAAGGTGAGATTCTTTCCCGGGCAAGTTCGCCTCGTGTAGTTTCGGGAGTCCTGGAGCTTGCCTGTCTGTGCCAAATGAAGTAATCCCGTTGCTAACTATACTCTACAGGGTAACTACATCAACTACAAGTACGGAACATCTTCACTCTATCTTGCAGGGAGCTCATGTTGTCTTGCGGGAACAATGCGCAAAAGTTCAATCCTCTCCGGCCGGATTGGCCCAAATAACTTTTGCGGATTTCCCTGATCTGGAAACATGGAGCTGCTAGCTTCCATGGAACCAGCCGTTTACTAACACACCTTTTGCTCCTTGCAGGAAAATGGCAGAGAACCTCGACATTGTTCGAAAACGCCTGAACCGCCCATTAACATATGCTGAGAAGATTATGTACTCTCACCTTGACGACCCCCATGGACAAGAAATCCAGCGCGGCAAGTCTTACCTAAAACTGCGACCGGACCGTGTTGCCTGTCAGGATGCCACTGCCCAGATGGCTATCTTGCAGTTCATGTCCGCTGGCATGCCTTCAGTTGCTACCCCTACAACTGTCCACTGCGACCACTTGATTGAAGCTCAGCTTGGTGGCGAGAAGGATCTTGCCAGAGCTAATGAGATCAACAAGGAGGTCTACGACTTCCTTGCATCTTCTTGCGCAAAGTACAATATTGGATTCTGGAAACCCGGATCCGGTATTATCCATCAAATCCTTCTGGAAAACTACGCTTTCCCCGGAGGTCTGATGATCGGCACTGACTCCCATACCCCCAACGGTGGTGGTCTTGGTATGGCTGCCATTGGTGTTGGAGGTGCTGACGCTGTCGATGTTATGGCCGGTCTTCCCTGGGAATTGAAGGCCCCTAATGTTATCGGTGTCAGACTAACCGGTGAATTGTCCGGATGGACCGCTCCCAAAGGTAAAGTATCACCGCAATCCCCCCTTTTTTTTTGGCTCCACTTGGGGAATTTGCAGCTGACAAGTGTAAATAGATATCATCCTGAAGGTCGCCGGTATTCTCACTGTCAAAGGCGGCACTGGCGCTATTATCGAGTATCACGGACCAGGCGTTGACTCTCTCTCTTGCACGGGCATGGGCACCATCTGTAACATGGGTGCTGAAATCGGTGCTACCACTTCCGTTTTCCCCTTCAACGACCGCATGTATGATTACTTGAAGGCCACCAAACGCCAGCCTATCGGCGACTTTGCGAGATCCTATGCCCACAGCCTCCGTGAGGATGAGGGTGCTGAATACGACCAATTGATCGAGATCAACTTGTCTGAACTCGAGCCTCATATCAACGGCCCCTTCACCCCCGACTTGGCAACCCCTATCTCCAAGTTTAAGGATGCTGTCAAAGAGCACGGCTGGCCCGAAGAACTCAAAGTCGGTTTGATCGGCTCCTGCACCAACTCCTCCTATGAGGATATGTCTCGAGCTGCTTCCATCGCGCGGGATGCCCTGGACCATGGTATCAAGGCCAAGTCCCTCTTCACTGTTACTCCCGGTTCGGAACAGATCCGTGCAACCATTGAGCGTGACGGCCAGCTGCAGACCCTCGAGGAATTCGGCGGTGTTATCCTTGCCAATGCCTGTGGCCCTTGCATTGGACAGTGGGACCGTAGGGACGTTAAGAAGGGTGAGGCCAACTCTATTGTCTCGTCCTACAACCGTAACTTCACTGGACGCAATGATGCCAACCCTGCCACCCATGCTTTCGTCACTTCCCCGGACCTCGTTGTTGCCATGACCATTGCCGGAACCCTCAACTTCAACCCCTTGACCGATACTCTCAAGGGCAAGGATGGCAAGGAGTTCAAGCTTAAGGCACCAACTGGTGCTGGTCTCCCATCTCGCGGATATGACCCTGGTCGCGACACATATCAAGCACCACCAAAGGATCGATCTGCCATTTCCGTCGCTGTTTCCCCTACTAGCGACCGCCTCCAGATCCTGGAAGCGTTCAAGCCATGGAATGGACAGGACGCTGTTGGAATTCCCATTCTGATCAAAGCCCAAGGCAAAACCACCACTGACCACATTTCCAGTAAGATATTCCAAGCCTTTTATTCCTGCTCTGTCCCCTCTTTCCCCCATCGACCAACCAAACTAATCGATTTTCTCGTGTAGTGGCCGGCCCCTGGTTGAAATACCGTGGCCATCTTGACAACATCTCCAACAACATGTTGATTGGTGCTATCAACGCTGAGAACGGAGAGGCCAACAAGGTCAAGAACTTCAAGACCGGCGAATACGGCCCTGTCCCCGCCACTGCCCGTGACTACAAGGCTCAAGGAATCCCGTGGGTTGTCATCGGTGACTGGAACTACGGCGAGGGAAGCTCCCGAGAACACGCTGCTCTCGAGCCCAGACATCTTGGAGGCCTCGCCATCATCACCCGAAGCTTCGCCCGTATTGTAAGTTAAAAGCTCGAACCTAGGTGATGAACGAAAGGAGTTATGTACTGGCCAGTCGTCACTAACATCATATAGCATGAAACCAACTTGAAGAAGCAGGGTATGCTTCCCCTCACCTTCTCCGACCCAGCCGATTACGACAGGATCAAGCCCGATGACATCGTTGACCTGATGTGCACCGAGCTCGCTGTTGGCAAGCCCATGACCCTCCGTGTCCACCCCAAGAACGGCAAGAGCTTCGACGTCTCACTATCCCACACCTTCAACGAGTCCCAGATCGAATGGTTCAAGGATGGAAGCGCCCTGAACACCATGGCTAAGCATCGTGCTTAGAAAGATAAATCCTTGGCTACATTCATTTCCGACTATTCATAAAAAAATATAAATTGCAGGGCATTTGAAGAAAAGTTGGGAGTGTAGGTATTTACAGTGTCTTCGTCTCTTGTTTATGTATGAATACGTCTCATATATTTTGCTTTTGCTCTATATATAACGCTTGAAAGGAACGGGTAAAATCTTGGGCAGGGAAAGGTTTAGGTAGGGAGTAGTTGGCGTGGAGTATAGGGCGATGGAGTCTTACGAGCCTAGGGAGAATATATATTTCTATATTCGCGGGAGAAAAGCTGGGAACCTGGGCGAAAACGCTATTGCATTGTGGAGAAGAGGGCAGTAGAGTCATCACCCATCGACATCGCACCACAAACCGCAACACGCTGGATTCAATTTTAATGGGTCTAACCCTGGACGACCTACTCCCCCTCTCGCGTTCCTACATCGCAAACGCGTCAAATATTTTACATGCACAATGTGTCAGCGCAGGTCTGTCCATCCAGAATCTATCTAAGCCAAACGAAAAGGCTAGGAGGGTTGATCTGAACACATCGCAAATATCGGAGTTGGGTCCGCGGTTGGGAACCAAAAAAAGAAACCGTTGAACCTGCCTCCCTATCTTCATATTTTCGTTTTCATGGTTTCTGCGTTTTCCCCTCCTCTCCTCGCATTTCTTTTTTCAAACCTTTCCTCTTCCCCAACTCTCCCTCCTGTACTGTACCGATCCAAAATTTCGCCAACCTTCACGCGTTTGGGGTTATTTTCTTTATGTTTATCCATTTTTCCCCCCCCTAGTTTATCTTTATGCACTAGTCCTCTACTTGTCTCATTTTGTTTCTCATTGGTTTGTCTCAAGAAATGTGATGAAAATTAACTCAAATTTCACTGTTCTTTCTCTTCTTCCTTTTTTATCTCTTTTGTTTCTTCTTGTCTATGTTTACCGTGTTTCTCGTTTGTTTCTTCTTTATATATATATATATATACGTAACTACAGTACATATGTTAGTTATATGGATTTCTTCCATTATATATATGTTCTCTCCCATATATAGTTTATGTATTTGCTTCCTTCCTACGTCCTCTACATTTTCATCGGGAAACAGTCGCAACGTCCATCCACTGTCAAAACATTCAAGATTCTACGAAACAAATGTAAATCGATCCTTGCACCTGCAGTCATGTCTGAACGTTGGAAAAAAAGGGAATTGCAGGATACAGAAGATCTTTATAAATCCAGGCAGGAAATTTCAAACAACTAAATCCCGCCAAACTTGACGAAAAATACATAATAAAAAAAGTCCATTCAGCACTGGCGGTCCGCCGCTTTGCGGCAGGCTGCTAAAAAGCCTCGGAAGGAAGGACTGGCGCATGTTTTTTTTGTATGTAATTTTGCTGGGTAACTATGGAGTAGAAATGCCGAGGTTCTGGGACTTTTCTACCCATGAACAGACCGCGCAATAATATTTTATGGCTTTTCTCTACTTTTCATACTGATACATACCGTTAAAACTAAGTATTCAACAGATATTTAGAGGACGAGCTGAGATTTACGAAAACTATCCCTATATGCTAGGCAGGTAAATGGAGTGAGAGGTTTGTATGTATTATTGCACATGTATTCTTAATGTCCTCAAGTTCTGTGTAATGTATTGATGTATAATCTGGTAATTACATACAGTTCTCTCGCTGTCCGGCTATCATCCTCCCAGGTATCGATCTCTATCAAAGCGGGACTCTTGAGTTCTTTTCCTTCTCTCCTCTTCTCCTTTTCTCTCTCAATCATATATCCCATTTTCTTCAGTTATTGATTTATCATTATCCTCCTCACTTAAGGCAGACTACAATCATTCTCCCAACCCTTCTTTTTCGGTCTTTCTATCCTATCACATGGAGCTTTTAAAAAAAAATTGGTGTGAAAAGGAATAACCGAAGCACCCCCCTCTCAATACTATAAATTGCTCGTCAAACCCATTTATTTCGGATTTTTTATTCGGATAAACATTTTACATACACACAGAGATCGCCCAATATCTTCTGTCCGGAATTACAAAACTGAAGATTTAACCGTTTGGAGCTTGTTAGCCGGTACTCACTTTCAGGGAAAATCCCAGGCGGGGTGTAAAAGTACCCATGAAATCTACTTAGCAGGAAAAATAAACTATTTATCACTTCCTACATATTGCTGGTTCTCAGGAATTGAAATCGAGCGAATAAGGATTTTTTAAAGCGAAGGGTGAAAAATAGTGCAGAAAAATGGCTGCGCAGCTATTTCCATTGCCCGAGGTGGAAAGATTGAGCGCATCGGTGATCAGGCTGCTGGCGGGGAATCCTGGGAAGGTATGTATATACAGTACAGATATCTTGTTGCGATTTTGCTAACCCCCGCTCTAACTCTAGTACACACTACAAGGTAAACGAAGCCTTTGATATCTCAAAATTTAAACCCGACGGGGAGGAAGAACCGTCTTTTTCGGCTCCTGAATGCTGACATGTATCCGCGCGCCCAATTGCGCCAAAAATACCATATAAAGGCACAAACACATACCTTGTCGGCCGGGGAGCCCGACGTCTCTTAATAGATACAGGCGAAGGCCGACCGAGCTGGTCCGCCGCGCTCAAAGCGCTCCTGGCAGCTGAAAAGGCCACCGTGGAGAAAGCACTGCTGACGCACTGGCACCGCGACCATGTCGGTGGCGTCGGGGATTTACTGAAGATGTGCCCAGGGGTGCAGGTGTATAAGCATGATGGGGACGAGGGCCAGTTTGCTATTGAGGATGGGCAGGTTTTCGAAGTGCAAGGAGCTACGCTGAGAGCTGTACATACGCCCGGCCATACGGAGGATCATATGGCGTTTGTGCTGGAGGAGGAGAATGCGTTGTTTACGGGTGATAGTAAGTAGTATTTCATTTTTTTGCTGATAATTATGAGGGGTTTTTTTGGTTGCTCTATCTACTGTACATGTACAACCCCTGGTATCTTTTTCGTTTTTTCTTTTCTTCACTCTGCGGCATATCTGATGTTTATCTATTTCAGATGTGCTTGGCCACGGAACAGCGGTTTTCGAAGACCTTGTCGTTTATATCTCTACGCTGGAAAGGATGCGCAAGCTTGGTGCGGGCAGAGGCTATCCTGGACATGGAGCCGTAATCGAAGACTGTGGAGCTAAGATTACGGAATACATTGACCACCGGCGTCAAAGGGAGGAGGAAGTATTTCAAGTGTTGAAGTTCGGAGGTACGGACAGCAGCAAGGTGGGGACAGCGGCTGTAGCAACAACGCAAGGAAAACCTCGAGCATTGTCACCGATCGACTTGGTTGCGGTTATTTATCCCGATCTCGCGGAAGAGCTGCGTTTGTCGGCTTCGCATGGTGTAATCCAGGTACTACTGAAGCTGGAGCGTGAGGGCAAGGTAATTCAAGAGGGAGACTCGGGGAGATGGATGGTTGGGGGTGGGAAGCCGGCATTATGATTTCTTGCTCCTTCTAATTGATTTTAAATTCCCTTTGTCATTGTATATATTATATGCCTTATACGTGTACATTTTATTTTGCCTCGAATTGCGTCATTGAATTCGATGTTAATATAGAGAGAGATACATGTTCATATACCGACGATATAGTTGCAGACGTTTTCACCACAGCTCAACCTGCCTCATCTAGGAGCGTTTCACAATGAAGATTCCTATGAGGGAGATGTACGAGAAGATTCCTGCACGAATTTGCTCTAATAATACATATCAATAATAGATTCCCGGCTGTGGAAGCATCGAGAAACACCTACCTCGATACATGGTGCATTTAAGCTTCGAGTTAGTTAGGGTTTGCCGTCGATGAGGCTGCCCGGGCTCGGCAACGACGTCAAGATCCTGGCCAGCCCCAAACAGCGCCGACAATGGCCAACATCCAACATCCAACATTGCGTCCGGGCTGCTGCCAACCCATGGAACCTGTCTCCCTGCTGCGCCCTGGATTCTGCTGTCAATCTTCTGCCCGTTTAGCTTAGGTCCTTGACGGGAAAAAGGGTGTGCCGGGCTTCTTTCTCTCATCGCATTTCGTGCTCTCCACATCCATGAAGTCAACTCCCGACTGATTCCTCTCGCGCCGTCCCTGTCAATGCTCCTTCATTGAGCTCCAATTAAACAGCTCCGTATTATTTCTACCTGTGCTTCTTCTCTGCTGCCAAGGAAGTGGCGCCAAATCAGCGTTGTCCTAATAATTCCTGTATAGGCTCTCCCCCTGTATGGCGGTTGGTACGTAAACGTGGGGAACTTTTTTTTCTTATTCCTGGATCTGGTGTCAAGAGGCGAAAACCTCACATCCTCTGTATCGATTATTGTCTTGTACCTTCATAATCAAACACGGATTCTTCTTTTGCGATTGCTCTATAACTAACTTGTTAGGTTTTTGAAAATTAAATCTCCAGCTTGCGGTGTTGATTCCGATATTTGCCCCGCCACAGTTCCATCCCACCTACGAAACCAAATCATAACTGTTCACGAACTCATATTATTCTTATCCTAATTGCAAATTTTGCACCATGACATCTCTGGAAAACCCCCTCAAGGAGGATGCCAGATTGCTCCTGGTCTCCAACCGTTTACCCATCACAATAAAACGATCAGACGACGGTAAATATGAGTTTTCCATGTCGTCGGGCGGTCTTGTCAGCGGACTAAGCGGCTTATCAAAATCAACGACATTCCAATGGTACGGGTGGCCTGGCCTGGAAGTGCCAGAGGATGAAATTCACTTAGTGAAAAAGAGATTGTCCGACGAATATGATGCGGTTCCTGTGCTGATTGATGATGAGTTGGCGGATAGACATTATAACGGCTTTTCAAGTAAGGGTGTTTCCTTATCCTTATGTTCAATACCTTTCTGTTCCTTCTACGATCTCGAACTACCCCAGCCTTAAATGATGTCATAAGCTGATTTGATTTCTCTGAAATTGTGCACCAGATTCGATACTTTGGCCTCTTTTCCACTACCACCCTGGCGAAATAACGTTTGACGAGTCTGCATGGTATGCCTATCGAGATGCAAACCGTCTTTTCGCTAAGGCTATTGCGAAAGATGTGAAGGATGGTGACCTTGTATGGGTCCACGACTACCATTTAATGCTATTGCCAGCAATGTTACGGGAAGAAATCGGAACGTCGAAAAAGAATGTGAAGATCGGATTTTTCCTACACACGCCTTTCCCCAGCAGTGAGATATATCGGATCTTGCCCGTCCGGAATGAATTATTACTAGGAGTGCTGCACTGCGATTTGATTGGATTCCATACTTATGACTACGCACGACACTTCTTAAGTAGCTGTTCGAGAATACTGTAGGGAACTCCCCAACAGCCTTTGTATCATGACAATGAGTTTACGCTAACACTTGAGAAATAGTGGCCTATCGACGACGCCAAACGGTGTCGAATTTCAAGGCAAACTCATCGCAGTGGGGGCATTCCCTATAGGTATTGACCCGGAGAAATTCACTGAAGGCCTTAAAAAGGAGAAGGTACAGAAACGGATAGCTGCCCTCGAGCAAAAATTCCAAGGAGTCAAGTTGATGGTCGGGGTGGATAGGTTGGACTATATCAAGGGCGTTCCGCAAAAATTGCATGCTCTCGAAGTCTTCCTAACAGACCACCCTGAGTGGATTGGAAAAGTGGTTCTTGTCCAGGTTGCTGTTCCCAGCAGACAAGACGTGGAGGAATACCAGAACTTAAGAGCCGTTGTCAACGAGCTCGTTGGGAGAATAAATGGCAAATTCGGTATGTCCGTCCTCTCTGTATTTGGGTCAAATTAAACCTAGGATACATCAAATTCTAACAATCGATCAAGGCACTGTGGAATTCATGCCAATCCATTTTATGCACAAGTCAGTTAACTTCGACGAACTAATTGCGCTCTACGCCGTTTCGGACGTCTGTGTCGTCTCGTCAACAAGAGATGGAATGAATCTTGTTTCATACGAATACATAGCAACCCAAAAGAAACGCCATGGATGCCTAGTCTTATCGGAATTTGCCGGCGCCGCGCAGAGTCTTAACGGCAGCATCATCGTCAATCCATGGAATACTGAAGAGCTTGCCAGTGCCTTTCAGGAAGCTGTGACGATGAGTGATGAACAGAGGGCTCTCAACTTCTCCAAGCTTGATAAATACGTTTCGAAATACACAAGGTTCGCTCTCCGATTGCCCCCTAATATTTCTCCCCGACGGGGAATATTTTAGTGGATTGACCATCTGTTGCTAACACAATAATAATAGTGCGTTCTGGGGACAATCCTTCGTCTCGGAGCTTACAAGAATTTCAGAGCACGGGGAGAAGAAGCTCCGACTGAGGAGCTCTTCAAAGGTTCCTGAGGAGGTGCCTAACAAGGCCGCGGTAACTCCCATGCCCAGTGGCGATGGCCCGAAAACTGAAAATAAACAATAAAGAGCTATGAGGGTAACCGCGAAAAAGTCCCTTTTCAAGAACAGAATATGAATAATTACGAGTTTTAATACACTTTCATAAGCGTCACAATGGCATTACCAGGGAGTGCAACCTATATTTCAAGCTGAAGATGGGGGTGGACATGGACTTGGTCGTTTTCTATCTATAGCATTTATTTCACTTCTACTTTGGCTGGTTGGGTTTTATTTACAGGAGCTAAGGTTGTTTGTCCCCCACAACTTTCGTTCCATCCCTTTTTCTTTTTTGTTCTCTACTGCTTTACTTTTTGATGCTTCTATTTAAAAAAGCTTTCCCCTCCTTTCCCAATCTATTTCTTACCGCGAAAGCCCTTCATCATTATCTGCCGTTCAGAGTAATGATACAGCACGTTGCCATTCAAGCCAGTCTTTTCTTGTACATACATAAAGCATACTTATTCCTGTATATTTATACGTCAAACGCAAACATATAGCAAGGTTTACCAATTGTTTGAACATTCATCATACGCAGTCAACATGGTTGCTCTTTGGTGAAGAATTTGGTGGACGCCCCCGGCTTGCAAACATGATAAACTCACGTGATCTAAACTTCTCACCAAAAATCTGTGTTCAACGACCTTTAAAGCTAGCACGACAGCGACGATAGCAACATTCTTGGTTTCGGAACGTGAGGAGGGTCATATTCCCCAAATTGCGCGTCCATTACCGGATTATTCAGAACCTCTTCACGGGATTTCCGGCGAATCCTGCTCAATTGGACCCCTGCAAATCCAATCCGAAACCACCAAACGAGGCGTCCTTCCTTGACGGATCACAAATTTCAACTCCGGATTACCGCCAGTAATATAAATCTGAGAATCCAATTGATGCGCTCCTTACCTACTCTGGACTGAGAGCTGCATCGCAAAAAAAAGGAAAGAAAAGGGAAACACCCGCGGCGAAAAGTCCTGGGATCCACTCAGAAACGCAACAATGACTCCAAAAACGATCCTCCTCCGCGCTTCAGCGCGGCCATCCATTCTCATCCCAAGCAGTCGCGCCGCTGCTCCCCATCCCGCCGCCTGCTTATCCGCTCTACTCTCCGCCATGCAATTGCGGCCTAACAGCCGTCAAATCGCCCGCCGGCCCCTCACCACGTCCACACAATCCACGCAACCGACAGCGCAATCATCGTCATCAGCAGCCTCCTCAACAACGCCACCACCATCACCTCCATCCTCCTCCTCATCAACACCACCACCAGAATCACAACCAACAACAAACCCAACAACGCCCAGCGCCCGGCGCACCCGCCACACCCTAAAATTCGGCACCGTCCTCACCGCCGGCCGCATGGATAAAACCGTCCGCGTCCTGCACAAGCACACAGCCTACCACAAGCGGCTACACAAATCCTACCCAGCCAGCACCATCTATCTCGTGCACGACCCGTGCAACTCGCTGCGCCAGGGAGACGTGATTGAGTTCTCGAGCGGGTGGCGCACGAGCAAGAATGTACGCCATGTTGTGGAGCGGATCGTGGCGCCCTTTGGGGAGCCGGTGGAACAGAGGCCGCGGGTGCTTAGCTGGGCGGAGCGGGAGGCGTTGAAGGCGGAGAGGGAGGAGAAGGCGGGGAAGGTTATGAGGGCTGGGAGGGTGAAGAGGTTGGTTGCGGAGAGGTTGGAGATTGAGAAGAGGAGGGCGGAGGAGAAGGAGGTGGTGTAGCGCGTGGTGGGTGTTGAAGAGGCCCAGGTCGGGGAGGGTCTTGGTGCGAGATGTATGACCCTTTTTGTTGGTTGTTTGGGCTGGGATATTAATGATTAAAGGAAGAACGGATGGATGCCATTAGGAAAGATGGTGAGGATCCGGTGCTCGTATGTATGTATAAGTTGCATCAGACAGTTTTCTTTTTCTTTTTCTCTTGCCATACTTCTTTCATTTTTGAACCTGTACAGTACAATTCAGCTAGAACCCAAATTATAGTGTTTGAGAGACCAATATTGTCCCTTTCCCGCGTAATTAATTATATATACACTTTGCTATATACATAGATGATTTTCTTTTTCCTCCTTTCTCTTCATCCATATATTGTGTAGCTTCCGCCAGCTGAAAGCTATCCAGGATTCGTGAGCGGAACCAATGCCCATATTAGAATGATAAAATAAAAAGGCCTGAAGCAACCCCATCTCCAAGTCCAGGAAGGCATCCCACAACCGCAAGATCATGATGAAAGAACAAAACCAATGCCATTTATCTCTCCCATATATACATATATATATATATCGCAAAGAACAGCAGAGCCTTACCTAGAATGCAGAGCCGTGTACAGACAGATAACATGCTGAAAAAGGATGGTAATACAAAACAGGAAGAAAAGAAATAAAATATAATATCCAACGCCAAAGGGCCCATCGGATCACAGAAGCATAAGCGCCGTTAAACAGGGGGAAAAAAAGCTCACTAGGTATCAGACCCAGATAACCAAACCAAAAAAGATAATGAGTAAATGTCAGATGAACCCTCCCCGCGCGCGATTGGGGAGATAAAAAACGAAGAAAGAATCAAAACCAAACCCAGCAAGCTGCATCCTCCTCCCATGATGAGTTATATAATACAACCACACACACGGACCGAGGGACCAGGCAAAAGCAAGGCCACTCGATCCTAATCCGCTAACCGCCCCTCTCACCAAACTCCTTCGCCCAGTCCTCATGTTCCTTGAGACCCTCCCGACTAACGCTGGGCCGAATAGAAGATAGAGACGCTTCGAAGTCTGCGAGGCGGATGGGCCGGATTTGGTCCATGGGGGTATAGAGGAGGGCTTCGCCCAGGTTGCGCAAAGGACCCATGGCGGCATCTTTTGCCAGAGCGGTTATGTCAGAGCCGGAGAAACCTATTTTTGGTGTCACTTAGATTAGGCAAAGATGATTTATGTTGCAAATGGATTTGGTTTTATGCAGATGGGAAAAGGTATGGCAGGTGTAGAGCTAGGGTATGGTAAAAAGAAAAGAAAAGCAAAGAAAACTCACCATCAGTAGCCCGAACGAGAGCCTCAATATCCTCACTCGATAGCTCATGTTTCTGGTGACTCAACAAGCGTTCAACCTGCGTCTTCCGCACCCCATCCTCCGGTAACGGGATATACTGTCTCCTGACAAACCGCCGCCTGGCAGCCTCATCAATATCCCACGGCATATTCGTCGCAGCAAGCACCAACACCCGACTCGGATCGCCCTCCTTCTTCTCCTTCTCCGATTGCTCCCGCCCAGCCGCTGCACGCTGTAGGTCAGACCACTGTATGAGAAACTCCGTCTTGGTACGTCGGGACACTTCTGCTTCGCCGGACGCGGACCTTGCGGAAAGTAAGGAGTCAATCTCATCGACGAATATGATAGAAGGAGCCATGTGTTTCGCCAAACCAAACAGCGCACGCACAAGCTTTTCGCTCTCACCATGCCATTTTGATGTTAAGCTTGATGCTGATACGGAGAAAAAGGTTGAGTGCGATTCCGTAGCCACCGCTCGGGCTAGCATCGTTTTTCCTGTTCCTGGAGGCCCGAAGAGGAGCATCCCCCGAGCAGGTTCGCGGAGTCCACTAAACAGATCCGGCCGTAGGAAGGGATATACTACGGCCTCTTTGAGTGCGTTTTTAGCAATTTCCAACCCGGCAACATCATCCCAGTGGACTTCGTCTCCTCTAACCACAATATCATTCAGGATTTGCCGGGCTGCATTCTCGTCAATTCCCTTGGGAAGATTCTTCATGACATTTTCAATGCTTCTACTGCGTTCTGCAGTATCTGATGACGTTGGTGGTTTGTGTGATAACGAGGTATTAGGTTGATGATGGAATTCTGCCCCCGCCCTCTCCGGCCTCTTGCTATGCGCTGCTGAAGATATTTGAGCAGGGCCAGCGCGCATGCTGCTAAGCGCGCTATACAAGGCATCGTCATTACCTACCAGTGGCCGGGGATTTGAAGAGCTTGACCCGCGACTCTTACTTTGAGGCACAGGCGTTGTGGAGCTCGTTGCGGGTCTCATTGGAGTGAGGTATCCTTCACCAGTATTATTTCCAAATAGCTGAGGCTGTGAAGTCGAGAAAGGATTATTTCGTGGAGCAGGCGTATTGGCGTATCCTGATGGTGGCCCTTCCTCTGGATACCTACCTACGTAGCTTAAATAATCCGGTTGCTGATTTGATTTCGGGGGTAAGTATGATATTGAGGTGCTGGGCGATATGCCTCTTGTATTTGATGTCGTACGGCCTGCGGGAGGAGACGGTTCGGAGAGGTCGATCAAAAGGTCGGAATTGGATGTATTGAGGGCTGTAGCCGCAGCATCAGTAGCAAGAGAGCTTGATGCGCCAGGCCGTGAGTTTCGGGTCGGACTAGAGGCCTGGAGGTAGTCTGACAGATAGGATGTTTTGGGCTGTCGAGGCGACTCGTTACTGAAAAATATCCCCTTCCGCGAGCTGGGCTCGACGGGCTGATTCTGCTTAGGCGCAGTTGTCGCAGCACCTGACTTGGAGAGGCGGGAAATAGAACTCCATGCTAAACCCGCCGCTCTAGATGCCGATGCTGCAGGTCGGGATTCAGGACGCTCAATCCGCTCGCTGGTATCTTGATCTTTCGAACTGGCGCTCTTCTTGGGGTCCTTGGTCCGTAACGTCGTTAACATAGTCCTCTTTTCCGGACTTGAGGTTCTGGATAGTGTATTTGAGGATGGGGCATATAAGAGAGGAGACAATGGAAATGGGGAAGGCGAAGTGCGTCCATAAGCAGACTCTCCGCTTGATCGTCGTCTGCCTATCTGTTCTCCGCTCACAGTGTGCGGGAATGATGGCCTCCGATTGGACACAGGAACGGGGACTCGTGGTGGTGGCCGTGAGAGTTGCGAATAGGTGAATGACGGTACTGTGCCATCTGCAAGCCAACCGGGCGTGGTGGATGCGCTTGACGCTGTGTCTTCTTGCCCGTTCAGTTGTACTTTCCCAGTTTCCTGCTCCCCTAGGGCAGCGCGGGGTGTCACTTGCTGAACGCCGGCTTCCTTGCGGCTTTCATTCAGCGCATTTAGTAAATCCACGCGCTCTTTACATTGTAGTTCCAAGTCATGCAGCGAATCGTAGAGGGCCTTCTCGGTTTCTGTTTTGGGGACATAGTTCGTGGGAATTTTGTGGGTGTTATAGTGCTGTAAGGTCCTAAGCGCTGAGCGCCACGATCTAAGAGCTTCCGCCTCATTATTCTAGACAGCACAGGAACCCGGAATGGTCAGTTTTAAACGATTCACAGGGGTAGAAATGAAAATATATCGAACAAAAAAATATCGAGGTTACGAGGACGAAGGGGCTTGTTGGGCCATCAATGACCCGTCCTGCCAATCGCCACCAAGACAGATGCAACCAAATATACAATACAACTCACCTGGCCTTCAAAAAACACAGCCGTCGAGCACATTAGATAGCATTCATCGTAGGTTTTCTGCATCGTAGACGAGGGCTTTGAACGCATCATTGACTCGATAGAGGCGGCAGGACCAATCCCGCCATGTGAAGCTGGCTATCTGCGATATCCGAAAACTAGGTATGTCTGTGTAGCTTCCCCGCGCAGTTAAAACAACGAAGAGGTGCAATTGCTCCGGTTTATGTTTGACGGTTCAGCTAGCCCTGGGGTGTAGATTCGTTCAGGGCGGCGAGGGTGTTGTTGTCTGTCGTTTGGAGGTTGGAGGGGGGAGTGAGTGCGCTGCTTTTGTGGTTCGGGACCCGTGACTGGTTCCGCTGGGTGAGTTGCCTCCGCCCGGACACTACTAACCTCCAGCTAGGAGTGTCCTGGATAGATGGGTAAGGCATGGAGATTGGCATAGTGGGATACTTGTCTGAGACTATGAAGCTATTGGCATCTGGGAAGGTTGGCAGGCTGTCTGGCTGCTGGTGACGTGGGCTAAGAAACAGCCTTGATGCAGTGGGGAAGGGGAACGAGGGCTAAATAATGTATTGTATGTATTTATATGGAATTGTATGTATATGGACCTTAAGTTTCTAAGTTCTCAATATCAACAACTCGCATTTACTCCGTCCTTATTTATTTTCAGCTTTAATCAATTGCCAACTGGCTCTGCGAAGGGACCACGATGCCCCCGTAACTAAAACAGTGAGTAAAAAGAGTTTATTGCAACCGCAGAGTAGACATATTGTGGCGGACATATTACTTGCGAAAACAGAATTTTCCCAGCCCCCCCTGAAAATTAGTAGCAAAACACCACCAAAAAATCAAAATATCTGCATTTCTCTAGAATCATTCAATATCATCCAATACACATCTTTTTCAATCAAATATCATTCAAATATGCGTCTTTCTTATCTTTATCATCAATATGTCACCTCAACTCTGTAATTTCACCACCAACAAGATTGTATACCTTCTTAAGAATGATTATATGCCTGCTGAGATCGTGCGAAGCATTGATTATCACCTGTGTATATTGAATTCAATGAAATCTTCACTGTTTTGAAACTGCTAGAGAACTCTGTTCAATATGTGATATAAAGTCAAAGATCATATCAGATATCTCTTCAATTCTGAAGAGATTTGATGGAGATTTTGAAGCTTTTTTGTATCATACAGTTGAGAACTTCATAAGAGAAAAAGATATAAAAGAATATTTCAGATCTACTTATATAGAATAGTATTATAATAATTAGAAAGATTCAGATTACAATTCATTATAATATAAATTTAGAAGTGAAAGCAGTATGAGATCTGTTCTCATCACTATAAATAGTGGATGGAAGATTTCAACAGCGGATTTGATGGAAGATTTCAACAGTGTATTCAATGGAAGATTCAACGGTGGATTCAATGGAAGATTTCAACAGTGTATTCGATGGAAGATTCAACGGCGGATTCAATGGAAGATTTCAACAGTGTATTCGATGGAAGATTCAACGGTGGATTCGATGGAAGATTTCAACAGTGTATTCGATGGAAAATTCAACGGTGGATTCGATGGAAGATTTCAACAGTGTATTCGATGGAAAATTCAACGGTGGATTCGATGGAAGATTTCAACAGTGTATTCGATGGAAGATTCAACAGCGGATTCAATGGAAGATTTCAACAGTGTATTCAATGGAAGATTCAACGGTGGATTCAATGGAAGATTTCAACAGTGTATTCGATGGAAAATTCAACGGTGGATTCGATGGAAGATTTCAACAGTGTATTCGATGGAAGATTCAACGGCGGATTCAATGGAAGATTTCAACAGTGTATTCGATGGAAAATTCAACGGTGGATTCGATGGAAGATTTCAACAGTGTATTCGATGGAAGATTCAACGGTGGATTCGATGGAAGATTTCAACAGTGTATTCGATGGAAGATTCAACAGCGGATTCAATGGAAGATTTCAACAGTGTATTCGATGGAAGATTCAACGGTGGATTCGATGGAAGATTTCAACAGTGTATTCGATGGAAGATTCAACAGCGGATTCAATGGAAGATTTCAACAGTGTATTCGATGGAAGATTCAACGGTGGATTCGATGGAAGATTTCACAGTGTATTCGATGGAAGATTCAACAGCGGATTCAATGGAAGATTTCAACAGTGTATTTCGATGGAAGATTCAACGGTGGATTCGATGGAAGATTTCAACAGTGTATTCGATGGAAATTCAACGGTGGATTCGATGGAAGATTTCAACAGTGTATTCGATGGAAGATTCAACGGTGGATTCGATGGAAGATTTCAACGGCGGATTTGATGGAAGATTTCAACGGTGGATTCGATGGAAGATTTCAACGGCGGATTTGATGGAAGATTTCAACAGTGTATTCGATGGAAGATTCAACGGTGGATTCGATGGAAGATTTCAACGGCGGATTTGATGGAAGATTTCAACAGTGGATTCGATGGAAGATTTCAACAGTGTATTCGATGGAAGATTCAACGGTGGATTCGATGGAAGATTTCAACGGCGGATTTGATGGAAGATTTCAACGGTGGATTCGATGGAAGATTTCAACGGCGGATTTGATGGAAGATTTCAACAGTGTATTCGATGGAAGATTCAACGGTGGATTCGATGGAAGATTTCAACGGCGGATTTGATGGAAGATTTCAACAGTGGATTCGATGGAAGATTCAACGGCGGATTCGATGGAAGATTTCAACAGTGTATTCGATGGAAGATTCAACGGTGGATTCGATGGAAGATTCAACGGTGGATTTGATGGAAGATTCAACAGCAGATCTGAATGTGGATGATAATGAGATTGTGAATTCAGTTCTTCTATTCCTTTCATCATATATTTCATCATCATCACATTGATTATCTCACTTGAGAATGCCATATTGAATGAAGTTGAAGCTGCCAGAGCTGAAGAAGAGAATATAATCACTGACATTTGAGAGATCTGTATAGAAGAATTGATTGTAGAAATTATAGATTCATTCTTCTGATTCTTCTTCTTCTTTCTACTTATTAATCATTTTATCATCTCTCTTGTTCTTTATCTCATTGATAATCACCCGTTCATACAATCTGTATGAGATCTCAGACTCAGGTGTAGGGATTCGCGGATATCAAGGATTCTCAGACTGAGTCTCTATATCCTTCTCATCCACCTGCTCCTCCATCTCATCATTGACTGGATCCTCTCCATTATCCAGAACTTCTGGAACAGGTAGTTTGAGGAGACTGAGGTGCAGGGTAGAAAGAAGTCTTTGTACAGGCTTGTGAAGCAGCAGGATAGCGGGTGTTGCGAGGCATATTGAAAAAAGGGTTGATTGATATATGTGGATTTGATGATAAAGGTAAGAAAGACGCGTATTTGGATGATATTTGATTGAAAAAGATGTGTATTGGATGATATTGAATGATTCTAGAGAAATGCAGATATTTTGATTTTTTGGTGGTGTTTTGCTACTAATTTTCAGGGGGGGCTGGGAAAATTCTGTTTTCGCAAGTAATATGTCCGCCACAATAGTTATCTTCCTTTAACATCGAAGGAAACCGCTGTCCCATATTTCAATTCTATAAGTAATTTAAAGAACCACATGCAAGGCCCCCTCTCTGCTAATATTCTCTCCAATTCGAAACGAGAAAAATTGACAGAAACAATGCGCCGGTCTCGGAGACAAAAGGGTGAGGTGAGAGTGGAACGAATTAAAAAAAAGAGAAAATTGAGATATCAGCGGGAAAAATTGAATAAAAAAAAAATAAAAAAATACACAGCATCCAAATGGGATGATAATGTAGAATCCCCTTTAACAACAGAAAATAAGAAAATACATGACGAGGTATGTGGAAAGATAGCGAAAGAGGGGAGAAGATGCGTTGGGGGGAGGGGAATGAAGGGGACAAAAGAACATATTAGTTTCATACATCATGTTCGTTGAAAGTTATATATGTCACCTAGTGTCCCCACGGAATAGAAAGAAAAAAAAAACAAAAAAGGCCTTTTCTTTTCCCGTGCCCAAAAAACGCCTACCTACTGTAATCGATTAGGGTTAAAAGAGAGAAAAAAGAAGAGTACAAGAAATAGTACAAGGAGGAAAGGAAAAAAGAAATAAAAGAAAATATAGAGTATGCCAGCGTGGAAAAAAGAAACAAAAAACAGAATCCCAAAGCAAAATTCTAACCGCCGGGGGGGGAGGGATGTCCATCACATCTCTCTTCGGTTTCCGGCCAAATTGCAAATATAATAATCGAGTCGGGAAAAAAAAAAAGGCACACACACATAGATGACCCGAGACATGGTTAAATATGGGGTAAACAAGATAGCATCAAAGAGGAACCCGTGGGAAAGATATTTCCTTTTTCCATTTTTCTTTTTCTTTTCTCTCTCTCTCAAAAGCCGCGGGCGCCTGTGTGCGCTGCTCTATGCAAGTATATTGTTGTTCTCGTATGTGCAGATGAGGGATGCTGGGTCGACCGGTCATCGGGAGTTCGCCAAGTTGCGTTGTGTGTTGAAAAAACGGAAAAAGGAAAAGAAAAACAAGCACAATAAATAGCGAACCAACTGTTCATGATGCTATATTACTGTTATATTTCACGAGAGTGATTCGGATAGCCTCTGTCGCTTGAAGTATGCCTTGGCCATTTCATATGAAGTCCTATATTTTTTTGGAAACGGTTAAAAAAAATCTCGAGAAATTCAAAGATGTGGGATAAAAGGGAGGGCAAAGGGAAAAAGAAAAAAAGAATATATATGTATATATGTATATATATATCACATACCAGCAGATAGCGGTACTTGGCATGGTCACGATGATTCTCGGGCGCATCCCGCGGAGGAATCCAGCCCAGCCATACTGGCGTTTGATAATGCTGGCCGCGTTAAACAAGCCGCGCGCGGAACGGGCCTCGGCATCCTCCGCAGCTCCCCTGGTCTGTAGTACTGTCTTGATCACATCAAGCGGGGTGGTGATGGCCGCTGCGACTGCACCAGCCAACCCACCAGCGATACAATGGGTGAAAGGGTCGTAGGCCTTTGAAGGGTTCATGACTTTTGAGAGGGATTCGTAGGCGATGAACTGGGTGGCTGTGAATGGAATCGTCATGCAAAGCGTGGTGGGGTAGGAGACGTAGAATGCTCGAAGTCCTTCGGTGCGGTAGACGGTTCGCGCACATTCGATCATGGTCTTGTGGGTGGAGCCGTGGACCTGCATACGTTGCTTGATCACTGCTCGACATATAACGTATCAGTATTGCGACAATCGCATTGAGTAGAACGCTTTTGTGCGGCTTGGGAAGAGTTTTGCATACCATCAAAGGGGTTCATAAGGGCATCACTGGAAATGGTGGCGCACGCTCCGCTCAATCCTACAAATATATGTTAGCTACAATCTAATGCCAATTGCGGTCTTCCAAACGAAATTGGAAAATGTTGTTTCAGGGGCAGATGCTTACCCGCTGCGAATGGATGATGGCCACTTCCAACATTGCCTCCAGCGAATTCCTTAACCACTTCATATGTGCCAAAATAAACGGCGTGGGCAGGACCTAATTCGAAGAAATTGTGATATCAGCGCCCGATGTACTCTCACAGTAAATCCGCGGGGACGATTGTGCGGCCCACGCATTTTTCATATAGAGAACGCAACTTGGAATTTTCCCTACCAGCACCAACAATCACGCTCGATACACCCCTCCATAGAGCCCTCCAGCCCTCGATCCGGGATATCGTTGTGAGGGCATTGCTGAGACCCGTATACAACCCACCAGCGGATGGATTTAGCACTTGCATTCGAGTCTAGGCATTACAAAACGCCACAAGCAGTCAGTAAAAACGGTGCAATCATATGGCTTTAGGGATACTACGCGGGAGGGGAAAGGAATTAAGTGGGCTTATTAGCTGGGAGAGGACGAGAAGGGAAAAGTGAGATGATAGCGGGAAAGAAGATGAGAAAACAAGAATTTATGCCTACCTTGAGCAAGTCAACCGGATACATGACAGAGTGTTCCTATAATGCAATTATCAGTTTCTATACAACTATACAACTGGTTGATATCGTGGAGCGAAAAAGCTAGTGAGCAGGTCGCTTTTGTCCAAGGACATAGCCGTGGCCAAAGTGACACATACCGCAATGCCAGCAAAGGCACCAGCCAACATATTATGCCCAAGGGAATAGTCTGGCGGGAGGGCTTCATAGCTAGATACATCCGGAGAAAACAAGTTAGACCGGAAATGTTAGCTATAATGTGCTAATATTTTGAAATATATAAAAAATATATTTATGTTCGCGAAACAAAAAAAGTTTCCTCGTATACACGATTGCGGGAAACGGGGATGGGAGTGAAAAGCATACTCGTATTCTTCACCCGGAACACTGTCTGGGGATGCCATGAAAGGCGGTTTAGTGCAGCCGGAGCTGCCTGACTCTACCTGGGCCCTCACGGCGTCTGAAGGGCGGAGAGAGGAGGACGCGGAAAGAGGAGCAGACGGCAGCGGTTGGCCCGCGGTCGGAGAGGGTATCGAGGCCGCTTCGGAGGGTGACAGGGTGGCGGCGGAGAGGTAAAACAGGCGACGGGAGGGATTGCGGGCAGCTATGCCGATAGATATCAGGGTCAGAGAAAGGGTGTCGTGAGAGGAGATTCGAGGAATATTTGTAGGCAGAGGGTGTTGAGAAGGGAGTTGGCAGGGGGAAAAAAAATAAAAAAAAAAATTAAGAAGGGCAGAAATTTGGCTCTTGTGGCGGCGTGGAGGCAGTCACGGCTTGGGGTATTTAGTTATTTATTAAGTATTTTTTAAGCTTGTGCTCGGGGTTTGCTGCTGTTTAAATGGCCAACAACTCAAATACTTAAGGCCGCTTATCGGGGATGTCTATTTCCCCCTTCCCCGCCCATTGATCCGAAGCGGATATTCTGGTTGATGAGGTCTAAATACTTCTTTGTATCTTCTATCTTCTGTGTGCTCGACAAGAGTTTGAAATGCGTTCTGCGTCTTGGATGTTGAACGAGTTCTTGCAGCTCAACCGGGCGATTAATGCCCTACGCCCACATCACCTTGGACTAGCAATTTCGTCCTCTCGTCATTAATACGGGGTAGTCCTGTATCGTTAATCGCTTTTTGACAAGGTATCTAGACGCAGTAATGTTCCCCCATTTACGCCTCCGAACGCCCCCAGAAATTCCCCCTCGCCGTGCTATCCGCGACCCGGCTGACACCATAACTGGTAACCAGTGAACAACCCCCGAAGCAAGTTACGGGAAGAAGAACATGCTCCGATTTCTCGGGATTTTATTCAACTAGATATATCCCGCTCCGTCGGCCCCTCGTCTCCGCTCCGAACCAAAAAGTGTGGTTGATAGAGATCTCGCGGAAATCGCGTTGTCATAAGGGCCTGGGAATTTGCCCATAGAGCGAGTATGTAGGTGGGAATAATAATAATAATGAACAGAAGATGATGAAAGTCTCCAATGCCAAGTCGTCAAGGATGAGGGATGAGGAATGAGGCGCATGGCATGGGGCTTGGTTTCGTATATCTATCCACCTGAAGTCACAGGCTTCCTATATAAAAAATTGATTCCATGCCGCCAATTTTCGTCCAGTCTTGATGCCTTCCCTGCCTTATTTTGAGAACACACACCTGGTTGATGATCTCCATAATAACCAATTGGCGGAATTTTTAAAAAAGGGATTAACGAAACTCTCGTTTGGTACGATATTTACGCTACGTTTTCTCTTTCTCTCTATTCGCAGAGTCGCCTTCCCAAGTTACATTATTGGATGGCGGAGATAGTCAAAAAAGGGACACGGCTGGGGCATTCCAGTGTCTTATCAGATCCGCCCGCCCACTCTCGCAACCTCCACATTCCGTCTAGCCTTGCGCTGGTCGAGTGCTACTAGTCTGTTAGGCGCAGGTTGCGGATCCCGCCGGCATCTGATAAGTGATGACTGCAAGGGAAATCTTTGCCCTCGGAGCTCTAGGCTTAAAGTTCGCGACTTTGACAGCAGTCTTGTATGCTTCCTTGTTTGATCATTCTTATAGCTTCATAGGTAGCTGACAAATAGAATTTTTTTTTTTTTTTTTTTTTAAAGAAAAAGATCATGTGAAAACATTACACCAATCTTTATTTAGCCTAGCGCGACCACCCTCGTCTGGCAGCTCTACTCCGTACAGCGTAATCTCTAGCTGCTCTTCCTTCCACCTCCATCCATCAACCCATAGGCAATAAATAATACAGAGTATAGACTCCCTTGTTATCCCTCCACCCTCCGCCCTCAGTCGATGTGGCCCCGCGTAAAGCAAAATGAAACATGCAAAATGCAAAATGCTGGGCGGCAGCCCTCATTTCTAAAGGACCAAGGTAAAGCGATCCGTCCTTTTGGCTGCATGCTTCAACTGATCCTAGAGAGAGAAGTGGCCTCAAGGTATCAAGAAGGAACGGCCACAGTCTCATCGGAGCACACATCTAGAAGAGATATACAACACATCCAGGAACAAACTGTATCAAAAGACAGGAATGCCGGATCAAAACCCACTTCTAGTTCAGAGGCATGCAACTCTCCTCCTGCCAACTATGTTTTAAAGCCAACTCAAGTCAAGTTTCCACAGTCTAGGGATCGAAAACAAAAACTATCTCGAGAAGACGAAACCACCCTCCCTTCTACTGCCACTCCGTCTCCAAAGAGGCTGCGGACATAATCCTCCACGATTTCCTATCCAGCAAGCACAGCGGTTGGAGTCAGCAAAAAGGAGATCAACCCACTTGAACACTGGAGGAAGAATTTCCGTTGGCCTGAGGAATACTTCAAGTCGGAGGGTAACATGGATCATCTGCTTGCGAGAAAGAAATCTCCTTCATCCCTTCGCGCCAAACAATTGGAAGCTGACTCCACACCTAGCTCTGCCACACCTAGCGATCAAATGCAGAGAGAAGCCAAAAGCAATCCTTACACACACCCAAGCTATGAGACTGTACTTGCCATCAGGGGTAGCTTTATGGTCAAGTCCGACTTGGGTATCACAAATGCAAGCAAGAGACTCTGCCAAATTTTACTTGAGGCAGAGCAATCAGTCCCTCGAAATTCGCTGTTTTGTGACGATTTGTTCGACGAAACTTGTGAGAGTGTGCAAGCAAGAAATGAAGCTATGGTTGTGCGAGACATTTCCCCACTAATATGTCCATCTGTTCAACTCCTAAGGATCTATGGCATGAAGCATCATAAGCTTTTAAAATGAAAGTGTCAATGAAGGCTGGGATAGTGCTATACCCTTCTATGGACCTAGTCCACAACCTGATTATTCTGTGGGATTTGGACGATCTGCGTTCACAGACAATCAACTTGAAAAGCTTAAGCCTTTTGTTGGTGAGGTTACGGGTCCCTTTACATCCTATTTCATGGCCACCTAGCAAATGTATTTCCCATTCCTAACCTATGAAGTAAAGTGCGGCGCGGCGACACTTAATATTGCAGACCGGCAGAATGCTCACAGTATGACTCTTGCTGTGAGGGGTGTTACGGACCTCTTCAGGCGTGAGAATGAGCTTCATCAGGAAATCCTTGCGTTTTCAATCTCGCATGATCACCGGACAGTCAGAATATATGGCCACTACCCTATAATCAAAGGAAAGGAGACTGCCTTCTACCGCCATCCCATCCGCACATTCGACTTCACAGAACTGGATGGCAAAGAAAAATGGACGGCATACAAATTCACCAACAATGTCTACGACATATGGATGCCGACTCACTTGAAAAAAAATATGCTCAGCTATCGATGACTTGTCTATCCCCTGATCCACATTTTGAGGTCTTACAGCAATCCAAGCTAGGGGAATCTGGACTTTCATAGGGGTTGGAAAGCCGCCATCGATCCGACCAAACAACTCATGATATTCCGCACCTTTGAACGAAGCTGGCAGCCTATCAAGCCATGTTCGTTCGCAAGATGACACCTCCGATACTTCCCTGTCTCAGAGGATCGACGGGCAAGAAGTTAGAAAGCCAGAGAAAAGAGCTCGAGGCCGTACAAGACATAAATTTAAATATAGATGAGAAAATTACGTGTTGACAATGAGAATGCTTTGAAGGCGATGCCGGTTGGGAAATGAGGTAAGAGGCGAGGCGAGGGCCATTTGTTTTTGCTGTAAAGTTTCGAGGAAGTCTCTAGGATGATACAATGATACATATCAATATTATTCATTAAAACCAGTGTGGATGGCTAAACCATTCTCTCATAAACTATTTTCTCATTTAATATCTATGAAGTTTCTATTTAATATCTTTTACTTTTTTTTCTTTCTCATTATTAATAGATATTTATAACAGGAAACTCCTGAGTATTTGTTTGCATCGGGGTGAACATTACGAGGTGATGGGCAGCAAATCTGGAAACTCTGCCGCAGACAATTTTCTCAAGCTGTTGGCTAGTTTAACCTTTGCAAATAGAGAGAAGTTGGGCTTGTTCATTCTGGCTCATGAGAAGCTGATTTAGATATCCTTCAGATATGACCGCAATAACTACATAGTTCCGGATGTCTGCTCAAGAGAAATAATTTGCTAGGGGTGACACCCATTATATTTAAGTATATTACTGTGAGGCCAGAGAAGGAGAGCTTTCCGTCTACAAGGCTTCATTCAAGCTCAAGATCTTCATATTCGAGGCTGGAATGTCTCCTTTCCCTCTGAGCTCAACAACATGAGAGTGGGTAGTGAGAATCTACTAGAGTTCATTGGCCCTTCTTGTCGCTCTCTACAGCTTCTTGTTCTCGCCATATCGCTCAACATTGCCAAAGGAGGGAGCAACAAACTATATCCTTCTCCAACACAACAGGTTTCTCTGTGGTAAGTGAACCCTTACCTGAGCTTGAGGACTTCATTCAACACGAAATTTGCAGATACTCCATGGGTTTACAACGCTGATCATCATTGGAAGTAGGTAGACCCAAAAGGAAGAGATGCCCCCATGTAGTGTAGGTCGGCTTACAGCCCCTGTTGTCATGATATCGATCAATCCATCCTGGCCAGTAACAATGAGAAACCCACATATCTAAACTGGAAATAGAAGCAGAACACTTCCCCCACCCGAGAAAAACTAAGGTTCGCAAGGGCAGCTCAACTGAAATAATTACCCGCCGTTGAAGGATGGCAACCCCCCCTTAATGGGCTCTTCCGTGCCGGCACAGCTGACTTCAAATCCTGGTCTCCTCCTTGCACCAAAAAAATAAATATTAATAGCAGCTATTCGCGCCAGGGCTGCGAAGGGTTTATTATTTTACTTTTATCCAGATTTTTTCCGGCCTCCCTCCCCTCTTTTCTCGGTGCCTCCCTTCCCCCCTTAGATTGTAAATAATTGAGGAATTTTCCAAGCATTGAAAAATCGCCCATATGGATCCCGTGCTTGTCATCGCGACTGACTACACCTAAGTTAAATAATACCTCGGCAACGCAGCCGACGCACACATTCTCGCCGCAAAAACCCTGCTCAGCCCGTCCACACTGGACGACAGGCCCGTAGACGGCGAAGTATTCAACATCACCAACGACGAGCCCTGGCCGTTCTGGGACTTTGCGCACGCGATCTCAGCCGCGGCCGGGATACCCCGTCACGAGCGTGTGGGTGGTGCCGCCGTTTGTGTTCTTCGCGCTCGCCGTGGTGCTTGAGTGGGACGTGTGGCTGGGTAAGTCAGTATGAAAGGGCGTATTTGGGGAGTTGTGAAAATGATAAGAAGAAGTGAAGGAGGCTTCGCGTGCAAGGCTGGGAGGGCGAATAATGTAATGATAAACAGAAAATCGCCCTAATATTTTAAACTTTGATTCAAGTTGGTTGCCGCGTTCAGAGAGGTAAGTTAACTATTATTTAGAATGATCGTCGTTCAGGTTCAACTTTGCTAGGGCGTAATTCCTCCTCTACTCTCCTCCTCCATTCTGCTATCGCATCAAGCAGCACACCGAATCTCAGCAGCAACGTACTTCTACACGAGCTTATTTGGAGCTGAGCCTAGACATGCAAAACTTCGGCACCTTTTGTGAAACTTCTTTTTCGTATTTTAGGATGGACTGGACGAGGAAGGAAGGGAGCGCTGTAGCGACTGAACTAGCATGTGGAGAGAAGACTCTACAGTTACTTAGTACATACATATACCACAGTCGGATTGCAAGTACACATCTATCTATGTCGTTCTATATATTTGGTTCCTAAAAAGAGCATTTATGTGAATTAGCTTTAGTCTTCATCTGCGGAGATAACCTCACCGAAGCTCTGTGCGTGAGTGTATGTGTGAGGGGTTTGCCTACAATACTTGTAGCGTACATATATCCCATCCCACCCATCACAGATCTGCCAAAAGGAGGAAGAAAGAAAATAAGGATTAAATAAAGATGCCGTCCATTCCATTCCATGCAATGCTACCTACTACTATTATCACACAATGCTATCCCTTTAAAAATAAGAATAATAAAATAAAAACGATGAAACCAGAGTTGAGACAGACGCTATGTATCACTGTGCAATGAAAACAAGAAAAAAAAAAAAAAAAAGGGGGGGGGGGGAGGAGGCGTGCGCCTTCTCAGCAGTCAACATCAACATACGTCCAGCGCTCGCCCACAACATCCATTCCCCATTCCCCCATTCCCCCGCTACCACACTTCACCTCACAGACCCAGACCCAGACTCTACGTCTTCCTCTCTAATATCAGTATCTGTAACTATGCCATACGGTATGCGTACGTCGAGCATGAAGTAGCTGACGCAGTAGGGGAAAAAAACACATCGGCGGTTATCCATCGAACCACGGCCCCCACCCCGGTAGGTACCTTTCTAAAAGCTCTACCTGCGATCGATATAATAAAGCTAGGACTAACACATAGAAGAAAAGAAAAGAAAAGAAAAGAAAAGAAAAAGAGATAATAAAATAAAAACGAGGAAGGATAGGGAGAAGGAAGGGGATAAAGAAAACAAAGAAAAAAGAAAAAAGGAAAAAAGAAAAAAGGAAAAAAGGAAAAGGAGAAGATTGAGTATGGAATATTCGAGTATGGAAACTAAATCATATCTGTATGAGTATCGTCTGGGAGGGATCCCGCGATTTGGCTATGGTGATACAGATTCATTTTAGTCGTCCAGGTCAACAGTGAAGGTCCATTCCTCTGTTATACAAGGGGGGTTAGCGAAAGTAAGTAAACCGAGCCAGTATACATGTGGAATTTGGAAGAATGGAAAAGACAGCGATTGTGAACGAGCAGAAGGGAGAAAGCGAGGGAAGGGGGGGAGATGGAACTTACGGTTCTTCAGATTCTCCGCAGTGTCGCTCAACAGAATCACACGCCTCTTGTTGCAATAAGCTGTTTTGTCCAGGATATCGACTTTCAGCGCCGACAACTGATCAATAGGTCTTTCGAACATCTCGCTAAGGCTTTCAACCGCCATCTCCAAGTCTTTTTGATTGTCCTCGAAGATCTCCGTGAGGTTATTACGGGCAAGATAGAAAGCAAAAGCATACGTCCACTTCAGAGTTTGTCGACATTGTTGAAGGGCCTGGGATGCGGTATCGAGGAACTGAACTTCGATCCACGACAGCCCCGATTGCGACTGCAAGCTCGTCATTTTCTTCTCGGTCTTGAGATACAGGTCCTTGTCCAGTTTCGCGGATTGCTCATGGTTTGCGTAGCGATTGTAGTAGTGGAGGTATCGTTCAAGCGATTGTCTCGAACGCGCCTGGGCATCGCGGGCCGTTGCTCCTGACTTCTCCTCGAAGCGGTTGCAGTTGTACCAACTAGTTCCATGCTCAGACCACGGCCCCATACACATCCAGCAGAACTCATGCTTGCATTTTCGACAGGTCATATGGTTACAACCGCCGTTTTTCTCGATTGTGGACGAGCATTTTGGGCATTCTTTGGTGTTTGCGGATATCCAGTTTGCCGTCTCTGAGTCATCTTTGCATTTCTTTAGCCATTTTTTGACTAGGGAACAAGGGGGTGGTTGGTGGTCGTCAAGGGTGCAGCCGAAGCAAAAACTATGGCTGCACCTGCAGTGGACGGTGGGGACTATGCGATTAAGCTGGCGTTTCTTCACCGGACAGTCTATTGCATATTCGCAGTTTGGAGCAGGACACCACTTCAGGTTCTCTTTGTCGTCCACATAGGTCCGCATTAGAAGCAGATGATATCTACAGAACAAAGGAGTTGATGTTAGCTTATTTTAACTAAATAAGAGAACGGGGGAACGAGATTCAACTAGGAAGTAATGTACCTGTCCTGTAAATCATCCGTCACCAGCAAGTCTAACGTCTTCGAGTCGACGATGCGATGACAATTGCTCTGGGGGCACTCTATTCTCGCAGCCTCTCCTTCCTCTCCGATTTTCTGGCCAAGGTAATGGCGATAGCATTCAACACAGAACCGATGACCACATCGCATAGAATACGTCTCCATGCCCGGCCCGTCTTCACAGCAAATGTCGCACATAAACCCAGGGACGATCTCTGTCTTTGGGGTACCTGAAAAGGCAGAACCGATACCGGCTTCTTCCTGTATTCTATCGTGGTCCTCCATGTATGACTCGATCAGTTTCTCCCTGTTCCATCGGCCAAACCGCAACAGGATAGCCGCTGATTCTGGAGGCAGGCCAAGTATCGAGGAAACCTCGTTTATTTGCGAGCTCTGTTCCCGTTGGATATCATCTGGACTCAAGACCTTAAAATCGACCTCGAAAGGTTTTTGAGTTTGCTTGACGATCTCCTTATCGTAAAAGGAGCCGCCAAGATCATCATCATCGCCAAAATCTGCGGTTCAAAAAAGGAACATAGCTGTTAGAACATGGTCATAATAGGGATACATAAATTACCCCGTGATAACCGGCGTTTAAAAGAAAAATATCGAGGACAGTTGAGAAGATAGGGGATAAAAAAAAAAGGTAATAAGCAAGAGAATAAATTAGGCTCGTAAGCTTACCGTCCCCAAGGCTCTCGTCATCACTCCCCTGCATATCCAGAATATCACCTTGACTCGAGCCGTCACTCATAAAGTCATCGTCTGAGTCCATACTAGCAGTCGTTGCGGTCGTAGCCGGCGTTGCAAGGTCAGCAACGACCGTGGTAGGAGACGGGCCACCCGAATCCTCAAGGGCCTGGCGGACCCTCTTGTGAACAGGTACCCTCTGAAGTCCCGTGGCTGTTGATCTCGAACCCTTGATGGTGTAGTCGTCCACCGCCTGCGACGCGCTTCTCTTCCTTGGTTGGGGAGGCGTTGTGAAGAGCGTGGAGAGTAACTTGGGGATGAACAATGAAGGGGAGGGAGGGAAGGGAGGGGTTTATGCGGGAAATCAAGAACGAGTGTGTGTATATTCTACCTCGGCTGGGCGTTGTCCGAAAGAAAGCTGGGGAGGGTGTAGGAGCCTAGTAGAGGTGGTGGGAAGTTTCAAAGAGGGAGCTGGAGCGGGTTGAATAGGTTGAATAGGTAGAATAGGTAATGGAGGAGGAGGATGGATGTAGCATGGATGTGGGGGGAATCTCTCGACGGGAGGCTGAGGAGGGAGGGAGGGCGTGTGACTAGCCAGGAGAAAGTTGGAGGAGGGAGGAAAAGTGGCGTGGAAGAAGTATCTATTCACTGAGGGGGGTTTCGGGATCATTGACTGTTGTTATATCGAACTGGGGATCCAGGAGGCAAGGGAGGATGCCTTGCTCTAGCTTGCTTTGCTATGCAGTGCTTTGTGTCTCGTTGCTGGAGTGCCGGCAGATGAGGCTTATCGGGGCGAGTCTTGACGCCTGAAAAGACACAGCCAGGTATTTCTTTATCTGCTGCTAACTAACTAACTAACTAGCGGAGGGAGCCTTATAAATAGGTGTCAATATCCCGCTACTTACCAGGCAAACATCCCAGCAGCAAAACAGGCAATCAATTTCTTGAATTCAGCCTCCGATGAAGCTTCATTTTCATTCCAACATCATTCTGGAACCTGCAAACAAAACGAACGGGACGCCAGAAAACTTTAACTTGTCCTTTTGGCTAAATATAAAAAACTAAATAAATAACTAAATATCTACCAGCTGCCAAAGATATCCCGAAGAAACTCCTTAGAAATGCAGATGCAGAGTATTTGTCATTTCAATGCCGACACATATTGATGGCCATCATTGAATGGACCCTTTCGCTGTCAGCCATTTGCAGCTCAACTTTCGTAACAAATTGTCCGTTATACTTTCTATGAACCTCTGGAGCCTCCTCCCAACTCCACATCCCGCCAGAACATATTTCAAAAAGGAAGAGGAGGAGGAAATGAAGATGAGGTAATAAAAAAGATAAACAAAAATAAAAAGAAGGCAGAATTTCTACCTGGAAGGAGTCGTTGACAAGTGTCACGACAAACTAGCCCTCAAAACAGCGTATCACAGTCCTCTTCTATCCTGACTATATATATATATATATATATATATACGCTACTCTAGGTTACGGTAGCTATGGTGGAGACAGAGAAACATAACAATCCTAAAGATATCAGTGGAAGAAATCTATTGTCAAGGAGAAATTGGGACCTCATCCATCCTGAGGTCCATCTGGATACGGTGGCTATCGTTTGAGTATGCCAATGAGCCATGCGCTCATATTTCATGTCTGCAAACCCAAGAAATGACCATCAAATAGGAGGGAAAAAAAAAGAAAAAGACCACCCCTCCTCCCTTTGTTTTTTTCTTTATCTATACAACCATATCCATGCGAAAAGGGAAAAAGGACGTTCATTTTCAGCAAACTAGCACCCGAAATTGAAAGGAGACAAATGCAAACCCCTCCTTCCAAAACCTCCCCTTCCTAGCAAAACAGTCCATAATCCTTAATCTCAAACGACTCTACCACCTTCGCCATCGCCTCATGCGCAAACATCTCCTCGCGCGCCACTGCGCCCGCATCCGCTGCATTCTCCAGCCCGGCATGTGGCACCACGATATACGCAATGATATCCGTGCTCTTCTCCTGTAACCGGATCAAGAGGAAATGGCATGTTGACGTTGCCGCCATTGCTACCGCGGGTGGAGCCCCTGGTCTGGCACTCGATGTAAGGAGCGCCTGCGCCATATATGCCGGTACCCCTGGCAGCTTGGCTAGCTGGATGGACCGGGGGTTGTCGAGGATTTCGTAGCTGTCTCCGCTAATGTCGCAGACTTCGTGGAGGTGGAAGGCTGTGGCGTTTAGATCTTGCGCTATGGAGTCGTCGTCTCTGGTCGTGTTTGATGGGGAGATGTTGGATGTTGTGGTTGTAGCGGTAGCATCGATGTTGCTGGTTGCTTCTGGTTGTTGTGGATGTATTTGTTGGAGTTGGGCAAGGTTCAGGCGCTCGGTTATCTCGATGATGATGCTTGTTCGTGTCGTGTTGGACATGAATGCTTCTTGGTTATCGGGGACAGGGCGCATATCGCTATATAGATATTTGGTTATTGATGGTTCACAAGTTCGAAAAGACTTTTAATAAAACGATTTATTTATGGCCTAGGCCCATGAGCATCGGAAAACATTCATCCCATGCAACGGGTAAAATGGGGCTTCCGGATAGGAAGAATTATGTATGGCATGGATATGCATAACACGGGAGGGGATTATGACTAGACCCATGGGAGGGAGATAGTCATCCATTTGGCTCCCTTTTTCCTTGCTTCCTTTAAAGTGGTTTATCAAGTATCATGCTAAGTGATGATGGGAGCATAAAACTCGCATCTAGCACTTTTTCCAGAACGGCAACATGTGGAAGAGAGGCACAAAAAATTATCAGTAAACGGGAGAGCGCCACCAATCATAGCGTATATCAAGATAGAAAGATATAAAATGGAGCATAGAATTCATATGCCATGCATCTGATGAGTTTTCTTTTCTTTCTTTTCTCTTTTTCTTTTCTTTTTTGTTTTCTTACCTTACATTTAAAAACTCGGTAGGCAAATCCGCAACGATTGCACCCCCAAATAAGTCCTTGTGTGAGAATGTCGCCATGGTTTTTCTCCGGTATGGTAGGTGTATTTTGACCTGATTTGGTTTCTCTCTCTTGTTTTGGTGGTACGGTACGCGTTGAATCAAAATAAGCTGCGAGTGTTTCTTGGATCTTTTGGGCGGGGTGAGATATGAAACGGAAGAAGTGGGGGACTGGGCCTAAAATTGGGCTTCGGCCAGGTTATATAGTGTTATGAAACCTGGTATGCACCAAATTATTTCACGTATTTGTTTTGAGCTCCAATGTTGTTGATATATAGTTAGCTGAGAGCAGACAGGAAGAAGTGTAGATTGTTGATCGTGGGTTGGAACTGAGGAAGCCAAACTCTAATTGCGCCTGCCTGCCTCCTGGGAAGTGACGATAGTGGCAGAGGTCAGTTTTTTGTTGAAGTTGAATAGAAAATTGGGTGAATCTGAAAATACAGAAATGAAACGAAATAAAGCTTTTGAAGGATACCTTTCTACTGAATGCTTTTTGTTCTGTATTTATCGGGGCTCTAAATGGATGAAGTGGGGAGAGGGAGGGGAAATATTGTGCATCTGAAAAACGGCGGATGATTTTAACGAATTAAAACAACTACGCCACTCGTGTCTGTTATTTCTTGCATTCCTCTTATTAACATGTCGTTAGCCAGCTAGCACCTCTGGAGCATTCCGTACAATCCCATCCAGTTGAGCGATCTAGTTCCGTCACCTAGCACGGTTCGCGCTACAAATCCCACGGATTCAAGACATTTTCTTACGCATGGATCACAGTAGTAGTACTGGGTCACAGGACAATTGGGGTTGTAATGGTTTCTTTTAAAATATCTTTTGAAGTCTTGCATATGGCAACAAACAAACGAAAACACCCCATATAGATTTCACGAATAATTCATCATGTATGCACGATGCGTAAGCATCGTGTTGGAGGATGACAGGAGGCTCTACTCCGTAGTCGGAAATGAATCCCAAGGTTGCAACTCTAGGCCGAAGCTAGCTAGGAAGTTATGCAAGTAATCGATCAAGCCAGCCCTTTCCTCAAGCCAGCCCTTTCCAGATCCAACCACAAGTGCCGGTGCCGCCTATCGCCTACCACCTCTGGCGACATTCGAATCGAGTGCTCAAAAGAAAGCCCGATTGATATCCTTAACGCCGCACCAACTCTTCGTTCCTTGGTTTATCGTTGACAATATAATGAAAATGATAAATTGTAAATTGTCGAAAAAATCGTCGAAAAAATGGAGCCACACCCGATGTCAGAAATTGGCGTTATAGCCCTGTATTTAATACCCCGATTGGAAACGGAGGTAATCTCAACCTCACAAGGATATGCAAGATATGTAGCATATTAATCAGGAATGGACTCAGTTATTTACCCTGAACCCAGCAAAACCCGTCACGCATCCAGAAGGTGTTCAACATATTCATCCAGCTTGATGACTCTAAACTGCGAACCCCACTGGGAACGGAATTCCTTCCGCTTGTACGCGCGACTGGTGGTAGTACTAAAACTCACAAGTTCGACAGCCCAACCCTTCTGCAGCGCACGCCCCACCATCTTCAAAAACCCGTCTGAGTATTCAGCTTCAGCTGCATCACCCGTCGCGAGTACTATGGTGGAGGGCGCCTCAGAATCGACGAGGCTTTCTAGGATCTTCAGGTGTAGAATTTCGTCTACCCCCTGTTCCACCCATCGCTCTAGACCTGGGCCAGCGTTCGTTTCAGAGCCACTGGACTGGCCTTGGGCATTGTTTCCTGTGGCACCATTGCAACGACCATTTCCATTGACACCCAAGAATTTCTTCTTACGCGGAGTGCAATCTTTCGACTTCTGGACTCGTTCGAGAATATTTATTTCATAGCCGATTTCTTCAGCCTCGTCGATGGCTGGAAAGCGGTCAGAGCCGACCAAGACCCTTTTACTGATCGATCGGCCTCGTTCTAAAATGAGAGAAAAGTTGTAGAAGGATAGAGGGACCCGAGGAACCCGGACGGTGATGGGGATAGCTCGAGCGATTTTAATGCAGTCGTGAAATCCCACGGAAATCTAGACCAACAGCATCAGTAAGGAGCCAACCAAGGACAATTCACAGTTTCTTTTCTTTTTCTTTTTCATAAAAAAAGAGCTGGACTCTACATTTGAAATGTCAACGAAAACATGAACCCCCGTTGGATGAAAATTCGGGTTGTGAGGTTTGGCAGAGGGCGTTTGAAGCTTAACAAGACTTTCTCTTTCCTTCGGAAAACGAGTACTAAGCATGGAAATCAAATCCAGTCTCTTTTCGGTAGGAGAGCATTTGAGAAGAGGCTCGATTCGCTTGCTAGGTTTGACAGAGGGTGATTTATGACATGGTGGACTGATTCGGGAAGGAAGGGCTGAGATCGGTTGATTAATGACAGATCTATGATGATTTTGTAAAATCGATAAAGGCTGGCGACGCTTGGGTGCCGGAGGGCCACCGGCCTCATCGTCAGAAGTCTCCGCAAGTGGGAAAACACTGGGCCAGATGCGGGTGTTATTTCTGACATTTTCTTCCTTTTTCTTTTTAAGTAGTATCTGGATTTTTGGTCTATCAGCCGTCTTTTCTGTAGATTCAGTTAGGGCCTCTACTTCTTTGAAATTTTGTGAAGTAGCAAGGCATTGCTCCTGGCTGAGATTGGCATCTCCTGCTGCCGTGTCATCGCCAAGCGGGCCCCCTCCGGAAAGTAAATCCCAAAGAGGTCCGAAATCCCCCAGTCTTTGGCATCCATCTCGTACAGTGTTGATATCAGGTTCTGGAGGAATGGTGGCGCTAACGACCTGATCAACAGGTGTCGCGGATTGGTTGCCTGTCGACAAGGAGTGGAGGAGATTGATAACAGGGGCAAAATCCCACGTCGATGAAGTCTTAGAAGTCGACATGGACATGCGCGGTATTACAGCAACAAGCGCAAGGTGTGACAGGCGAAGAAAGTCTAGTGTTTAGGGAGAGTTACGGGTACTCAGAAATAGATGACGTTGGTAGAGCTTTTTAAAACAAGATTATTATAACGAGTCATGATTGTAACTAAGCGTTCGTGAGAGGAATGAACAAGGAAAAGAGTGAGACTATGACTCGAGGTTGACTCGAGGGGAGTCGGTGGGATAGGGTAACAGCAAAGATATAGGCAAGGGAGAGATGAGAGATGAGGTCGGTCCGATGCCACCTCACACCGCCTTTATTCTGCCAATGGTTAACTTACCCTACTGTCGGATAATAAATATTCCGTCGACTCCCGCTCCGACTAGCGCCATTAGGCTCGACTACCGTCATCTTTCCATCATCGGTATCCAAACCTTGAGGTTGAGAAACAGGGAATGGACGCATTTCACATCCACGCGGTGGGAAATTTGTTGGATGTTTAAACCCCAGCTACGTAATTCAAACCTTCAAGAAAATGCTATAAAAGGGGGAATATCCCGTGGGGTTTGTTCTATCTTGTATACTCAACCAAACACATAAACTTCGAACCAAATACAAAACATTTAAAGTATTCCCATTTAAGTCAAACCCAAGACCTTCATACCACCAGCAAACATGTCGGACCCCGGACGCAAGGATTTCTCAACCAGTTCGTGGTCAAATTCCATCCCATTACCATGACCCCTTATCTAATAATAGCGGACGGCTGACCATTGTTCTGTGCACGACAGAGGCCAAGGAGGAGATGACCCCCGACTCTTCCAAGTCAACTCAGGATAAAATCAAGGAGACCGCCACTGACACGAAAGATCGCCTTGCTCGGTCAGTTTTCCCATCCCCTGTCTCCTCCCCTAGTTAGTAATAACCCCATTCTAACAATTATTGCAGTGGAATTCAACCCGATGACCAGAAGAGCACCGGCCAGGAGGCCTTCGACAAGACTCAACGCTCCTCCGATAACCAAAAGGGAGGCGCCACTCAGACCATGTAAGAAGAACCGAAATCCATCCAATGTGTTCTGTTTCTAGGCTTCCGCTGACTCGGTCGGTTTATAGTGGTGATAAGGTGAAGGGTGCTCTGGGAATGGATAAATAAACATTCGGCGTCGGTCGATATACCAGAGGGAGGCAAGGATGTTGCTTTTTGAGATGTTTGGCTTTTCACGACCTGTATATGCGCGATGATGATTTATATGCAAAGTAATCCATAGCAAATTGACAACAAATCAACCTTATTAAAAGGATTTTGCCCCGTTCCTCCCTCACGCTTTTTATTTTCATTGTCGGGAAGAGTGTGTAATATTATCATCTATCATTGCGAACCAAATTTTCGAACATCGTATCTCTTTGGCGGACAAGGCTTCGGTAGTCTTTCTCAACTCGTTCAAGTTCCTTCTTCGCTTCTTGGACATTATGTGGTAGTCCATGAAACATTTTCACATTGCCTTCTAGTGTCTTCACTGTTTCCCTCAGTCTAACCACATTCTCTTCCTCAACCATTAGCTCCTCAATTCGTAGCCCTTTATCTCTTCCGATTTTTTCAAAGGTTGAAATCCTATTGTGGTATTCATCAACCTTTGTGCCAAGTAGCTTTGTCCCCCTCACCCAGTCAGCGGTTTGGACTGGTAAATCTGCGGGGGTTTCGTATCTTTCCTCATTTTTAAGTTCTTTCATCTGTGAGTGTAGAGCTCCGAGCTCTTTATCGAGATATGATTGTAACAGTTCAATTTTGCGTACTTGTTCAGCAGCATCGAATTCTTCCCTTGTAAGATCCACAATGCGATGACCCAGGTCGCTGATGGTGGTGGTAAAGGTTCCCAGCAACACAGCCGTTTCAGCGAGTTCATCCAAGAACTTAACACCCTTATCATCAAGGTTCGATTCTATGGTATCGAGAAGTTCTGTTGGAGAATCTGGGTTGGTTTCTTCCTGAGCTAAAAGATTGCGAATCGTTTCTTCTCGTGCGGCATGAAGGAGGGCACCTTCATCGTCTGCCGCATCGTTGGCAGCAGCGAGCGCAAGAAGTGTCTTCAGGGTGTCTTCATTTCGTTCAAAATGAGGTACAGGGTTTGGTGAATATTTTCGGTTGAGCCAGCTGTTGATATATGCCCAGTCCTTTGCTCGTGAGGCAGCTTGCCGTGCTTTGGACGGCGAGATCAGTGGCGTGTCCATTGGTGAATTGGGGTCCATCTCGCCCTCATCGATGAGACGTGAAGCATTCCAGGGCTTAGAATAAATCTATTAGTTCACAGAATATTAATAGGGCCACACGCTGTAGTCCGGAGGTCTAGTTTTTGGACGGAAGTTCCATGGTTTGTTTTCGTTGCTGGAGGGCAGGAATAAATTTAATCCGTGAAATCAAGCACGATTTCGCGAAGGCTAAATAAAGGTTGAACAGACCATAGTCGGGACTGGCAGCAGCAATTTTCAATCGATTGCGAAGATATGTCGAATTATTTTTCGAGTCCTCTGGGGTCAACAAGCCCCTCATCTAATGGTGCAGGGCAATCCCCTCTCTCACCACCCGGAGTTGCTGCTCCTCGTTCCACCGCACTCTCCAACAAACTAAATAGTGTCCTTTCCGCATCTTATGCGGACTCGGACATCCGGGGCGCCCTTGAAATCTTAGACGATAGGGGAATTCAAAACACCCCAGAGACGAGGAGGCAGTTGAAACTTGATGTCCAAAAGGAAGTTATTGACAGCAATGGCAAGATTGTGCAGGATTTTAGCAAAGTTGCGGAGGTAAACGAAGCGAAGATCTCCTCCTCTATACAAGTGGTTATGTGCTAACCGTAGTTTCATGTAGCAACTCAAAAGAATCGGGACCGTTATTTCAAGTCTTAACAATGCATGCGAGGAGATGCGCAGGCACATAGTCTTAGCATCACAAGAAACAGCGCCCGTTCTAGAGGAGGCTACGATATTGATGAGCCAGCGACGAGAAGTTGAAACAAAGCAGAAACTTCTAGATGCATTCAATAAACATTTTATCATGTCTGAAAACGAACTTGCATCCCTTACGTCGACCGCGGAACCTGTTAATGACCATTTTTTCCACGCTCTTGCACGTATGAAGCAAATACACAAGGATTGCGAAGTATTACTAGGAAGCGAAAACCAGCGGCTGGGACTGGAAATAATGGAACAAAGCTCAAAAAACCTGAATGCTGCATTTCAGAAACTCTACAAGTGGATACAAATGGAGTTCAAGTCCCTGAATCTTGAAGATCCCCAAATCAGTAGCGCGATTCGCCGCGCACTTCGAGTCCTAGCTGAAAGACCCAGCCTTTTCCACAATTGTCTCGACTATTTTGCTGAGGCAAGAGAGTATATCCTTTCCGATTCTTTCCATACCGCCCTCACAGATGTTCCCTCTGGCCAGGAGAGTGACATGGCGGCCAAACCAATTGAGTTCTCTGCGCATGACCCTCTACGCTATGTAGGGGATATGCTCGCATGGGTTCATTCAGCTGCAGTATCCGAACGAGAGGCTCTGGAAGCTCTCTTTATAACAGATGAGGGAGAAATTGCGAAGGGAATTCAAGCTGGAGTCGCCAGCGAGCCGTGGTCTCAGGTTGACGAAGGGGAAGTGGTGTTCGACGGCCGAAAGGCGCTGAACGACCTCGTCACCCGGGATTTGAATGGGGTTGCACGTTCTTTACGCCAGAGGGTTGAGCTAGTTCTTCAGGGTCACGAGGACGCCGTTACACTATACAAAATCATTGGCCTTCTGGCATTTTACGAAAATACTTTTTCTAAGCTTGTCGGACGAGAATCAGACTTAGTGACCTCGATCGCGTCCTTGCAGGAGTTTGCATTCAACCACTTTCAAGTCCTGATGCAGGATCAAGTTGCCGCCGTTTCAGCCGAGCCTGAAAATCTCACGCCTCCCGCAGACCTTAGCACGCCTCAATTCCTCACCGACGCACTAGACAACCTTACCTCTTTGATGAAAGCATATGACTCGTCCTTCGCAAACGAACATACGAAGGATTCATCTAGCGAAAATAAATTCACTCCAATTGTCCGGACGGCCTTGGACCCGTTTCTGGAACTAGCCAAGACGTCATCAAATACCCTATCCAACCCAACATCACGAGCCGCTTTCCAAGTCAACTACCTTCTCTCCACCCGAGATGTCATATCCCCCTATCAATTCGTCTGTGTCACACATCTGCCTCCACTCACCAATACCTTGACAACCCTAAGAACTCACCTCCTCGAAATCCAACATGACTTCCTCCTCAAAGCATCCGGTCTACACGTGCTTCTTACCGCGCTAAAACCATTCACATCATCACCACTCCTAGCAACCCTGCCTCCCAATTCCCCTCCTTCCTCCCCAGCTATAACTACTGTAGAACGGACGCCTCCTAGCTCCCTTCCAGACCTCGCAACGATCTCCTCTTTACCTGAATTTCAATCGGCGACCCTCTCGTCAATTAGTCAACAACTCGATGATTTCCTACCTTCTGCACTGGTGGACGCAACAGAGAACCTCAAAGCCATCCATAGTCCTACTCTTGTGAAGAGCGTGACGGAGGAAGCCGCCGAAGCCTTCTGTATTGATTTTGAGTTTGTGGAAGGCATGATATTGGGCGCGGATGAGGCGCGAGGGAAGTCTGCCGTTGGTGAAGATGGTGACGATGCGGAAGCGGAGGAAGAGGAAATAGACGTGGAAGAGTCACATGTAGATAATTGGAGACTGCGCTCCTTGTTCCCCAGGACGACTGGGGAAATTAGAGTACTATTAAGTTAGGCTTTGCTGGACACATAGGGGCTTGTTCTCGATGCCCGCATATGTACAGTTAATTTACTACGAGGAATATTATAAGTATATCGGCTTGATATCTTTTGCATATAGTCTTCTCCCCCTCGTAGTTTCCCGGATAATTAGACAGACGTGTAACTATGCTCAGCAGATCCTGCAGAAGGCATCAATTTCCTAGCACGCATTTGATCAGGTATCTTTGATTAGATTCTATAATCGCCTATGATATCCTGGTGTGGCTGAGTGCACATATCGTTCCATCCCAAGATAAGAAAGAAAAAGAGACAAAAAGCAAAAACTCAAGAACTAGTCCAAATCTCATAAGGGTCATGATCCATTTCGCTCACGCTGACAGTAAAGTTTGAATCACTCAGCCAATCCCTTATGTCTCTCTCACCATCGCTTCCCGCCAACGCAGCCGCCTCCTGGGCGCGCACCGCATCCCATTCACCCCGCAGCGCCTCCTCCAGCTTCCCCCGCATGACCGCGCTCAGATACCCGCGCTCAGAATCAGAATGGAAGAGCGACACCACAGCAGCCCCATTCTCAATCGCGGCCAGGGCATCGTGATGGCTCATCTCGCCCGTAACCAGCACGTCCGCGACGGGTTTCCCGTTCTTCATCAGGATCGAGGAGCCGGAGCCGGCACATGTGGCAATGGTGCGGATGTCGGGCATTTCTAGTATTCCTTTGCCCTGTGGCAGAGCAATGGGGATGCCGTCGGGTTTATCCAGGTTGGCCATGAGATTCGCGATAACCAATTTTAAGGGGCCGGGCTGCTTCAGGGTAGCTATGCGGCCCATGCCGGCGGCTTCGAATCCGGGAGGTGGGTTTTGTTCCGGGTAAATGACGGAGCGGTTGTGGGGGGCGAATGTGCCTCTAGGGCTGGACTTGGGTTGGAGGGCGACGTCCAAGAGCCAATCTGCCATTCCGCCGGGGGCGGCATCAACGGCTGTGTGTGGGCTGTAGACGCTGATACCGTTTTGGGCAAGACGGAGGAGCGAGTCTTGTTGCGGATCGTTTAACGTAAGGGACTTGAGGCCGCGGAAAATTATTGGATCTATCCATTTTTGAAGAGTCCGGAGGTTTTGCTAATCAGCCGAGACTTGCGAGATAGATGGGGCGGGTGGGTTGGATGCTGGGACATTTGTCAAAACTGCCTCACGTACGGTATGCAATAATGATAGAATCCCCACGCTCAATTGCTTCATTAGCCACAGCCTTCGTCAGATCAATAGTCAATAGGACTGAATTCTTTTGTCGCCTTGTAAAACTAAATGGGGATTCCAGAAGCACTACAAGCAAGTCAATGTTAGCCGATGCTGACATTGAGTTTCAATCGGAGTTCAAAAAATCAACTCACGGCCGGTATTATCAAACGATTTATCTGCTAGGCATTCAGGGTATCTTCCATGACAGCAAGGTGTTTAGTTAACAGAGCAAATAGAATATTGAAGCAGCCCATCACTGCCATCGATGAGGGTTGAGTTAGCTTACAGTTTCCTCATTGAGTCCACGACTGCTCTGGTGAAAGGAGAACACGAAGTTGAATTGGAACTAGTCATGGTTGAAAAGCGCCTCAGAGCAGACTGGATCATTGGCCTGAGATGCGGCACTGGGGTATTTTAAGAGATGGAAGAGTTTGATGTTATAATTGATGATGAATTGTTTGTTCAATCTCTACATGAATATTTATAGTTCATGTAACCGCAAGATATTATAAACTACTCGTGCCGCTGCTTCCTCACTCACCTCTAGTGAGTGCACCACATCAAAATGATAAAAACACTGAAATGATAAAAATCTTGTAAATTCATAATCTTAATCTTCATTAATTAATTAATAACCACCACAATGTTGAATAAAGATGAAAATATTGAAGAGTGTATTCAGCAAGTCATCACTGTCTATTGAAAAAATTCAAAATTCAAAATACTATCTCTTTCATGAGAATTTAATGTTCTCTATCAATGTCTCTGAGTGCATATCAATTAGACTGGCCAGCAGAACCATGAATTTCACATTTGGTCCCATTTGGTCTGATCTTATACATTTCTTAGCATGAGTCTTATCAGAATCAAGTCTTAAAAAAATCTGAAAATAAATCATTTCTGAGAGAAATGATGTGAAAAATGACTAGATTTAATTGAAGAATAGTGAAATGAAAGTAATTTCTCAGAATAAACTATAAAAGATAATTATTCTTTTAAAATCAGAATAAGACTGAGACTGAAGATTAAAATTAATCTTATTCAGTTTATTCAGTGATTATTTATATAATCAGAATTTAATAATAATTATTAATAACACTTATAAAATAATTAAATATATTCTTATATAAGTTTATTCTTTACTTTTTTATAAAAACTATACTTCTTTGATATACTATAATCAGAGATATTAAACTATCTAATAATTTTATATTTTATAATTATAAGTTTCTTAATTATTTCTTCTTATAATTGTCTTTAATAATAATAATAAATATCTTAGCTTAAGTTAAACTTTCACTTTATTCTTATCTCTATTAATGAAATTATTAGAATATTATATATTATCAGTATAATAGTTAAATATATACTTTTAATAATTTTTTATAACTTTAAAATTGATTTAATATATAAATTTATCAGATTATCTTGAAAATAGTAGTTAAATTTAATTTTATAAGTATATAGTTTTATCTGATTTTTAATTATAATTAATATATATAAGTTCTGTTTCAAAGTTAGTATTATAGTTTTATATAATATAAAGTATTATCAAAGATTATTATTTATTAGAGAATTATACTTCACTATTTTTATATCTCTAATATCTGCTTATTTAAATTTCTGATAGTTGATATTATAGTAGTCTTAGATTAATTTAATATATAAGTTTTATTTCTTCTTTATTTAATCTTAAGAAGTGTAAATATTAATTTAATAGAAGAAATCTAGTAGAACTACTATAATATAGTACTCTGTAAAAGATTATTCAGTTTTACTATAGTAATATACTAGTTTATTTCTTATAATAATAATAGTCTGTATTATAGTATTATCTCAGACTGAATTTCTTTTTAAATAATTTAACTACTTTTTAAAATAAGTAAATAAACTGTTATACACTTATTAGACTGACTGTAATATTAATATATAAGTAATTAAAACTGTCTTTATTATCTTATAAAACTGAAATAGTAAATTTATTATATATTTTAACTAAGTTTACTTTATATTAAAAAGTTTTAATATCTAAATCTTTTCTTAATTAAAGTATTAAACTCAATAATTAATTATCTGATATAATTAAAGAGTTTAAATAATTATTTTATATATTAAACTTTATTATATTTTAATATTCTGTATTATATTCAGTGATGTAATTAATTAATTTATTTATTAAATATTATAAAATTATTATTATTATTTAGAGATGATATAAATTATATTAATAATACTTTAAATTTATAATATTTAAAATATTAATCAATCTATTCAAAATTAACAGTAGTATTATTAAAAAGTATTATTAAAAAATATTATCTTTTATAAAGTAAATATAAAAGTTACTTAAGTAATGACTTTTATCTTATTCTTATCTTAAGAATCAGTTATCTTATTATTCTTTATCTTAATATTAAGATTCTTTATCAGTGTTTATATTATAAGTTAAATTATATAAGTAATACAGAGAATATAATCTTATTTATTATTTTAAAAATACAAAGTCAATTTTTACTTCAAGATCTTTATTATAGTATAGTTATTTACAGTATTATTAGTTATAATTATAAGAAGACTGAGATTAATATCTTAATAGTTATTTTTAATAATAGTTATTAATATCTCTGTTATATAATTCTCAGTATAACTACTGATCAATGATTCAAATTTAATTAATATCTCTTAATAAGTTCAGTTCTCATCAATATAATAACATGTAACTCTTATAAATATAAGATTATTTATACTAGTTTATATATTTACTGTGAGAGATACTTTTTAATGATTCTTTAACTCTGATTCTAGATATTGTATATTAACTTTATAGTATATCTTGAGATTGAACTGAAGACAGAATCAATGTAAAATATAAAGATGTAAATTAAGTATTTAAAGAAGTATTCAGAATTCAGAGTTTTCAATTATTATTATTATTATTCTTTAATTATAGATGTATATAGTCAGAGACTATGACATCTATCTGAGAACTTTTAGTTCTCAGGGTTTTTCCTATATCTATAAAGTCAACTATTATACATTTATCAATTTAAAATATATAAAATCAGAAAATTTCAGCTCAGAATATAAAAACTGTTTATAAATTACAGTATTTTAACATCTTCTAATACTTTGAAATCATTTGATAATATCATGACAAAAGAAAAGAGAATATAGTCTTAAAGATAGACACATTAAATAAATAGATAGAAAAGAACAGAAAAGAAAAAGTAAAGTAAACAGAGACTATAATAGAATAAAATTATTAAAAGATAGTATAAAGCTGTTTTAACAGACTATATGATATATCTAATCAATTCTCATCACTTCATATTTAGATATTTCTGAATTCAGTTATTTTCTTGTGACTGCTTAAGTTTCTGATAGAAAGTTTATTAAGTATTTAATTCCTGTCTCAGTTGAGAATAAGAATCTCATATTTAATTAATTTAAATCATACTTATTCTTTAATCTGACTCTGAGACTATTGTATAATATATAATGCATTATAATATACTCAGAATTTTCATTTATATTGCAGAATGAGCATTCTGTTGAATTAAATCTATCATCAAATCTTTGTATATAGAATTTGAAATAACCATATTCTAGTTTCAGCTGAATTATAGAGAAGAATATTTTCTTTTTACATTTAATTAAACAAGATTTTTACTTAGATTTTATCTTAAATCTTGAATAATGTATACTCTTCTTTTATTTGTCAGGTCACGTGATCTGACTTACTAATTCTTTCATTATATAATTTTTCACAAGCTAACAATCTTTCAATCATACAAGCTTTACATCTTTCACAGGTTATGAGACCTGTTTTGTGCAAAATCACTGCTAATTCAGAATTTCTTGTTAATATAATTATTATTTAACTACTGTTTTATTTAATACACTTATCAGGTGTTAAAATCATCTTATTCTATCAGTATTGATACATTTAAGATCTTGTTAATCAATAATACTACTGCTCACTTAAAAAAGAAGCTTGCAGAAAATGCATCACATTTGTAAAAAAGTAAGAAAAAGAGAATAATATTAATAAGAATTCAATTTTATTATTATTATTCTTCAATTATAGATGTATGCAGTCAGAGACTATGACATCTACCTGAGAACTTTAGTTCTCAGGGTTTTTTCTATGTCTGTAAAGTTAACTATTGTACATTCATCAATTTCAGATATGCAAAATCAGAAAATTCCAGCTCAGAATACAAAAACTGTTTACAAATTGCAGTGTTTTAACATCTTTTGATACTTTGAAACCATTTGACAATATCATGACAAAAGAAAAGAGAGAAAGAACACAGTCTCAAAGATAGACACATTAAATAGATAGATAGAAAGAAATTGAAAGAAAAAGATACAGAAAAAGATAAAGTAAAGAGAGACTATAACAAAATAAATTATTAAAAGAGAGTGTATAGCTGTTTTAACAGACTATATCTGATTGATTTCCTTCTCTTCATATTCAGATAACTCTGAATTTAGTCATTTTCTTATAGCTGCTTAAGTTTCTGATAGAAAGTCTATTAAGTATTTAATTCCTATCTCAGTTGAGAATAAGAATCTCATATTTAATTAATTTAGATTATACTTCTCTTTCAATCTGGCTCTGAGACTATTGTATAATGCACAGTGCATTATAATATACTCAGAATTCTCATTTATATTGCAGAATGAGCATTCTATTGAGTCAAATCTATCATCAAATCTTTGTATATAAGATTTGAAATAGCCATGTCCTAGTTTCAGCTGTATTATAGATGAGAATATTTTCTTTTTACATTTAATTAAACAAGATTTTCACTTGGGTTTTGTTTCAAATCTTGAATAATGTATACTTTTCTTTTGTTTCTATCAGCTTTCATTTTACTTGTCTAAACAAGATTCTTTTATTTTTCTCTTTATAAAAGATCAGAACACAATTTTTTGAATAGATCTGCTTAATTCTGCACTCTTTTTTGCAGCTGAATCAGCCAATTCATTGCCATGAATATTCATATAAGCAGGAACTCAGTGCAGATGAATTCTCAGCTTTGATATTCTTCTCTTTTGAATTTTTAAAACAGAGTTTAAGATCAGTTCAAGATTCATTTGATCATTATAAATCTGACTATTTCTAAGTCTTTTTAAAGCAGCTTGACTATCAGAGAATATTCATGTCTCTTTCAAACAATTTCCTCTTTTATAAGATTTTATTTCAATGAGTTTGAAAGCTTTCACTATTATAAATAGTTCAGCATCAAAGACTTCACATTCAGAGTCTAGATTTCAGAAATCTGAGATAAAATTAATATTATCTTCAGTAAAAGCAATGTCTGCATCTAATCTATTCAAGTTCTCATTTTTTGAGTCATCTGAATAAATCAGAATAGAGTCTTTTACATTGATTGTAGAAATTCTCTTCAAATGCTGTTCATATTCTTTCTCTTTTGATAGTTCACTTATTTATAAGTCTATAAGAGATTCAAGCTTTTTTCTTCAGAGAGATAACTTCTCATGATCAACTTTTTCAACATTTAAAGAAGAAAATTGATTTTTGATCAGAGAGCATAGTCTGTACAGTTGAGAAGACATTTTCTTTGAAGAATTATTTTCATTTCAATCAAGAAATCTATTCCAATTCAGTTCATTTTCAGAGTTAATTGATGAAAATGAAGAAGAGACTCTTTCTCTGATTATATGATTTAAGCTCATCTTCACAACTCTCAGAGCATAGTTCATACAGGCCTTTTCAA